GTGTTAGATGTCACATTTGACATAGTTTCGAGATTAACATAGTCAATTAACATCAAATAATTTTGCATTTTTTACGTGTTTTTGACGATAACGTTAAATGTCAAATTTGACAGTTTTGAGATCAACATAGTCAGTTAACATCTAATCGATTTGCATTTTTGACATGTTTTTTAAAGCCCTATGTTAGATACCAATTTGACGTAGTTTGAGATCAACAGTCAATTGAAATCAAATTGATTCGCATTTTTGACGCCAATATTAGATGTCGATTTGACATAGTTTTGAGATCAAGATAGTTTTTTGCATTTTTTAAAATATTTTTGATGCCAAAGTTTGATGTCAATTTGATGTAGTTTTCTAATCAACATCAAATAATTTTTTTAGCATTTTTTACGCCAATATTAGAAGTCAATTTGACATATGAGATCAATATAGTCAACTGAAATCAAATTGATTTGCATTTTTTACATTTTTGACGTCGATATTAGATGTCAAGATAATCAATTGCATTTTTGATGCCAATGTTAGAAGTCAATTTGTCGTAGTTTTAAGATTAACATAGTCAATTAACATCTAATCGATTTGCATTTCTGACGTGTTTTTGACGTCCAGGTTAGATACCAATTTGACTTATTTTGAGATCAACAGTCAATCGACATCAAATCAATGTGCATTTTTGATGCCAATATTAGATGTCGATTTGACATAGTTTTGAGATCAAGATAATTTTTTATATTTTTGACGACAAAGTTCGATGTCAATTTGACGTAGTTTTGTGATCAGCATAATTAATTGACATCAAATCAATTCACATTTTTGACGGCAATATTAGATGTGAATTTAACATAATTTTGAGATCAATGTAATCAATTTACATCAAATTGATTTGCATTTTGACTGCAAATTTTGATGTCAATTTGACATAGTTTTGAAATCAACATAGTCAATTAACATCAAATCGTTTTGCATTTTTTACGAGTTTTTTTGACGCCCATGTTAGATACCAATTTGACATGGTTTGAGATCAACAGTCAATTGAAATCAAATCAATTTGCATTTTTGACGAGATTATTAGATGTCAATTTGGTGTAGTTTAAAGATCAAGATAATCAGTTAAAATCAAATCAATTCGCATTTTTGACGCCAATATTGACGTAGTTTTGATCAACATAATCAATCGACATCAAATTGATTTGCATTTTTGAATTTTTTGATGCCAATATTAAATTTCAAGATAATCAATTGACACTAAATCGATTTGCATTTTTGATGCCAATGTTAGAAGTCGATTTGAAATAGTTTTGAGATCCACATAGTCAATTAACAACAAATCGATTTGCAATTTTGATGCCAATATTAGATGTCAATTTGACATTGTTTTAAGATAAGCACAGTCATTTAACATCAAAGCGATTTGCATTTTCGACATGATTTTTGACGGCCATGTTAGATATCAATTTGACATGGTTTGAGATCAACAGTCAATTGAAATCAAATAGATTTGCAAATTTAAAATTTTTGACGCCAAAATTAGAGTTCAAGATAATAAATTGACATCAAATCGATTTGCATGTTTGACACCAATATTAAATGTCATTTTGACGATGTTGTGATCAACATAATCAATTGACATCAAATCTATTTGCATTTTTGACATTTTTTTCACGCCAATGTTAGATGTCACTTTCACGTAGTTTTGAGATAGACGCAGTTTTTTTTTCAATACAACTATTTTTTTTATTCATACAAAAAACATGCAAAAATGAAAACAGCCATGTAAAAGAGGAGCTATTATGTTTAGAAATTATAAATGTACTTTAATGAATTTTATTTATATACATGTATTCAATTTTAAACAGAATTTAATTCCTCGCTCCATATTCCTCGCGTTTGAACCATTACCTGAAATTTACAAATAAACTGCAAGATTAACAGGAGTTGAAAGATTAACCGGAGATGAAAACTTTTAAAGCATTAATAAATACTGGGAAACCCACATTGAGTGCTCTGCCCTATTAACCCTGTGTCTGTTTTGGTCAGTATTTTCTAGCAGCCCAAACGCACATATGCTGCTCCGTTCAAGAAGAGCCAACACTTTCATGGAGGAACTCAAGCCGGCATCGCTGGAGCGGGAGTGCAGAGAGGAACTGTGCGATTTCGAAGAAGCAAGAGAAATCTTTATAACAAGGGAGGCCACGGTTGGTCAGCTTTTAACTGTTCTTACGCACTTTTGCTCTTAATTATGATCTATTTACTGAGTTCTTCATCCTGCAGCTGGAATTCTGGACGGCATATAAAGGTTAGTTCAGTCTGTGCTGTGGTGTAGCTTTGCAAGTGCGTCATAACTCATTGGGTTTTCTTTACTTTTAGATGGAAACCAGTGCACCACAAATCCGTGTGTTCATGGCAAGTGTGTTGACCTGTTGCAGGATTTCTCCTGCACCTGCGACTCCGGATTTGAAGGGAAACATTGTGACCTGCGTGAGCATTTTTACGTGTTATTCACTTTACATATTCAAAACAATAAATAAATAAATGGAAATATCTGCATTTACATCATCTGATCAGTTTTTAAATATTGTTGAAATATTGTTTCATTAATTTTTGCTTTAATGGTTCAAAATCCTAAAACATTTGTGTGTATTTCTTTTGGTTTAATGCTAGACAGCACAGGTAAATAAAGTGGAAAACTGTTTTTAACTATAGTCATTTTCAGTGGTGTAAAGTAACAGATTACGGGTACTCAGATATTCATTTTTCTCAGGAAATGTAATTTACGAAACAGTTTTAAAAATGTGTACTTTTACTTGCCCTTGAGTACACTTTTAGTGCAGTATCAGTCCTTTTACTCCACTATTTCCCTTCAACCTGCAGTCACTACTTAAAGTACAATATATATGTATACACAATACATTTGCATTATCTAATTAAATATCACATTATAACTTTTCACAAGTCATAACTTTTGATGCCTTTTTTGATTTGCCAACAGAAATGCCAACTGACCCAGCCGGGACTCGAGTCAGTGACTTTCTTGCTGTGAGGTGACAGTGCTAACCACTGAGCCACCATGCCACCCCCTTGGCATTTCCATTAAGATTTTATCCATGCCATATTCCAAAATGGGCATAAAAATGTGTGAATGGAAAAATCCAGTGAATCTGTTTGTCTTTGCAGGGTTTTGACTGCATCCGTGTTTTTGATCTGCTGTGTCGCCGCTCATTTAGGCATTTAGTGATGTCCTTCTCCAGTTACAGGACAGTGGTGTGTGTTGAGGTCATTCATTGCAGCGATAAATGTCTTGACAGCAGTTCTGTGGTTTACCCTCAGGCAGGACAGCCACTAACTGTTCGCTGAACAATGGGGATTGTGATCATGATTGCCATGAGAGTAAGGACGGTCTTGCTCGCACATGCAGTTGCATCAAGGGATACCAACTTCAAGACAATTCTAGAAAATGTGCTCCTAAAAGTAAGTTACCATAACACAATTGTCAACTACACATACAGTGAAAGCAGAAGTTTACATACACTGTATAAAAAGACACATAACCATTTTAAAACAAGGCAGGTGTTAATGTGACTAAACTTTTAGGTAAGTTAGGATTATTAAATTAGTTTCTGTTATGCTTAATAGCAGAATAATGAGAGAGATTTTTTGAGAAATTGTTAGAACTTTTCTTGAAAGTCAAGTTTACACACAATAAGATTATTCTGCCTCTGAAAAGGCTCTGGTGATGGTGTCGATGTTTTGGAAGTTTCTAATTGGCTAATTGACAACATTTGAGTTAATTGGAGGCACAACTGTAAATTAGTATTTAAGGAAAATCTCAAACACACTGCTTCCTTGTGTGACAACATTGGAAAATCAACAAGCCAGAATCAACAAAAAAGCCAGATTACAATTTGCTAAATTACACTGGGGAAAAGAATAAATGTTGGAGAAATGTCCTGTAGTCTGATGGAACTAAGATTGAACTGTTTGGCCGTAATGATCAGTGTTACATTTGGAGGACAAAGGGGAAAGCCTACAAGCCTAGAAACACCATCCCGACTGTGAAGTATGTGGCTGGCAGCATCATGTTGTGGGGCTGTTTTGCTGCAGGAGGGACTGGTCCACTTCACAGCATAGATGGCATCATGAAGAAAGAACATTATGTAGAAATACTGAAGCAACATCTCAAGAAATCGGCCAGGAAATTAAATATGGCCACAAATAGGTCTTCCAAACAGACCATGACCCTAAGCATACTGCCAAATTAGTTAAACTGTGCTTTAAGGACAACAGAGTGAATGTTTTGGAGTGGCCATCACAAAGCTCTGATCTCAATCCTATAGAAAATTAATGGGCAGAGTTGAAAAAGCTTGTGCGAACAAAACCAACTAATCTGACACAGTTACACCGATTCTGTCAGGAGGAATGGGCCAAAATTCCTTCAAACTATTGTGAGAAGCTTGTGGAAGGATATCCAAAACATTTGACCAAAGTTATACAGTTTAAAAGCAAAGCTAATAAAATGCCAAGGAAATGCGTGTAAACTTTTAGTCTAGAAATTAACAAAATTAATAAATTAACCCAAAAATGTCTCTCATTACTCTGGCATTTAGCAAATGTAAATCATTTAGGTGATCCTAACGGACCTAAAATAGTAAACGTTTAGTATGATTTACCATCAGACATTAAAAAAAATGGTTATGTTCCTTTTTTAGAGCGTATGTAAACTTCTGGTTTCAACTGTAAATGCACATTGGTGATTTTGTATCCACAGTGCACAATTTTTTTTATTCACAAATGTGGCTATTAATAATTACACAACATAACATAACCGATTTATTAGGTGTCATTGCTATATTTGTAATCCTAACACATATACTGAGACAACACTAATTTTAAGAAAACTTTAGTCTAAAAAACATGTTTCTTTAAGTTGACGTCTAAATGATCACATTAATTCAACTAAATCTCTGGAAGCTGAATTTCTGCATTTTTCTTATTTACAGATGATGCTTCGTGTGGCCAGATTCGGATCCCAAAGTCAGCCTATGCGAACAAACCTAAACCCGTTTTACAGCCATGGGTTATGGGAGGTAACGTTGGCAAAAGGGGAGAAAGTCCCTGGCAGGTAACTTAATGGTTATCCAATCATGTATCGGCAGCAAATATTTTATCATGTCTTATCCTGACATGTCATATGGGACACCAATAGCAACAATATGTGTGTTTTGTAGGCTCTTATACTAAATCATTTGGGCAGGTTTCATTGTGGTGGAGTTCTGATTGACGAAAACTGGGTTCTCACTGCCGCTCACTGCCTAGAGACGAGTTCCAAGTTCAGTGTCAGACTGGGTACGTCAGATAATTTGTCATTTAAGTATTCCCTTACAATGTAAGTCATTTTCCCCCCAATATAGAGTCCCTGTTGGGTCAGTTGGCATTTTTGTGTGGAGTTTGCATGTTCTCCTCGTGTTGGCGTGGGTTTCCTCCGGGTGCTTCTGTTTTCCCCGTACATTCACTATAGGTGTATTGAATATACTAAATTGGCCGTAGTGTGAGAATGAGAGCGTATAGGTGTTTCCCAGTACTGGGTTGCAGCTGGAAGGGCATCCGTTGTGTAAAACATATGCTGGATAAGTTGGTGGTTCATTCTGATGTGGCGACCCCTGATAAATGAAAGGACTAAGCCAAAGGAAAATGAATGAATGAATGACTAAATTATTTGTCCAGTTTATTACAAGTTTATTTAATATTTCTCCCCAACTTGTTTATTTGGGTGTACTTATTTGGGTTTGGTACTGACTAATCTGATGAATATGCACAGATGTATTATTGTAAAGCATCCTATAGAACAGGGGTGTCAAACTCAATTCCTGGAGGGCCGAAGCCCTGCACAGTTTAGTTCCAACCCTGCTCCAACACACTTACCTGTAGGTTTCAAACAAGCCTGAAGGACTCAATTAGTTTGATCAGGTGTGTTTAATTAGGGTTGGAACTAAACTGTGCAGAGCTGCGGCCCTTTTGGAACGGAGTTTGACACCTGTGCTATAGAACATGTAAATTTACAACAGAGATCTGTGAGCAGTAAGCTCATTTATGGACCCTTTTCACATTTCCGGGTTTCTCAGTAGAGGAAGTCGTCATAGTTTGCGTAAATTTAGAGTGCAGTAAATACAAGAGTACAACAAATCATTTTTTACAATCCCATTTGCTTAAACAATATAAAGAAAAACTCCACGATGGTAGAAAAAGGAAAACAAATAGTGTGAGACTTAAAACTTCTTCTTCTTTGGCCTTAGTCTCGTATGGTTGCAGGGTCGGCTCATTGGAACAAGCCATTTTAGACTTCTCCACATGTTAATGACTATTTTACACATTCCGGCCAGCCTGTCACCCTCATACACTCATACACTCTTACACTACGGACAATTTAGTCTACTCAATTCACCTGCAGCATGTCTTTGGACTAGGGGGGAAACCGGAGCACCTGGAGGAAACCCACGCGAACGCAGGGAGAACATGCAAACTCCTCACAGAAATGGCAACTAAGCTGAGGTTCGAACCAGCAACCTTCTTGCTGTGAGGCGACAGCACTACCTACTGCACCACTGCTTCGCCCAGTGTGAGACTGATAACGGCAGCCAGAAAAAAGAACAATGACAAATTTACAGTCTTGTCGCCTATCCAAGTTTTAGGAACAAAAAATAATAACTTTAACAACAAATAACAAACTTCTAGTTGATCATTCAGTATCAGAAGTGGCTTAAATGAAAGGCAAAGGCCTCTAGATTACGCTTTTACCAATATAAAATATGATCATGCCTTGATTTTTAATAACTTAATTAGGACAGTAAGGTTTGACTTTGCTTAGACAAAAATCTTGTCACTTAACAGAAATAATGTCCAGTATAGAATACAACGTCATGGTGCAGTGGAGAAAGAATGAACATTGTGTATGACTCCCATGAGCTTGAAGGACTGCATCCATACATCTCTGCAATAAATCAAATCACTTATTAATAAAGTCATCTGGAATGGCAAAGAAAGCGTTCTTGCAGGACTCTCAGAGTTCATCAAGATACTTTGGATTCATCTTCGATGCCTCCTCTTTCATCGTACCCCAGACATGCTTAATAATGTTCATGTCTGGTGGTTGGGCTGGCCAATCCTGGAGCACCTTGACCTTCTTTGCTTTCAGGAACTTTAATGTGGAGGCTGAAGTATGAGAAGGAGCGCTATCCTGCTGAAGAATTTGCCCTCTCCTGTGGTTTGTAAAGTAATGGGCAGCACAAATGTCTTGATACCTCAGGCTGTTGATGTTGCCATCCACTCTACAGATCTCTTGCACACCCCCATAACGAATGTAACCCATGATTTTTCCTTCACAAAACTTGACTGATTTATGAGAGAATACTGAGTCCATGGAGATTCCAATTGGTCTTCTGCAGTATTTGTGATGATTGGGATGCAGTTCAACAGGGAATAGTTCTGCCACTTTTCCAAATAGTCAAGTAGAAGTCAAGTTATTTGTTGCTCTTACAACCGATGACAAGACTTTTGTCAGGGAGTGTAGACGCTGCAAACACCTCGCACAAGCGGTATTTTGTTTTTTGTGATGTGATGCAAATATAATACACATGTGAATAGATTTAAATGTACATACGTTTAAAAAAACTAAATATTAAAAACTTACAAGTATTTACAGTAAGATTCCGATGACAGTTAAACTCATCATAACAGCTTTGTAAAAAGAGTCAAAACTGCCAAAACATACATATTTAATAGTTGTAAATTTCTCTGAATCATTCTGTGGCACACTTGTTTTCCCAGGCGACTACCAAAGGTTCAGGTTTGAAGGCTCCGAGGTCACCCTTCCTGTCAAACAACACATCTCTCACCCACAATACAACCCAATCACCGTGGACAATGACATTGCTCTGCTGCGCTTGGAGGGTCCGGTTAAATTTTCCACGTACATTCTTCCGGCGTGCCTTCCCAGCCTGGAGCTGGCAAAACGAATGTTACATCGCAACGGGACGGTAACCGTCATCACAGGCTGGGGGAAGAACAACCAATCGGCCACCAGCTACAATTCTACGCTCCACTACGTGGAACTACCGATTGTTGACAACAAAGAGTGTTCCCGACATATGATGAACAACCTATCTGACAACATGCTCTGCGCTGGAGTTTTGGGGCAGGTCAAAGACGCCTGTGAGGGGGACAGCGGGGGTCCGATGATGACTCTGTTTCACGATACGTGGTTCCTGGTGGGTTTGGTGTCCTGGGGAGAAGGCTGCGGGCAGAGAGACAAACTGGGCATCTACACCAAAGTGGCCAGCTATCTGGATTGGATAGATAGTGTCCGTCAGGGGTGGGACAAGGTTTAGACGCCTGACATTCTACCCTGAAATAGATCCAGGTAAAGTTGAAATTATTAGCCCTCCTGTGATTTTCTTTTCCAAATATTTCCCAAATGATGTTTAACAGAGCAATGAGTTTTTCCAAAAGTATTTCCTGTAATATTTTTTCATTCTGGAGAAAGCCTTATTTGTTATATTTCAGGCTAGAATAAAAGCAGTTTTTTAATTTTTAAAAGCATTTTAAGGTCATTTTTTTCTCGATTGTCTACAGAACAAACAACTGTTTTACAATGACTTGCTTAATTACCCTTACTCATTTAATTAACCTAATTAAGCCTTTGGGCGAAGCAGTGGCACAGTAGGTAGTGCTGTCGCCTCACAGCAAGAAGGTCGCTGGGTCGCTGGTTCAAGCCTCGGCTCAGTTGGCGTTTCTGTTTGGAGTTTGCATGTTCTCCCTGCCTTCCCGTGGGTTTCCTCCGGGTGCTCCGGTTTCCCCCAGAGTCCAAAGACATGCGGTACAGGTGAATTGGGTAGGCTAAATTGTCCGTAGTGTATGAGTGTGTGTGTGAATGTGTGTATGGATGTTTCCCAGAGATGGGTTGCGGCTGGAAGGGCATCCACTGCGTAAAAACTTGCTGGATAAGTTGGCGGTTCATTCCGCTGTGGCGACCCCGGATTAATAAAGGGACTAAGCCGACAAGAAAATGAATGAATGAATGAAGCCTTTAAATGTCACTTTAAGCTGAATACTAGTATCTGTATGAATATCTAGTAAAATATTATGTGCTGTCCTCATGGCAAAGATAAAAGAAATCAGTCATTAGAAATGAGTTATTAAAACTATTATGTTTAGACTTGTCTTCTTTCCTTTAAACAGAAATTTGGGCAAAAATATACAATGGGGCTAATAATTCAGGAGGGCTAAGACTTCAACTATGTATACAAATAAGAAAAATCAATATGCACCCTGTGGTATATACTTTCTGTATAGAGATTTACATTTAATAAACACAAATGAAAGCTGTTCTTATTTGCCTGCTGTCATTTTTAATAGTGTCAGAAAGTTTGATAGATTTTTTATGCATGTTAAAGGAATAAAACAGTAGTGTTCAGCTATGGAAATATAGCCCACTTTAATATTCTCTAGATTTACTATAATGAGTAAAATGTCAATCCAACGAATGGTGACTTCTTTTAAAGGGGACCTATTATGCTTCTTTTTACAAGATGCAAAATAAGTCTCTGATGTCCCTAGAGTGTGTCATTTCAGCTCAAAATACTCCACAAATAATCTCTTATAACTCTAAAACTGCACCCTTTTAGGCTTTGATTTTAATTGTGCTGTTTTGGTGGCTGCCACTTTACATTCAAATGAGATGTGCTCTTTTCAAAAGAGGACAGAGCTACAAACGTGTCAGCATAGTGGCAGATTCAAAAAGTCATACGCTAATGAGAAAAAATGGTCACTAATGGGCGGGGCTTTCCCCCTCTGATGACATGTATAAAGAGAGAATGTCAATTAAAGTGTTTCTGCAGACTGTTTTTATAAAGTGTGATTATTAAAAGATAAAATGTATAGATTAGAAGCTGGTTATATTCACAAACTGTTGCCACGCAACTGTTTAAACAACTTGTAAAAGTGATTTTTGCATAATAGGTCCCCTTTAACTCATTGTACATTGGCTTATTTTCTTTTACAGAAAATTGGTATTCACAATTTTTCCAACTTTTCTTTTTTCACAATTTCTTATTTCTTTTAGTTTTGTTGAAATAATAATAATAAAATCAAAACCAATATTATAGTCCCCATTAAAAGAGACCTTTTATGCTCCTTTTTACAAGATGTAAAATAAGTCTCTGATGTCTCCAGAGTATTCCCAAAAAACCAAACAAATACTGTTTTAAAACTCATTGAAACTGACCCTTTTAGGCTTTGATTCTAATTGTGGCATTTTGGTGACTGTTGCTTTAAATTCAAATGAGATTGTGCTCTTTTCAAAAAAGGGTGGAGCTAAAAATGCCTATGTATCAGCATAGTGGCAGATTCCAAAAGTTTTATGCTAATGAATGAAAGATCGTCACTAATGGGTGGGGCTTTTCCCCTTTGATGACATGTTTAAAGAGAGAATGTCAATTAAAGTGTTTCTGCAGACTGTTTTTATAAAGTGTGATTATTAAAAGATAAAATGTATAGATTAGAAGCTGGTTATATTCACAAACTGTTGCCACACAACTGTTTAAACAACTTGTAAAAGTGATTTTTGCAAAACAGATCCCCTTTAACTCATTGTACATTGGCTTATTTTCTTTTACAGAACATTGGTATTCTGTTATCTAAAATTTAAAAAGAACATGGTACTTGTGTTTGTTATTTTATGGCAAAAAGATTTTTACAAGCTCTAAATGGCAACATTTTCATTTTAAATTGCTCTGGATATATACTTTGCAAGGGAAAAAAGTCAAATTTTTATAATAACAAAATTATTTGCCCCCTGTGAAATGTTTATTCTTTTATTCTAAGTCATGTTAAAGGGAGCAAGGACATTTTTCGCAGTTTTTCCAAATTTTCTTTTGGACAAATTCTTATTTTTATTAGTTTCACTGAAATGATAATAATAAAAAAATCTAATTCAATATTAAAAGCCCTATTAAAGGGGAACTTTTATGCTCCTTTTTACAAGATGTAAAATAAAACTGATGCCTCTAGAGTAGTCCCAAAACACCAGACGAATACTGTTTTAAAACTCATTGAAACTGACCCTTTTAGGCTTTGATCCTAATTGTGGCGTTTTGGTGACTTGTCGCTTTAAATTCAAATGAGATACTCCACATCTTAATTACATTCCTGTTTAGTTCAGTTATGACTTTAGTCGGATTAAGGTGATCAAAAAAAAAAAAAAAAAATCGCACTTTTGAGCTTATGTAGGCCTACAGCTCAAAATTCATGTTTAACTGAATAAACAGTGAGAATACACAAGTACATCTTATTGAACATCATTTATTTTCATCACCAATTATCATTGTAGAACAGTTTCATAAGCAATTTGTGATTCATTTTGGAAACAGGAGATAAGCCCCTGGTCTAATGCGCCACCTGGCTTGAGAAACCCATTCTCAAAGACTTGCTTTTAGTAATTATTCGCATAGCACACATATTCAGCAGAATTCAAATGAACCATTTTAATCTAGATTCATTTCAAGATTACAGTGAGATTATTCTAGATTAAAAAATTAATTTATGCCTAACTATAATTATAACAATACTTTATTATTAATTATAATAAAAAAACATGTAGAATTTATTATTATATAATTATATTATAAAAAAAAATCAATAAATTATTTGCCTCCTGTGAAATCAAGGAAAACACTAAGAAACTGGTTATTATAAATTAGTTTTTTTTTAAATCATGTAGAAAAATGTGTTAATATTTGAAAAAAGAAGTACATTTTTACAGGATGGCTAATCATTGTTTCCCCTACCATTATATTAGGGTGGCACCCCGCCCTCTATTTTAATAAACAAGCTGAATAGCCGTATGTAATATCTTATTTACACAACGGGCATGTAATTTCTGTCTCTACATGGTCGTGCGTTTACAAATGTATTCTCTTCGAACCCCACACGACGGAGTTACACACAGCCACTCACACAGCTGTATAGGAATGAGAGTGCGACACACCTGACAGGACCAATAGTTTCTCAGAAGTTAATCACTTTTACAATTGTTGTTTAATTCTTGTAAATCAAACTAATTAAAAAATGATTTTTTTGTATGTATAGTCGTACAGAATATCTTCTGACAACAATAACAATGTTGTTTTGATAAAATTATGTTGCCGTTATGTAACACCCATGGATTTCGGCTGGCTAGGATGTCACGTCAACCTACAGAAAACCTAGGGGAATCACTGCTAATCATTTTGCCTTCAACTGTTTTTAAAGATACAGTCAGTTATGTAGGAGTTTAAAAAGTCAAATTATTAAAATCTAAAACTATACTTTCAGTAAAATAAAGCAACAAAACAAACACACACTAGGTCTTGTTATTTGATGTCTTTATTGGGCATAACCCAAAAGAATAATAAACTCAACACAACTTAAACGGGTAACTCTTTACAATACAGAACATGTAGTTAATAATGCTAGTAAACAAAGGAAGATCTTCGTGAATGTTTAGTTTAAACAGTTTCTAACCTGACACCATCAGCACACAGCAAAGCATACAATCATCCCAGAAAACAGCATGCCTATTAGTGCCCTCCATACCTGAGGATGGATACAACACAATTCATATCTAAAACAACATCATATACACACATATATATATATATATATATATATATATATATATATATATATATATATATATATATATATATATGTAAACATTTATATTGCATAGAAAAAATGTTGAAAATAAAGACAAAAAAATAAATGTTCTTAAGGATTTTCTTGGGTTGCGCTTGTCTAAAAAGTACTGACAATTTTATAAAATATTTAATGAACATATGAAATCATTATATTAACTGTTTAAATGACGCATTACACCATCATCCTATCAACATAAGACACAACAAGCTTACAGTGACAAGCAATTGGGCTGTCTGCACCAAACGCAATGCTACGGAGCCCCTTAAGTGACATGTGGAAGAAATACTACTGATGAAGACTTTCACATTTGCACGACATCGACATATATATCACATGTGCACAACATATATATCCAGTGTGAACAACATAGACATACATATCGCATGTATATGACATAAACATACATATCGAGTGTGCACAACATACGTATCGCATGTGAACGACATATGTGACATAGATCTGCATGACATACAGTTGAAGACAGAATTAATTATTTTTATATATATTTTCCCAAATGATGTTTAACAAAGCAAAGAAATGATCACAGTATGTCTGATAATATTTTTTCTTCTGGAGAAAGTCTTACTTGTTTTATTTCGGCTAGAATAAAAGCAGTTTTACATTTTTTTTATAAACATTTTAAGGACAAAATTATTTGCTCCTTTAAGATATTTTTTCTTTGATAGTCTACAGAACAAACCATCATTACACATTAACTTGTCTAATTACCCTAATCTGCCTAGTTAACCTAATTAACCTAGTTAAGTCTTTAAATTTCACTTTAAGCTGTATAGAAGTGTCTTGAAAAACATCTAGTCAAATATTATTTACTGTCATCATCGCAAAGATAAAATAAATCAGTTACTAGAAAAGTTTTTAAAACTATTATGTTTAGAAATGTGTTGAAACCATCTTCTCTCCACTAAACAAAAATTGAAAAAAAAAAAAAAAAACAGGGGGGCTAATAATTCTGACTTATATAAGTATAGTTTACACACAACGTAGACATATATATCGTGTGGGCACGACATACGTATAGCGTGCGTACAACATAGACATATATATTGCGTGCACGACAAATGCACAGCGTGCACAACATAGACATATATATCACATGTGCACTACATACGTATAGCATGCGCACAACATAGACATATATATATATATATATATATATATATATATATATATATATATATATCGCGTGTGCACGACACATATAGCGTGCGTACAACTTAGACATATATATCGCGTGCACGATATACACACAGCGTGCGCACAACATAGACATATATATCACATGTGCACTACATACGTATAGCATGCGCACAACATAGACATATATATATATATATATATATATATATATATATATCACGTGTGCACGATATACACACAGCGTGCGCACAACATAGACATATATATCACATGTGCACTACAAACGTATAGCATGCGCACAACATAGACATATATATATATATATCGCGTGTGCACGACATACATATGGCGTGCGCACAACATAGACATATATATAGCGTGCACGATATACACACAGCGTGCGCACAACATAGACATATATATCACATGTGCACTACATACGTATAGCATGCGCACAACATAGACATATATATATATATATCGCGTGTGCACGACATGCATATAGCGTGCGCACAACATAGACATATATATCGCGTGCACCATATACACAGTGTGCGCACAACATTTTTTTTTTTTTTTATTGAATTCAATAACAAACATACAAAATTCAATTTACACAAAAGAACACAATGACAATAACAGATCAGGATAAATAATATAAACTTTAAAAATTAAATAAAAAGAAACAAAAGAGGGAAAATAAATAAATAAATAAATAAAATTTAAACATATACATAACACAAATACAGCAAGAGGAAAGGAGGACTTATGTATCCGTGCTGTTTCCAAAATATTTATCATAAAAAACTAAAAATCTATCACTTTTCTTATTATTAACTAATCTAAGAGATTTAATAAAAACATCAATTTCTATTAAAAAATGTGAAAAAGAAGGCTGCGAACTGGAGAATTTTTGTTTATGGATAAAATATTTTCCATACAAAATAAAAAAGTCAATAATGTAAGTCTCTGATACATCAGCCCCACCTCCATAATAACAAACGACATCCTGAAGATGAAAGGGTCTGGAAGAAGCAATGTGGTTACCTATATGGAGATATAAGTTTTTCCAAAAGTTTTTTGTACTTTCACATTGAAAAAATATGTGAATCAGCGTTTCGTCTTCACTCTTACAAAATGTGCATGAACTGTCAATCTCCAAATACTTTGCCAAAGTACCGTTTACTGGGTATATTTTATGAAGAATTTTGAAATGAACCTCTTTTGTTTTATTGGGAATGCAGTACTTATGAGGTAATAGCCAGGCTTTTTTCCAGTCTGTTGTGTCAAGGAAGGATGCCCAGTAAAATTTGCCTTTAGGAACATTATGTTTTTTATTTTGAAAAAGTTGTCGAATATATTTATTATTACATTTGTTGTGAAATAGACTAATTCCATTTAAAATCAGCTCTGGTTCTTTTATAAGTGTGCGCACAACATAGACATATATGTCGCGTGTGCACGACATACGCATTGCATCCGCATGACATAGACATATACTGTGTGTGCACCACATACGGATTGCTTCATATGACATAGACATACCTATTGTGTGCATATGACATGGACATACATATTGCGTGTGCACGACATCACGTGAGCACGCTAACGTCTTCAATATTTTTTCCCCACATGTCACTTTAGGAACTCCTTATGATGCGACACAACAGAAACATTTAAATACAGACATTGTGTGCACATTGTGAGTCACTTTCTGAATTTTGTTTTCGAACCGTTTATTTTCAATATCTGAGGTGTGTCTGCTGCCGTTTTCAGACGTATGGACATAAATGTCACTTATAATGGTATTCAAACTCACATTGGTAGCATTTAACACTGGATAAAGCATATAGTCTGTACCTGAGGTGATCATTGGCATAGTAGTTTATGCCATTGTTTTGCTGTGACTTTGTGGAAATAGAAACTAAAATGGTCATTTCTCTTTATCCTGTGTGTAGTTAGGACTTGGTGTTATTCTATTCTGTGAAAATATTTTTGCAGTTTTGAGGTTCTCTAGGTTTGTTAAAGGGACTCGTCTCCATCAGAAAAACTGCAGTCTATTTAGCAGAAAACAACATAATTAAGGTAAAAAAGCACTTTAAAAAGCCATTTAAGTTTTCAAAAATGGCAATAAATACAACAACTTGAGGATGACAATATAAGGCACGTATCCTAATTTAAAGGAATTCATACTCATAGCTGCATCTAAGCTCTTAATTTTCATCAAGCATTATATTAACAGGTCTAGCCATAAAGGTTGACAATGTAGTATGTGGAGATGGAATAAAGTTAAGGTGGAGGGAGTTTGGATTTTCTACTGCCTGACCTCCTGATCTTCAGCTCCTGCTCATATCGCTCCAGCTGACTCCAGAATCCTGGGTTAGGCTCGACTACTGATCGGGCACTTTTTACTACCTGTTAGAAAACATGGAAACAACAGAAGAGCTGCTTTGAAATGTGATTTTGTGCTTTAAAATGTGCATTCTGCTATTCTCCACTTCACTTCCTAATCTGCAATTGCCTCTGAATATCACACTAACTGTACCCAAAAAAATAAATAAATAAATAAATAAATAATTTTTTTTTACTAATACTACTAATACTTTCCTTCTTAGACTTTACAGACCTGAAACTTGCCTATAGCACTTATTCATTGTTGCTCTTAGTTGTGTAAATTGCTTCCTTGTCCTCATTTGTAAGTCGCTTTGGATAAAAGCGTCTGCTAAATGACTAAATGTAAATGTATTCGATATTTGACATAATCTCAACTGAAACAGGAAGACAGGGCAGGACAGAGTAGCTCCTTCCCTTTTTTCAAAGACAGACAGTTGCAACATAGGCTTATTCTGGAAACGTAGCCCTATATACCTGTCTGGAGATTGCAAATTATGTGTTGTTATTTCACGCGGCCGTCATTTTAATAGCTGATTTGACCTGGTATTCACCAGTGCTCAACAGAAATGACTATGATTGGCCGTGACAGTCAACAGGTCACCACTTTTCAGAGAGTGCAAACAGACATACAGGGATGCTGGAGCGTTTTAAAGCCGTGAAGATCAGTCGATTACTAGCCTGTGTTTGCACTCGGTAAACATCGGTGAAGTGCGGTGAACGGATGCCCGGCCAATCACAGTCATTTCTGTTGAGCATATGAACACAATGACAAATCAGCTGTGTTTAAGGTTGCGTACAACAGTGCTTAAATATTAGTGGGAAATTGACGGTTTTTAAATTTCAGTACCGAAATTTAGAATCAAGTCTACTATTAGAAGTCTAATGTAGTGAACGAATCAGTCAATTAACGTGAGTTTGATGAATGGCATCTAATACGTGTGTTTGGGAAAGAAAACCTTTGCTAACTAGTCCCATTTCCATTAACATAGCCGAAAGTTAGGTCTGATTTCCCTTTTTATTTTCAAAATCAAATCAGAATGGACGTTCGCCCTGCTGAAAAATCCAGCTTAAACCAGCCCAGGATAGTTGGCTTGTTTTAGCTGTTCGACCAGCCTGGTTTTAGAGGGGTTTTGGCCACTTCCAGGCTGGTTTCCAGCCATTTCCAGCCTGGTTTTAGCTGGACAGGCTGGAGATGACTAGCTAAAACCTGCTTGACCAGTCTAGCCAGGCTGGGAGCACAGCCAAAACCAGCTAAGTCCAGCTTAAACCAGGATGGTTTTAGATGGTTTTAGCTGATCACTTTCCAGCCAGACCCGCTAAGACCAGGCTGGAAATGGCTGGAAACCAGCCTGGAAGTGGCCAAAACCTCTTTAAAACCAGGCTGGTCGACCAGCTAAAACCAGCCAATCATCCTAGGTGGGTTTAAGCTAGATTTTTCTGCAGGGCGGTCACTCAGAAAGGGGTGACATTATAAATTTCTGTCATTTTTTTTATTTGATGATAAGATGCACAGCCAGGTACACAACGTTCCTGTGTGACTCTAGGCAATTTTTCTGAGTTTCTTTCCATTTCAGCCTCGCTTCCACTTTTAAAAATGGCGCCTGGGTGTAATCAGTCCATGGCGGCACCTGCTGGTACGTGTAAAGAATAAGGTCATATTGCAGAAATAGATGTGTTGCCTCAGTTACAGCAGTAAACAAAACAGTATGATGTCAAATCTAGCAGGATTTTATCGATTTCATAAATGACAAAGCATCAATTCACAGATTAAATTCAGGCAAACTTTAGCATACAATTAATTATACAAAATAAAATCCCTCATAAAATAGAATTTTAAGACTTTTTAGTCATTTTAACGGCCGTAAATTTCTCTAAAATGATTAATCAACCTTACTGGGAATCTTGCTGTCTGTGAAGAATAAGAGAGCTCTCAGATATCATCTAAAATATCCTAATTTGTATTCAGAAAATTAACAAGGTCTTAGGGGATTGAAATGACATGAGGGTGAGAAATTAATAACAGCATTTTCATTTTTGGGTGAACTTACCCTTGAAAATAACAAGAATAAAATAGCTACTTAAAGGGATATTTCACCAAATTTTTTTTTAATTTACTCACTATTTTCTCACCATCAAGAGTTTTCAAAACTTTGAGTTTCTTGACTTCCAAACTAGTAAAAAATAAATACCATGGGAGTCAAGGGTTACAGGATTTCAGCATTTTTCAAAATATCTTATTTTGTGTTCATCAGGAAAAAAAACTAAGAGGTTTGTGAAAAGTGAATAATGCGCAAATGATGAAAAATTGCCATTTTTGAGGTGAATTATCCTTTAAATATTCTTTAATGCTACATGTTTCCTGACTAAAACTGTTTAATATCCAAACTGAATTTGATGTAAACATTATTCATACCTGGAAGGCATCTGTTAGAGTGAGACTCTGGTGCTTCATCAAATAGGCCACGCAGACAGTAGCTGAGCGGCTGCGTCCGTTCTTGCAGTACACAACGGTCCGACCCCCCCGTCCTGCCTCACTGGCTATAGCATCAGCACAGCGGTCAAAATACCTGTACAGGTCTTCATTAGGGTCGTCATAGACAGGTACACGCAAAGTGCTGACCCGAGCAGAAGGAAAGGGCTGCTGCTTGGACACATTAATACACAGGGTGACTGCCTCCTTCTGGATGAGGTCATTGTTACAGGCTGACCGTGCGTTACTGATCAGCAGACAATCTGTTACTGCGCTCAAATGCAGCATGTTTTGCTATATACTTGGATAAATATGATTATAGGATTGTTGGAAACATCATAAAGTGCATTTGCTCATCATAATCACAGATCAACTCAGTTCCAAGCTTATTTATTAAAATAATAATTGAATATTTTAATAAATAATTGTGAATATTTTCTATGTCACTTTATTTTCTCATATACTATATTACTGTAAGTTATCTATGTTTATTTATATGTTTATAAACTATTAGCTACTAGTCAATTAGTTAAAGGTAACTAATAACATTAACAGTTCCTCGTTTGATTGTATGTGCACCTTTTGTAAAGCAATTATTATTGTGAAAAGCCCTATACAAATGTTCTTGAATTGAATTAATATACTTTACATGTTTTATAAAGACTAATGTTGTTATTGCTGATATAGATGCATATGTCAGATATTAAAGTGTACTGTCTCTTTAAGGAGAATGGTCAGATGTTTCATGCTGGTCCCAATGCCCTTAAATAAGTCTTGCAAAAGCTGTTGAATAAACCAGAGAGGACAGAAAGACATTTAGTATTCATTAAACATTCACAACAAGCACATGCAAAGCAGTTTTGTAAAGAAATCTATAAGTGTCATGCTCCAACAGCATGTTTAATATAGCAGTACGGATATAGTCAACCTTCAAAACATAAACATCAAAATCAGATTAAGAAATCGCTGTGACCTACGGATTGAGCGCGGGGATGATCATCGAAGCGGATTGTCAGCTCCTCTTCCTCCTCATCCTCGATTCCTAATAGCACGATAAACGTGCAGTGAAGGCACACGTAGAGCTCTGGCCCCGCCCATTTATCTGTCAATCATCTCCTCGCCCCAATGACTGGCGTTGGATCGAAATAGCTGTAATTTGAAACCTAAGCTTGACATCCAGCTGACCCTGGAGTTTTGCATCTGAAAATAAATAAATAAAAACTTATCAGTCCTGTCAATTAAGTGATCAAATAAATGACATTTTCTGCAACTATAAAGAGGGTTTTTCGGTAATAATATGTTGAGCAAAAAGAAAACGGATCATGTTTGTTCATTTGAAAAAACTAATGTCGGCTCCTAATGGATTGTTGTGTCTTCACAATTTAGAGGACATTTAGCTACATTATCCATTAGCTTTGTCTGGGATTTAATGGATATTTTTATATATATATATATATTTATATATGTATATATATATATATATATATATATATATATATATATATATATATATATATATATATATATATATATATATATATATATATATATATATATATATATATATACTACCTGACAAAAGTCTTGTCCTTGGTCCCAGTTGTAAGCAACAAATAATAACTTGGAAAAAAGTGGCATAAGGTAGATTTTTCCTTTGAATTATCTGTTGAACTGCATCCCAATCATCACAAATACTGCAGACCTACTGGAACCCGCATGGACCCAAGATTTTCACAGAAATCAGTCAAGTTTGGTAAAGGAAAAATCATGGTTTGGGGTTACATTCAGTATCGGGGCGTGTGAGAAATCTTCAGAGTGGATGGCAACAATTCTTCAGCAGGATAGCGCTCCTTCTCATACTTCAGCCTCCACATCAAAGTTCCTGAAAGAAAAGATGGTCAAGGTGCTCCAGAATTGGCCAGCCCAGTCACCAGAGATGAACATTAGTGAGCATGACTGGGGTAAGATGAAGGAGGAGGCATTGAAGGTGAATCTAAAAATTCTTGATAACCTCTGGAAGTCCCGCAAGATCACTTTCTTTGCCATTCCAAATTACTGTCAGAGATGTATGGATGCAGTCCTCCAAGCTCATGGGAGTCATTCACAAAATTCATTCTGTTTCCACTGCACCATGACTTTATATTCTATACTGGACATTATTTCTGTTATGTGACAAGACTTTTGTCTAAGCAGAGTCAGACCTTACTGTCCTAATGAAATAATTCAAAATCAAGGCATACTCATATTTTATTTTAGCAAAATAAGCGTAATCTAGAGGCCTTTCATTTAAGCCACTTCTGATACCAAATGATCAACTATAAGCCAAGTGATTATTTGTTGTTCCTAAAACTTGTATAGGATATGGTGATGCATTGGCGCAATAGGTAGCATGTTTGCCTCACAGAGGGTCACTGGTTCAAGCTGGGTCAGTTGGCGTTTCTGTGTGGAGTTTGCATGTTCTCCTCGTGTTCATGTGGGTTTCCTCCGGGTGCTCCGGTTTCCCCCACTGGTCCAAAGACATGTGGTACAGGTGAATTGGGTAAACTAAATTGTCCGTAGTGTATGTGTGTGAATGAGTGTTTCCCAGTGATGGGTTGTGGCTGGAAGGGCATCCGCTGCGTAAAGTTGCGTAAGTTCATTCCGCTGTGGCAACCCCGGATTAATAAAGGGACTAAGCCAAAAAGAAAATGGATGAATGAATGAAATATTAAATTATTAAATAAATTAATGTATACGTAAACAAATAAAATGTAAATTACACTGTTTTGTCATTTTATGGATTTCACAACAATTATGAACAAATAAAACAAAATAAAAATGAGAGAAATTATATTAACATTATAGTAAGTATAAACAGTTGCCGAGGGTAAACATAAATACAAAGTTAAGATAATAATAATAAAAACATTTAATTAACCAAATGAAATGTACATAATGCTTCATATGTTTTTTAAGCTTTTCTGTTTCTAATAATACACAGTTCAGTACAATATTGTTTGTTCTCTTTCATGAAATGTTCACAACGTAGCTTTAGCCCTCCACTATTTATTTTTTTTATTTATTTATTTAAAAAAAAAATTTTTTTTATTGAATACAAGAAAAATAACATCACTGCATTGAGGAAAAAATACAATAACAAAAAATAAGAAAGAAGACAGAGAGAAAAAATAAAAAATACACCGCCTCAAACATTAACAAAAAAGATTGTCATAAGCTTTAAGAAACTTATTATTTTTCTTATTATTAATAAGCTTAAGAGATTCAATATTATACGAAATTTCAACAAGGAAAGTATTAAAAACAGTTATTGTTTTTAGAAACTTATTTTTGTGTATAAAAAATTTACAGTGTAACACAAAAAAATTTACAATAAGATCGAGAGCATGACCATCATCCGAGAAATACAGAATTTAGCCCTCCACTACTGAAAGGGAAGTAAACATGCAGTGACGCAGTTGTCCCGCCGATACGTCTGACGTCACGACGTCGTTTCGGAGTTCACAGCAACAAGATGAGAGAGGAAGCCTTGAGATGGAGGCAGGGGGGTGATTTATCGTAAAAAAATAGCGAATTTGGAGACAGTTGACATTCCGTTTTCAGAAAGAGATGTAAAAGTCTCCCCAAGGAAGAGTCGTGTGTTAAATTTAGCTATATTAATACTCAGTCAGCACTGGATATTTGGGTGAGTTCCTCAAGTATTGACCGGGCGCCATTTAAACACGCTGTGCGGGAGACAGGAAAGAAATAACCGCTCTCACAGCCCGCACTCGGCTTTCTGCTTCCGCGGACAGATTCTGCTCTCTAATAAACACACTTATTTGTTAGGAGATTGTATTCTCAGTGTGGTAGGCAGTAGAAATGTGGCCTGTTTGTGAAGGCCTCTGGTAGCACCAGGTATTGTGTGTGTTAGCTGGCTAACGGCTAACAGACCTCGAACTGAAGAGAGTTACGACCCCGAGCAAGAGACTACAGGTATAAATTGTGCATCATCAGCTGCCAATTCACGTTTTGTTTCAATTTTCTACGTTCAGTGTAAAAATGTGATTATACCTTGTTGATTTTCATATGCTTGTAATGGGTTCTGTGTTACAACATCATGGTAGTAGTAACACGCCACCCAAAGAAAAGACGTGAAGCTAACTCGGAAAAACAATTATACTGACCAGTGTTGGGGTAACGCGAGTTACATAACAATATTACTTTTCTAAGTAACGAACAAAGTAACGCATTACATTTAAAAGGAAAAAAGTAATAATATTTGAGTTGCTTTAAAAATGTTATGTTAGTTTTTAGATTAATTAATTTACTTTGAAAAAATAAATTGCTTATTTTAAAATGATTATAGTCACGTGGAATCCCGCACGCAATCAGAGACTGCAGGGACAGACAGACAGAAATGAACACGGCAGAGCTTTACATTTCTGTAATTGAAATATTCTCTTTCTTTTGAACTAAGCATGGGCCGGTATAAGATTCTGATGGTATGATAACCTTGGGTAAAAATATTACAATTTTGCAGTATATATGCGACATTCTTTTTGAATGTCTGGGTAAAAAAACAAAAGCTTTTTTCCCTTTTAAACACAATAAATATGATTTTAAGAAACATTTATAACAATAAATCATTGACTTCTTCTGTCTTCATTAGTTTAAAAAACAGATTTGATTTGTTTTACAATTTAAAACGGCATCTTTGCATATATTTTCAGCTGGAGATACTGTTGTCCTGAAAAACGAAACAAAAAAAGTAAATAAATAATCTTCAACATACCTTAGAAATGGTATTGCAGACAATTTTGACTGTTTTAAAACCTTGATTTTTCCAAATCATGATATACCTTGAAAACGGTTATCGTCCCATGCCTATTTTGAACACATGGAAGAAAAGTAAAAGAGCGTTATATGAATGGACAGGGATTTTATTTTTTAAAAAGCAAATAGTACAAAAGTAGCAAGCACATTGCTTTAAACCATAGATCTCAAACTCAATTCCTGAAGGGCCGCAGCTCTGCACAGTTTTGCTCCAACCCTAATCAAACACAGCTAATCCAACTAATCAAGGTGTTCAAGACTACTAGAGACTATTAAGCAGGTGTGAGGTGGTTGGAGATAAACTGTGCAAAGCTGTGGCGCTCCAGGAATTAAGTTTGAGACCATTGCTTTAAGCTGTCATTAATCAGTTTTTTTGTCATATAGAGCTCTGCGGTCAGGAAGTTTTTAAAAGATAACATTTATGCACATTAATTTTGATTGTTTAATTTGTAAAGGTGAAGGTTATACATTGTGTTGTTAACTCCTCTGTTTAAAAAAAACGAAGAAAAAACCCTGCAAATTCTGGAAGAATACGCGAAAGTAACTCAAAAGTAATGTAACGCATTACTTACCATAACAAGTAACTAAGTAGCTCTACTGGTTACTTTTTTGGGGGTGAGTAACTCGATATTGTAATGCATTACTTTCTAAGGTAATTTTCCCCAACACTGATACTGGCGTTCACAGACACGTCAGTGTTACTTAAATTATTTCCCCTCAATTTTTACATTACTTTTAATCTCATTGAAAGCGCATTGGATCGAAAGCAACTCTTAATTTTTTATAAAATTCTTCTACTGAAGTAATACAATGACTTGATCATAGATTACATTAAAATAGCTGCAAGCAAACTGAAAGTGTGTTGTATTTAGGCAAACATACTGGCAGTATTCAAATACATGAGTAGCCATACAGATAGCATTTGTTCACTCTTTCAAAAATACATGATCTGTATCATCATCATCATCATTACCTGTTATGTGTTGATGGATGACTTGGTGACTTGTATTGCAGAAGAACTGTTTTATTTCTGAGTTTATGGTGTGTGTGTGTATGTATTACATTCGATTGAATGGTGCATAATGTGAATTCTCTATTTTCAAAGGTTTGTGAATTTCTTTGAAGGAATAAAAATGTACTTTTCACACACAGAAATAATCATTTGCATCGGTTAGGGTATTCCCAGCCTGTTTTGGTTTTGGACCCAGATTTTACATGGGACATCAAGTGGTGGAAACATTTTTTTTTAAGATTTGGTAACCTGTAAAATAGTATGAATGGTTCAACTTGACCACATTGTTAAACCTAAATAAAAAAATCAGATACAATTAATTTGAAAGGAACATGTTTTTTATTTTATTTGTTTAAATTATTTAAAAGGCTAATTTTACAACTCCCCTTAGAGTTAAACAGCTGAGTTTTACCGTTTAAAAAAATCCAGTCAGCTGATCTTCATGTCTGGTGGTAGCACTTTTAGCTTAGCATAAATCATTAAATCGAATTAGACCATTAGCATCTCACTGGAAAAAAAAAAATTATTGCAGCAAAGATCCTTTATTATTACGACTAATAACGTTTCATTTCCTGCTTTGCATAGATCATTGAATTCGATTAGATCAATAGTATCTTGCTTAAAAGTGACCAAAAAGCTTACATTTACTTTTTAATGCTTATAACTGCAGTTTCATTGTGTACAGGAAAAAAAGTAATGTTGCTATTTTCTAGACCAATATGCATAGGAACTATACTCTCTCGCATAATAATCAAGGAACCATGGCGGCATCAGATGCAATGATGTAACGCAGCACAACCCGCACACAATTCCTGTGCAAGCAGGTGGTCACTTTGGAAGTGACCTAGCTGGGGGCTATTTTCAGGCACTGCATAATGTCATTGCAGCAGGAGAAATGAGATTACACATTGTCTGTAAATAGTAATACTTCAGAATATATAATTATAAAATAGTATAAATGATGTTTGTATTTTTGCAGCAGACACAATATTATGCCATGCTTGAAATGAACCTTTTTTTAAAAAAAAGTGGAGTGTTTCTTTAAGCCAGGGGTGCCCAAACTCAATTCTGGAAGGGCCAGTGTCCTGCATAGTTTAGCTCTAACTTTCTTTAACACACCCGTCGGGAGGTGTCTAGTATAGAAAAAGCTTGATTAGCTGGTACAGGCGTGTCTAATTGGGGTTGGAACTAAAATATGCCGGACAGCAGCCCACCAGTACAGAGTATTGGCACCCCTGCTTTAAGCTAATGACTAAATGCATGTTACACTGTTAGTGTTTAAAGGTATAAAATCTCATAATGACACGTTGTGATTTTATTTTTTATTATTGTGATGTATTACACAGACTTATTTAGCAAAATGATTAGCATAGGAAATGGTACACCTGTCATTTGTCACCCTGATGCATCTAGTATGTGATGAGCACATAATGTTGAGTCACAACCTAACTCTTTTGTAATCAGTGCTCTGGGACTTGCTACATGCAGATAATAGGTTCACAATGAGATTGTACTTTAGTCGTTCTGTTTATAGCACATTTTTCTTGAATTTTTTTCCAACAACAATAAGTTAATTTCATACTTTAATAGCCTTTAAAATTAGTTAAAAAAAGATTTTCCTAAGGTCTTTAACATAATTTACTCTTTTAAGCTAGACCAGCACAGATACCTTGCTGTAGCTGCCTTTCAGCTCTAATGGTTGCCAAATACAATTCCAGAGTTGTCTATGTACTGAGAGTATTTAACTTTTAAAGAGTGAGTTACATCACAAAACTGCTGCTTTCTTAGTAGTTAAGAATAAGGTCTTGCCAACTGTTGTACATTAATACACTGATTACACATGTATTTATTACATGCTAATGACAAATTTGCTGAAATTCATATGCAAATGTAAAATGCATAGTGCTATTGGGATAACTAAAACAGGGTTTCTGCGGGCTCTCAAAAAGTCTTCAAATGTCTTAAATCTCAAAAGCTAAATTTTAGGCCTTAAAGTTTTAACTCTACTGAAGTGTTGTGTTGTAGGTCCTAATCTTTCATTTGTCTTAATTATTTCCCTAAGTCTTAATTTTCCTTTGTTAATTTATAGCTACCCAATCTGCCCATTAACACCTATACAATCACCAACAATCCCAATCTCAATAAAACTTTAAACTTTTTATTTAAACATAGCATTTAAATACTTTCCTTACAGTAACATTTGCTTAAGTTCTCAATTTATTTACTGCTGAGGATACTGACCTGACCCCTATTATTATTATTGTAGACTGAAGTAATTGACAGCTATGTTTTGTGCTATTCTTGGTAAGGGTTATTGCATTCGTGAAATTTACTTGAAAATTACTAAAAAAATATTCAAACAAAATGATTATTATTGTATTATTAAATGTTTTAAACTTTAGTCATTTTTTGATAGGGCAACTGAAAATCTTTTCTAACTGTGATATTCAAAGGCAAAATCAGTTTTTTCATTCATAATGGTCTTAAAAAGTCTTAAATTTAACTTGGTGAAACCTGCAGAAACCCTGTAAAAAGTTTCTATACATTGCTTTGAGCCACTCTTGATACTATAAAAGGAAATAAATTAAATCATTTGCTTTTATAATATCAGCTTTGTGTCTGTTTGCTGTTGAAAGGGCAAACATCTGTTGCTTTCTGTGTTTGAAGTCACGTATGCCTCAAAGTTAACCAAAGCTGCCCTACAGTTTAAATCCTGAACTAATTTATTCACAGTTCAATCTGTGATGAAGATTTTCACTGAAAAGCATTGATCTTTTTGTCTCCAGACACTCAACACCCACAAACATTAATGTCTTTCTTTGACATACCAATTCTTTTGAAGTAAGAGTTGGTTTCTATGCAATAATTTGCATCATGCCACAGTGTTTGGCATTTGTGAGCAGCTTTTTATGCAATCCAAGTTATTTATTCGAAATGTTTTTGCTAATTAGAAAAGCTGTTTCTCTTTAAGTCAAGTCATCCATCTTCACTTAATTGGTTTATTCCTGCAAAAAAAAGTCCTGGAAAGCTATTTTGATCCATTGCAGTTCAACTGAAAGAACATATTAGCATAACCTGTGTAACACTTACTTGGTTACTTGCATAATAAAATGAGAAAAATGGTTCTTATTTAAAGATGGTGGTTTAAGTTGTCGATAACCTTGTGTATTGATTTGTAGTATTGTACTTACCCCCCGCCCCCCAAAGAGTGTTGTTGTCTATGCCCAAATTTTTCAATCACACAATCACATACATTTCTAAAATGAATCCGTGTCATTAACCATGGTTTTTTTTGCCTATGTGTTGTTGTTTTGCATTGATCTGTGCATTTAGTTGCTGATGTTCTCTTGAATTTAGCCAGCGGAAAGAACCCTTAATTTCTCTCCATATCCTCAGGTGTACTAAACCGTGACCATGGCGACTGACATCGGCTCCCCTCCGCGGTTCTTCCATATGCCTCGCTTCCAGCACCAGGCTCCCCGTCAGCTGTTCTACAAGAGGCCCGACTTCGCCCAGCAGCAGGCCATGCAGCAGCTCACCTTCGACGGCAAGCGCATGAGAAAAGCCGTCAACCGCAAAACCATCGATTACAATCCATCCGTCATCAGACATCTAGAGGTATTAGCCTAGCAGAAATACAACTCTCTTTTTTATTGTATGTATTTATTTGGTATAGTTCTGCTTTCACCTCACCCTACAGTTTTTTTTCCTGTAACTTGTTAAGTTTGATTTGTATTGTAAGAATATATTTACTTTCCCAGTACTGGGTTGCAGCTGGAAGGGCATCCGCTGCATAAAACATTCTGGATAAGTTGGCGGTTCATTCTGCTGTAGCGACCCCTTATTAATAAAGGGACTAAGCAAATAAGAAAATGAATGAATATATTTACATGTTTGCACTGAGTAAGATGCACTTAGTCTTGTCGCACATGTATATAATGTACCATCTATATCTGTACAGTTACAATAAAAGCCATTCTATTAGGTTAGTGCTCTTCATTTGATATGCATTTGCATGTGTTGCTAATAAGGAAATCAATAAAAAAGTTAAAATCATAAAGAAATGCATCTCACTGTAAACCAAGCCCTCTTCCTCTGCCACTTTTAACACTTTTCAAATGACTCCCTTTTTCAGAATCGATTGTGGCAGCGAGATCATCGAGATTTCCGTGCTGTTCAACCAGACGCAGGCTGCTATAATGAAGTGAGTGTTTTACTACTACTGCTGCTATTTACAGTTATTGTGCGTGTTTTTTCAGTTTATATCACTAATAAAATAATCACTTTTCTTGTAGCTCGTTCCCCCAGTGGGCATGATTAGCAATCCTATGAATGCTGTCACGACAAAGTTTGTCAGAACCTCCACCAACAAAGTCAAATGCCCTGTGTTTGTTGTGAGGGTAAGTGTTATAAGAAATACATTTTGCTGTAAAACTAATGCAGTCTCACTGCGATTCATAACATTTTTTTTTATTTAAATTCGTATTAATTTTTATTATCTCATTCATATATTTTTTGTATGATTTGCACATCCCCCAATGAGGGGTGGGAATTGGCGCTATTTTTTTTATTATTATTAAAAATTGTATGAATGAAGGGTTCATACTGTCCTGGAAAAGTCCATGGAATTTTCCCCTGCCTGAAAAGTTTTAAAAAAACCAATAAACCTAAAATGTTTTGGTAAAGTCATGGAAGTGTTTAACAAATATCTGTGTACTTGAATATTTTAGATATCTTAAGTATTCTTTTTAGCTTAACTGTTTCATTATTATTTATTTATCTATTTGTTTTCATTTTTTAAATGTGTATGAAAGGGTTTATTGGTCCTTTAACATGACATTCTCTATGTGGGGTAAAAAGCTACTTCAGTTGCAAAAGTTTTAAAAAAAATCAAATTCAGTTTCAGCTGCGGCTCTTTTTCTCGCTTTCACTATAATTCAAGATACATTTTAAATGTGTTGTGTTCTGAAACTATTGCTAACTACAGAGGTAAGATACTGTGAGCGATTAAAGATAAACAAGAAAACACAAACCAACATTTCTGAAATGTTCACACAGACCGCAAGATACTTTCTCCAACTATTTTACAGATTTAAAAGTAAAAATAACTATACAGAGTGTCACTTTTTTATCTGCTGTAATAAGTTTGAACATGTTTGTTTCCCAAATTTACCACACACACTTTGACATTACCTGAATGTTTTAAAAAAGGTCCTGGAATTTTAGTATTAAAAATGTCTATGAACTAGAGGTGTGAGCCTACACTGGTCCCATGGTTTAGCTCGGTTACGGTTATTATGCCATCGATTCCGTTCAATTCGATATCACGGTGCATTGACGATGCTTTCCATAAACAGTTTAATATTTTACTTAGCAACACAATAATTTAGCAAATAAACAAACGTAAATGTTATCCTGCTTGTTTTTGAGGTGGTGTCGAGCGAGTTCTTTAATGCCTTTGATAGGTCACGCGCTCAACGGAAAGGGCTGCGATTGGCTCTAACGCTCTGGTGATGTTCACCGACAAGTGACACTGATATATACGGACGGAGCAATCACAGCTGATCCATGATAGACGTGGTGAAGAAAACCTGCTCTGCAGACACGCTCGTGTCTGGATCAACAAGTTTCTCTATAACAGCCAAGAGGAGATTAGTTTTGACACCACTAGTATCAACCCTGTCCTACGAATTAGCCACTTGAATAGATCTAAAATAGTTAAATTCGACATGAAATCAGGCTTATAAAACCCCATGTACTAAATGTCTGTGTCCTTTTCTTCCTTTTTTATAGTGGACTCCTGAAGGCAGGCGACTTGTAACAGGTGCCTCCAGTGGGGAGTTTACTTTATGGAATGGGCTCACGTTCAACTTTGAGACAATTTTACAGGTAACCATAGAGAGACACAACCTGTTCATAACCTCAAAAGCTTGCTCAAAGTCCGTTATTTATTTATCCATGTTTCTTTCCTTTTTATAGGCTCATGACAGCCCTGTCAGGGCAATGACCTGGTCTCATAATGACATGTGGATGTTAACTGCCGACCATGGAGGTTATGTGAAGTACTGGCAGTCCAACATGAATAACGTCAAGATGTTCCAGGCTCACAAGGAGGCGATTAGAGAGGCCAGGTCTATACACAATCTACCATTTTCTGTAGTTAACCCAAGCCTGTTACTGCTCCTGCAGTGGCAGGGCTCTGCCTGTAGGGGGCTCTCCTCAGTGCTGATATATTCTTCCCTGTGCTGCTCAATGTTCATGTCCTTTTTGATTGATACGTGTGTTTATTTGTCACCTGTGGCTGAGTTATGTATCCTCATCTTTTATATACATAGCTACTTTGTACAGAAAAGGTGTATTTTTCACACTTTTAAATAAAGCATTCCTAATTATTTATACTCAAAGGTGCAATCTAGAATAATAAAAGAAAGAAACAACCATTAAAACACCCTCAGGGATTAAAGTGTTGATGGAAAGGCCTCCGTATCGGAGGAGATTCACTGGTGTAATTGTAGGAAACCTACACAATTTTTAAGTTCACGATGGTTTAACGAGACCGAATCTGTGTTGCCCCTACATCAGAGTCTGCGCCGCACTTTCAACCCTCAAAACAAGTTTTCACTAATAAAAAAAATAAACTTCCTTGAAATAAAGAATAAATATATCACAACTCTATGGGTATAAAAGCACAACATGTTCATCCAGATTCACTGCCACTCATTTAAACACAACATAGAGCATCATTTCAGAAATGATGAACTGCAATATCTTTAAAAACAACATAGGAAGCCTCATTTAAAGTCAGGGTTATTAGATAATAAAATTGCTCATGGGGAATAGGTAGAAGAGAGGCTTTTGCTTAATATATCAATTTTTTGGGGGGGCAGTTCACTCAAAAATGAGAATTCTGTCATCATTTTACTCATCCAACACTTCTTTTAAACCTTTATAAGTTTCTTTATTCTGACCAACACAAAAGAGAATACTTTGAAGAATGCTTGAAACCTGTAACCATATACTTCTATTGTATTTTTTGTACATTGCAAGTTAATGGTTACAGTTTTTTCAGGTACTTTTTGTGTTTAACAGGATACAAAAACACAAAATAAATATTTGAAACCACTCGAGGGAGAGTAAATAGTGAGTAAATGTTCATTTTTGGATGAACTAATCCTTTAACACTTGTATTTCATGGTTTTAGGTGGTGTGCTAAATCTTTGTGTTTAGAAATGGTGTGCTTTTGGAGGTTGGTGAACTGAGGCAGGCTCAGTTTGGCCAAGTGCTTGTGTGTGCCCTTTGGAAGGAAAGTCTGAAGGAATGATCACATTCAGCAAATTAATAGGGATGCTCCGATCGATCAGACGGAGATCAGTATTGGCTAATAATCACTTTAAGACTTGATTGGTACTCTCCAATCTGACCGATCGCATTAACCGATCGCAAGTGTTCGTTTACGGGTTTACACGCAGAGGAAGATCCATTTCAACTGCTTATGCATCAAATAAGCACTCCAAACGTTTTCTTGATGAGACATGTTGAATTCTCCTTTCGTCATTTGCAATGTTTCTAAATCGCTTTATTAGTCATTTTTCTTACCAAATCTTGTCTATTATTTTCTGTAAAGCTGCAACTGACTGACATGTTCTCATAGTTATACGAGACGTGTTTGAGAGATTATATCCAACATCCTTCATTTATTCTCTTGGGAAAGGAGAGATCTCCACTTAAGTATCACACTTAGAGTGGAAAATGTGCTTTATGCAATGTTAAAGTTATATAAAGCTTCAAGCATCAGAATCTCTGTATTGGCCGATCACAGTGATGAGGAATCAGTACTCTGTATCTGCTCCAAAAGTCCTGCCCGGAGCATCCCTACTAATTAAATTAATAGTCCATATAACTTTCATATCTTCATTCCATTTCCTGATATTGCACGGCAGGGCTCAGAATAAAGTCGGTAATAAAGTTCAATCCTTTAGGCTTTTCACAGCAGAACAGCTGTTTCAGGGCAGTCCACATTGGAGTTTTAGTGAGGGATAGTTCACCTAAAAATTCTGTCATGTACTTGCCTTTCACTTGTTACAAACTTTTGAGTTTCTTCTATGAACACAAAGTTACTTTGAAGATTATTGGAAAGTTGTGACTTTGATAGTAGGAAAAACAAAAACTATGGAAGTCACATGTTTCCAACATTCTGCAAATTATCTTCTTTCTTGTTCAACAGAAGAAAGAAGCTCATAAATGTTTTAAACCATTTGAGAAAGAGTCATTTTTAGTGAACTATCCCTTTAAAAGGAGAGTATGATAGCATAGTCTGCTGTGGAGACGGATGGTTCCTTGTCAGATCCACTAAGGGCCCCTGCAGGGTTTAAGGTGTCGAGCCTACAGAGAACTGCTATGTTATCCTTCATTGTTGATTTTCTCCCTGCTGTGTCTTCAGTTTCTCTCCTACGGATAATAAATTTGCCACTTGCTCTGATGACGGAACTGTTCGCATCTGGGACTTTCTGCGCTGTCACGAGGAAAGAATCCTGAGAGGTATGTTATATAAGATGTGGAGGTCTTTTGCAAATGCTTTCCTTTAAACACAAAATCACGCGGTACTCCTTTTGCCTTTTACACACGTGCACACACAGATCTGCACACTGAAGACATTATGGTTTTATTTGTGTACCAGTGTTTTTTTATTTAGGAAACTGAAGACACTCGATTGTGGGAAAAGGTTTTTGCTTTGAGTATTTTTTTTTTTTTGGGTGTTGTTTTTATTGTATGAATAAATAATTTAAAATGTTAAAATTTCCTGCTTGCGCTGATTAACTTGAGTAGTTTTGTTTACTAAACAGACCTAAGTTAAATTTGTTAAATTAAGTTAAATTTGACGAGGAGCCACAGAACAGCATTTTTAGAGTCGCTTCTAAGATTAACCATAATAAAGTCAAGGTTTATCATTTGCATATGTTTTAAGGCCTGTGACGAAGCATTTCTAGAGTTTAAAATATTTGGACTCAAGAAATAAGGACTTTTGGAACTATAACAAAGATTATTTGTCTAGGGTAATGTATTTATTTCTGATGAGGGGTTTCTCTTTCTGTTCCAACATCATGAGATGACGCATGATGCTTGCGCTGATTAACTTTAGTAGTTTTGTTTACTAAACAGACCAGAGTTATATTTGTAGTTCACTTTTACTGCAAACCAACTGCTGATAATTAATAATTATTAAATTTAGTTAGCTTTTATAAAATTACCAAACATTTTATATAAAACATCATAAAACGATAAGGTGATGAATAATTAACTATTTTTTTATTTATGTATTCGATTTGGAAGCAACTATTTTATTTAAATGTTAGCATATAATTGTACACAATAGTCAATATGACACTCTGTTTCAGTACTTGAATAAAAAATATTCATGTTGCTGCTCACTTTTGTGACTTTAAAAAGATCAAGATGTTCGCATCCGCAATCACATTGCAGAATCTTCCATGTTGAGTCTGGATTATAGTTAACCAGGTTCTGCAAAACACAGGATTTTTAGAGTCGCTGCTAAGATTAACCATAATAAAGTAAAGGTTTATGATTTGCATGTGTTTTGAAGGCCTGTGATGGAGAATTTCAAGATAGTTCAAAACATTTGGACTCGAGAAAATATGACTTTTGGAGGTGTAACAGATTAATTGCCTGGCGTAATGTATTTATTTCTGTTCCAACATCATGAGATAGGGCTGCACAATATATCGCTTCAGCATCGAAATCGCAATATGCGCATTTGCAATAATCACATCGCAGGATTTACAATGTTAAGTCTAGATTATAGATTATATTAATGTATTTATTTCTGTTCCAACATCATGAGATACATTGTAAAAAGTGCTTTTCTTACTTAGATTTTTTTTGTCCTGTTTTTAGTCCAAATATCTAAAAATTCTTTTATCAAGAAGCATTTTTTTGGCAAGCAAAACATTGTCTTGTTTTAAGAAATAATATGCCAAAATAAAGTGAGTTTTTCCTTAAAACAAGCAAAATAATCTTGTTATTCCTTTTGACATAAGATTATTTTCTTACCCCATTGGCACCCCATTGCTTGTCTAGAAAATTCTTTTTGATTTTAAGAGTTTTTAGATATTTGGACTAGAAACAAGACAAAAAATCCAAGTAAGAAAAGCATTTTTTGCAGTGTAGGGCTGCTTAATATATCGCTTCAGCATTGACATTGCAATGTTCAAATCCGCAATGATCACATCGCAGGATTTACAATGTTGAGTCAAGTTTATAGTTGACCAGGATCCACAAAACAGCATTTTTAGAGTCGCTGCTAAGATCAACTGTAATAAAGTGGAGGTTTATCATTTGCATGTGTTTTTACGGCCTGTGATGGGAGAATTTTGGGAGAGTTTCAAACATTTGGACTCAAGAAATTATGACATTTGGAGGCATAACAAAGATTAATTGCCTGGCGTAATGTATTTATTTCTGATGAGGGGTTTCTTTTTCTGTTTCAACATCATGAGATAGGGCTGCACAATATATCACTTCAGCATTGATATCGCAATGTGTACATTCGCAATAATCACATCGCAGGATTTATAATGTTGTGTCTGGATTATAGTTGACCAGGATCCACAAAACACAGCATTTTTAGAGTCGCTGCTAAGATTAACCATAATAAAGTGAAGGGTTATCATTTGCATGTGTTTTTAAGGCTTGTGACGGAGCAATTCAAGAGAGTATAAAACATTTACACTCAAGAAATTATGGCTTTTGGATGTGTAACAGATTAATTGCCTGGCGTAATATATTTATTTCTGTACCAACATCATGAGATAGGGCTGCACAATATATCGCTTCAGCTTCGAAATCGCAATATGCACATCATCAATAATCACATCGCTAGATTTACATTGTTGAGTCTGGATAATAGTTAACCAGGAGCCACAAAACAGCATTTTTAGAGTCTCTGCTGAGATTAACCATAAAGTGAAGGTTTATCATTTGTGTGTGTTTTTAAGGCCTCTGACAGAGCATTTCAAGAGAGTTTAAAACGTTTGGAATCATAAATTATACTTTTGGAGGCATAACAAAGATTAATTGCCTGGCGTAATGCATTTATTCACAATAATAACATATCAGGATTTACAATGTTGAGTTTAGAGCTGACCAGGTGAAACAAAACACAGGATTTTTAGAGTCACAGCTAAGATTAACCATAAAAGGCCTTTGATCTGGAAAGTCAAGAAATTGACTTTTGGAGGCGGAACAAAGATTAGTTGCTTTTAATTATTTATACAATGTAATTGTCTTAGAATTTTTTTTCTCCAATATGTCTAAATATCTGCATTTAAAACTAAAACAAGATTATTTTGCTTACCCCATTGACATTATTTAGCTTGTTTTAAGAAAAATCTCACTTAATTTTGACTTATTATTTCTAAAAGTGAAAAATATATGTAAAAAATATATATATATATTTGGACTAGAAACAAGGCAACTCTTAAGTAATTTGCATTGTGATTCTTCAATTTCTCTACCAAAATACTTGTTAGACTCCCTAGGAAAAGTTCAACAGTAATCAAACCATCTGTTGAAACCGTATTCATATCGCAAATTTTTTTTTTTAGATTTTTCCAATATCGTGCAGCCTGATCATGAGACATTTATAACTTGTCACAATTTGTGGGGGGGAAGAAGAAAAAATTATAGAGAGGTCATCTGTTTAAAAAGTTTAAAATCTTTTGAGATGCTGCTGACATTTACCAGAAATGACAACTAAGGCTTTGGTGGGACTTTTTGGGCTGTGTGCTTCGTTTATGTGTTAGAGAGAGCAAAAATAAATAAATAAATTGCAACATATTTACGGCAATTCATAACTTTTTGATATAGTGACTAATCCGCAATAATTTGTACGATCTCATTGGCACAATTTGCTTGTCAACCAATGGCGGTTGGGTCTAGGGGCGAGTTTGGGTGCCACGCCTTCTTTTAAAGATCTTACATTTTCATATGGCTAAACTCGTACAATTTTGCCACTAAACTGACAAAACCTAAAATACTTGCGATTCCTTGTGAAATCAGGCAGTTTTTTTTTTTTGGATTGCTTTAGTAGCAGACCCAGAGAAAGCATTGTGACTTGAGATTGACTAGGTTTAGAAATCATAACATTTATCCTTCCTAAAACGAACAGTTCATGCACTCTTGAGAGTAGGGCTGCACAGTATATCATTTTAGCATTGATTTTGCTCTGTGCGCATCTGCAATGGTCACATCACAAGGTGTGCAATGTTGATTTTATATTTTTGGATGATAGGGAAGGTGAGCAATATTCAAGAGTGAAAAGTCATTAAATGTGTTTTAAGGCCTTTGCATTCAGGGAAAAGACAGTTTACAGTTTGTATTTTTAATAAAGATTAATTTCACTGAATTAATTATACAATGAAAGCTGTACAGGCTTATTTAACATTTAATTATTCAATTTCTGTATCTGACTCCTTGGAAAAGCATAAAGCACTGTTTATTTGATTTGCTCTTCAGTGTTTGGACTTTCAGCAGTGAAAATTAAACCACTGAACAAAACTGAACTTCAACTCTGAAAACGACTGACACAGTTTCAGTTCACTACAACTTCTATGTTAAGCTGTTTTGACACAATCTACTTTGTAAAAGCGCTAGAGACATAAAGATAAATTAAATTGAGTTTGTTACACTTTTATTTTTGCTCTGTTTTATGGAGAGGCACTCGCCTACAGAATCATTCAATGTTAAATCACAAATTAATAATTGTCTTATGAAAGTATGTTCATGTCGCATTATATATTGCAGAACAAAACGATCTAATGTGCATTCAAATGCAGCTATGGTTAAGTAATTTAGGGGATGGCTTTAAAGTTGTCAGTTACTCTCAAATTTTGATTTATAGTTTGTGTTGGAGTAAAACATCATTTTAAAATTTATTCTGTATGCTAAAGATGACAGTTCTCATGTAAAATACCAGTTGAAAATAACTGGAAAGGTATTTTCTTTTGTTAAATTCATTCGACACAATATAGACATTTTTACTTAAGAAATCAGTATTTAAAAACCCCTGAACTTCTCTTGCAGCAAATGAAAACATTTGTTATTCTGACCAAATGTCATTTTCTGAAAAAAATGCTTTAATCACAGTATTTTTATTTGAAATATGTTTCATGATATCTTTATGATAACATTAAATAATATTATTAACAAAAAAAAAAAGTATCATTTAAACACACGCACCCAGTAAATGCACAAAATACTGAGAAACTTGAGAATTAGGCTCTTTTATACCAGTTTAGTGGCAGGAGTTTTTTAAAATTAGATTAATTGACATTTCAATAGCTTAAACCAGTTATATGGCGTTTTGAATTTTAACAATTGCTAAATAGAAAGTATTACCTTTAACCCTCTAAAACCGACGGGAGCGCCAACAATAAGGTTTATGTCTGTTTAAAAGCCAATAAAAAACGAAAGCATATTGGTAGAGCAATATTTTTTTGCATATGAAATCAGTGTCGTTATACTTTCAGATCAAGCCTAAAACGGTCTCCTGTTGCAATATTTTCACTCTTTAATTAGTTTACACAAACAGCCTAAAAGTTTTACAAAAAAAAAAAAACACTTTAATACATTGCACACCTTTGTTGTTAGGTTGTTAGATTCAGGATCTATTGGATTTCCTTACGACTGACAAAAATACCTATTATTTAAGAAATGCACAATATTTTTACTTTGGATAAAAAAAATCTCATGATTTAAAGTTTTTAACATTTTTGAAAATGTAAAAAACTTAAGATTTTCTACATTACAGTACCTTTTTAATTAAATAAAATGATTTCTAAATTATCAGTTTTGGTTCTGAATGCTGTCTCAGTTGCAGTGATCAGGAATAGGCCCGACAAAAGAATCAAAAATAGATATGCAGCTATTAATAATAATTTTAACAGCTATTTTTACATAATCACACTGATTTTTATAAAAAAAAATTTGAACTTTCTGCCACAACAGAGATTTGTGCACTTAAACTGTAGATTTTACTTCTTTCCCCCTCATGTTTGTGCAATATTAGTTTCTTCACCAGCTAAACATGCAGTTATTAAGTATTCATGAACAATAACTAATTAATTAGCATTAGGAATTGAAAATAAACAAGCTTATCCTTAACACTGAGCAATTTTTTTAGGACATTTTTGTGATGTGTGCTTTAAAATAAGCTTCTCGTCAGTCATTTTTGACAATTATTATGCTAGTTTAGTAGCACGATGCTCAATCTAGAAATGGAGTTTGATCAAATGATTGTAAAATGTAACGTATATATAACAGAGTGCAAAATGTATGATTATAATGATTACAAATATTGCCCTTGTAATGTTAGATTTAGAGGCACCATAGAGAATGTATGTATAAATTACTAGAGCTTTATTATATGGAAATTCCAAATGTAAAACAAAAATTGCAAATACAATATGTTTTTATTTTTATGCCACACATTTATTTCACAACTTCCATGTGTTTCCAGGTCATGGAGCAGATGTGAAGTGTGTGGACTGGCATCCCACAAAGGGCTTGGTGGTGTCCGGCAGCAAAGACAGCCAGCAGCCCATCAAATTTTGGGACCCAAAGACTGGACAAAGCTTGGCAACACTGTAAGTTATCGTAAATCTTATAATATTTGTATGTACGCCCAAATAATTTAATTGTTGATGCCTGTTAACTGTTATAATTGTTGTTGCACTTGAAATTTGTGTATGCTAAAGTATGTTTCTCAACCATATTCCTGGAGGACCACCAACACTACAGGTTTTGGATCTCCCCTTACCCCTATTACAGCTCTTTCAGTCTCTGCTAATGATCTGAATCAGGTGTGTTTAAGTAGACAAGGAAAATGTGCAGAGCTGGTGGTCCTCCGGGAACGTGGTTGAGAAACACTGTGCTAAAGTGTTATATTGACTTAAAGAGGTAAAAGTAAATAATTCAGGCAATTAATCTTCCAGTTGTGTGTGTGTTTTTTTTTTGCAGACATGCACATAAAAACACAGTCATGGAGGTGAAGTGGAACCTCAATGGCAACTGGCTGTTGACAGCATCACGAGACCATTTATGCAAACTGTTTGACATCCGCAACCTCAAAGAGGAGCTGCAGGTTTTCAGAGGACACAAGAAAGAAGCCACAGGTATAGTCCTAAAGGGGAAGTGTGTGCATTGCTTATATGTTAGTAAAGCGTGTACTTTATACCTCAGGTTTTTCAATTTTGTTTGCAGCTGTGGCCTGGCACCCAGTTCACGAAGGCATGTTTGCCAGTGGAGGTTCTGATGGATCACTACTGTTTTGGCATGTTGGGTAAGCATTGTTGATTACCTTGAAGCATTCCATGTAGATAGCATATGGGTACCATCCATATGGGTAGTATTTCATAAAGGTAGCATCTATATAGGTAGTATTGCATATGGGTATGAACCATATATGTAGTATTCCATATAGGGAGCATAAGGGTAGCGTCTCTTTGGGTAGTATTTCACATAGGGAACATGTAAGTTGCACCCAAATAGGTAGTATTCCATATTGGGAACATATGGGTAGCATCTATATAGGTAGTATTCCAAATGGGGAGCATATAGGTAGCATCTATATAGGTAGTATTCTAAATAGAGAGCATATAGGTAGCATCTATATAGGTAGTATTTCATATAGGGAGCATACGGCTAGCATCCCTATATGATGTATTACATATAAGTAGCATGCAGGTAGCATCCAAATAGGTTGTATTCCATATAGGTAGCATATGGCTAGCATCTATAAAGGTAGTATTCCATATTAGTAGAATATGGGCAGCATCTATTTAGGTAGCATCCATATAGGTAGCATATGGGTAGAGTCTATATAGGTGGTATTCAATATAAGGAGCATATGAGTAACATCCATATATGGAGCATATGGGTAGCATCTATGTAGGTAGTATTTCAAATAGGTTGCATGTGGGTTGCATCCAAATAGGTTGTATTCCATATAGGGAGCATATGGCTAGCATCTATATAGGTAATATTTCATTTAGGGAGCATATGGGTAACATCGATATAAAGATTCTATTCCATATAGATGGCATATGGCTAGCATCTTTATAGGTAGTATTCCATATAGGGAGCATATGGGTAGCATTTATTTAGGTAGCATCTATATAGGGAGCATATAGGTAGTATTCCATATAGGGAGCAAATAGGTAGCATCCATATAGGTAGTACTCCATATTGGGAGCATATGGCTAGCATCCAAATAGGTAGTATTCTGTAACGGTATCATATGGGTAGCATCCATATAGGTAGTATTAGGGATAATATAAGTACTATTATAGGGATCATACGGGTATCATCTATTTGGGTAGTTTTCCATATAGGGAGTGAATGGGCAGTATCCATATATTGGTAGTATTCCATATAAAGGTAGCATATGGCTAGCATCAATATAGGTAGTATTACATATAGGTAGAATATGGGTAGAATCCATATAGGTAGCATATGGGTAGCGTCTATATAGGTAGGATTCCGTGTAAGGAGCATATGGGTAAAATCCATATAAGTAGCATTCCATATAGGGAGCATATGGGTAGCATCTGAATAGGTAGCATTCCAAATAGGTAGCATGTGGGTAGCATCCAATTATGTCATGTTCCAAATAGGGTGCATATGGGTAGCATCTATATAGGTAGTATTTCATATAGGGATCATGTGGGTAAGCATCTATTTAGGTAGTATTCCATATAGGTAGAATATGGGTACCAGATATTTTGGTAGCATCCATATAAGGAGCATATAGGTAGCATGAATATAGGTAGTATTCCATATAGGAAGCAAATAGGTAGCATCCATATAGGTCGTATTCTATATAGGGGTCATGTGGGTAGCATCTATTTAGGTAGTATTCCATATAGGTAGAATATGGGTAGCATATATTTAGGTAGCATCCATATAGGTAGTATTCCATATAGGAAGCAAATAGGTAGCATCCATATAGGTAGTATTTTATATAGGTAGCATATGGGCAGCATCTATTTAGGTAGTATTCCATATTAGTAGAATATGGGTAGCATATATTTAGGTAGCATCCATATAGGAAGCATATACGTAGCATCCATATAGGTAGTATAGCATATAGTGAGCAAATAGATAGCATCCATATAGGTAGCACTCCATATTGGGAGCATATGGCTAGCATCCAAATAGGTAGTATTCTGTAATGGTATCATATGGGTAGCATCCAGGTAGTATTTAATATAGGAATCGTATGGGTACTATCTAGAATCCATTTATGTAGTATTCTGTATAGGTAGCATATCAGTAACATCTATTTAGAGAGCATATGGATAGCATCTATATAGGTAGTATTTCGTTTAGGTAGCACATAGGTAGCATTCATATAGGTAGTATTCCGTATAGGTAGCATATAGGTAACATCCATATAGAGAGCATATGGGTAGAATCCATTTATGTAGTATTCAGTGTAGGTAGCATATGGATAACATCTATATAGGTAGCTTATATGTAGCATTGGTATAGGTAGCATTATTTCAAAAAGAATACTGTGTAAAATAGCTGTATACTTTCATGTTTGTTTGATTGCTAATAATGTGGTTAAAATATTTTGCTAGTGTGGAGAAAGAGGTTGGAGGAATGGAGATGGCACATGAAGGAATGATCTGGAGTTTAGCCTGGCATCCGCTGGGCCACATTTTGTGTTCTGGGTCTAACGATCACACAAGGTGAGTTTGTGTAACAAAACATACACAAAGTTGAGCAAATTGCCAATTTGGTTTGTTACACCAATAGTAGTTGATAGAATTACCGGTGAAATTTTGGTCCCACAGGAAAAAATGTATGTTGTTTATACAATTCTCTGTTTTTAGTTGATTAACATTCTTTGCATAAAACTGAAGAAATTACATTTGATTTTGACTCTTTACTCTATGATCACTTCATTAGCAAATTTTGGACGAGGAATCGGCCTGGGGACAAGATGCGGGACAGATACAATCTAAATTTGTTGCCTGGAATGTCAGAAGATGGGGTGGAGTATGGTTAGTATTGCCCTGAGCTCTTACCATTATAAAGCGTTTTAGTGGAAGTACATATGAATTCTTAATGCTCAATTTTTGCGGTAATTCTAGATGACATGGACACCAATAGTATTGCAGCCATTCCTGGCATGGGGATCCCAGAACAACTGAAGGCAGCCATGGAACAAGAACAATCAGGTTGGGAAACACATTCAGTTACAGTAATGTTCATTTATATTATATTCATGCATTGATAGTTTAATGGTTTATCGATGTTGATGTGCCTAGGGAAAGACATGGTGGCAGAGCCTGAGATGAGCATCCCGGGGCTGGACTGGGGCATGGAAGAGGTCATGCTGAGGGACCAAAAAAAGGCCCCGACTAAAAAAGTTCCTTATGCAAAACCCATTCCAGCTCAGTTCCAACAGGTCAGTTAGATAACTCGGTGTATGGTTTGGTGTCACTGCCAGATTTATTGTGTTTTTGCTTTTATGGATAAGTTATACATTAGTTACATGTTACTTTTAATTGAATTCAATTCAGGCCTGGGCAGAGAATAAGGTTCCGGTGATGCCTGCTGGAGAAGTTCCAAAGGAAAGGAAGGATGAGAAGAAAGTAGATAGCAAGAAGAAGACGCAAGCAGAGATTGAGCAGGAAATGGCTGCCCTGCAGTATACAAACCCAATGCTGCTCGAGGTCAGCAAATGTGCTACTTAAAAAAATGTCAATAATCACTGTATTGTGAATATGAACAATAAGAAAATTCTTTGTTTGTCAACAGCAACTGAAGATTGAGCGAATGGCACAGTTGCAGGAGCAGGGACTTCCTCCCCCTACTGGACAGCAGTCAGGACCAGTTCCGTCCTTTCCAGGGCAAGGTGGTCCAATGCCTCCTCCAGCACAAGGCTTCCCTCAGTCCATGCCTCCACAGCAAACACCACACAACATGCCTCCTGTTGGACCAGGGGGGATGCCTGGTCCATTCATACCTTCAGGCCAAATGGGCCCACCGGGACCTCCCATGCACCAGGGTCCGCCTCCACAGGGCATGATGGGACCTCCAGACATGCATGGACCTCCACGTCATCCCGGCCCTCACAGGAACATTGGACCCCAGGGTCCTCCTGGCATGCCGCCAGGCCCCAGAGGCATGCAAGGACCTCCCCCAGGAGGGATGCACCCTGGCTCTGGTGGACCTCCAGGCAGTATTATGGGACCACCGCCACGAGGACAGGGTCCTCCACAAGGAAATATGATGCATCAGGACATGAGGGGGCCTGTGCCCCATGGAAACATGATGGGCCCTCAGGGACCCATGCAAGGGGGTATGATGGGCCCTCCGCTCAGGACTCATGGCATGGGAAATATGCATGGGATGGGACCTCCTCCTGGGGGTATGCATGGACCACCAAACAACATGCAAGGGCCACCAGGAAATATACAAGGACCTCAAAGCAGCATGCAGGGCCCCCCACCATATATGCAGGGCAAACCCCCACACATGGGTGATGGAAATCGAGGACAGTTCAGCCAGGTGATTATTCCTTACACCCATGAATGTTAAAAGGGTCACGAAACACCAAAACACATTTTTTGAGCTGTTGACAGTCGTATATGTGTCCCATTCTGCTAAAAACACTATTAGGACACCTATATTTCACTAAAAAGTGTAAATTGGTTGTTTTTGCGTTATTTCAAGCAAATTCGTACTTCCTGTTTGAAACGAATTTTTGAAGCTGCGTCACGGCCATGACATAATAGCGTGTATTCCAGCGTGCAGACTGGGCGTCTGTGCCAGAGTGTGTCTAATTACGTCTTACAGTGTGCTGCATTAATGCATGAGTAAGGCTCGGTTCAAACCAATCAGCGCGCTCTATTGTGCAACTTCATTAATAGTCATTACTGTCACAGTGTAGACGGCAAAGATGCCACGTTGTGTTGGCAAAACAAGCGTGAAGTGTTGCTTTTATAGTTTGCTGCAGTTAAGTTTCGTTTTCATTTTCTCTCTGTGAGAGCGCAGACTCATGCGTGGATTAACAGTGTGCGTGACAACAATAACTTACGTGTCTAAGGAGGATTATTGTTTACCTGAGAGCTGTTCTCATCTGCAAACGCTGAGATCCAGATTGTAGTCTCCTCTAAATAAAGACGCGGCTCTAGTTGCTGGTGATTGTCCTGTCTCTACAGATTTGGTAAGTGAGCGACCAGTGCTCTTTGTTTATTCAGTTCGTATTTTATTCGTATCAAACAAACTATTACACCGAGTGCAAAAGTTAGCACTAACAGTTACAACCAAACTATAACCTCGTGTTGGATTTTGTGACCGGAATAACACACGCGGCTTTCTGACGCTACCTGCCGTGTGCATCTAAGTTTCCGGGAAATGCTGAGTTTTTTTTCTCTCATTCGCCGTGCGGGATCAAACATTGCATGAAAAATACACGCTTAGAGCAGTTCCTCAAATCAAATATCACGTTTGTCGGGAGGGACATGAATGAATTCCCTGAATGAAAGAGCCAAACTGCAGTTAAAGTCCAACATTTAATAATTTGGCAAATAATTCGACTACATATGTCCATGTAAACACAGTCACATTGTCCGCTGTGGGTGTGTGTTTTGACTCTGAAATTCAGCGCGCCCAAATAGACACTCCCATACCAAGCCTCTTTTCTTCCTCCGACACTCCCCCCTAAACAGAGCTGGACACGCCCACTTTTCTGACTTTTTCCAAAGTAGAGGTGTGAAAACACACTGCTGAAACGAGGGGGTTTCATGGCCCTTTAAGACAAAGTAGCTTCCATTGCTGAACTGTTTCACATGTGTTCCAGGGTCAGAATCAGCCAATCATGCATGGAATAGGACAGCAGGGTCCTAACGGAAAAGGTAATGCTCTGAATAGTGAATGCTTCAGTGTTGATCTTATGCAAAGTGATTTAATCGTGACATTTGACCCCTTTCGCTGTCTATGTCAGATGGTTCACGAGGGCCACCTAACCACCACATGGCTCACCCACCAGAGCGACAAGGCCCCGGAGGACCTAGTCAGAGCTCAGACGGAGGCCAGTACTGGGGGGAAGATGGGGGTTACCAAGAGGGCTGGAGAAGAGGCCCTGGAGGTCCTGCACAGGAATACTCTGGAGGTCACAGAGGAAACTCTGGAGGCCAGTGGGAAGGCCAGGAAAGGTTTTCCACACGTGATGAAGAGTTCATGGGGTATGTTTCATTCATCATGACTGCATTTCACTCCACTTTTACACATTTTGAAGTGTGTTCCACTTCATCAAATGAACAAGGGAAGGATTATATGGACATACCCTTGACCTCTTAAATTTGAGCAAGGGTTCTTCACATGTCCACTCCAGCACCTTAATGCCCCTGAATGCAACGTGACTGTGATGTCACAACAGCATAGTTTTGAAGGGTTCAAGGGTTTAGGGCATTTCATTTAAACCGATTCAGATGTTCTGCTAATAGTAGACACTTGTAATGGTATGTACACCTGAGTCAATGAGACAGAGGGTAAATGAATGGTAAATTCATATAGTACCATATTTTCACAGGTATGATGGGTACGAGGGCTCTGGAGAGGAGTTTGAACAGAGGTCGAGACGACAACCCCATGGAGATGACTCGTAAGTGATCTCCACAACAGGGTTAGAAATAAAGGGTGGCTTGACGCTAAAGAACCAATAAATTGAACAATGTTTGTCAATTTAGTTTGACGTTTAAAAAGAAATTTGATTATGCAGGTCCTCCAGAAAATATATTTTGTAGGGATCAAGTAGAGGTCTCAGCAACCCCATTTTTAGCCTGCATGGTAGTCAATGTTTTGAGACCTGATCTTTAATAAACTCTTAACAGGCGGAGTTTCAAATCTTGGAACTAGCATTTCTCAATTAATTAATAAGTTCTTGACGCTTATTTTTTGTGTCTGATTGTGTAGATACCGGAGAGGTGGCCCAAATGTGCGTGGTGGGATGGGGGGCTACCAAGATGAGTATGGTGGAGATGAGAACTTTGACTCCCAAGAAGAGATGGGCCAAGGTTGGGGAGGAAGAGGGAGACCGCGTGGTGGACCAACAAGAGGAGGTAAAACCTTCTTCCTTTCACCAGTCCCATCAGCTCACCTTGCCTCTGTTAAAACTGAGGTGTCAGGTTTGAACATGACATCTTTCTTAGGTGGTGTAGGAAGAAAGGGCCTTCTCCCAACTCCTGATGATTATCCCTCTCACTATGAAGGAGGAAGAAACGAGGAGGGCTGGGAGGGAGGGCAAGATTCAGGTAGAACTGCATGAAGGGCATACAAACAAATGTCCTTCTTGTTGTAGTGCAGTTAGATGGGCTTGGTCAAAGTCCTCTTCTGTTAATATCGCAACAATGCAGAGTGTACACTGTTGTTTTAGCCAACATTTACATTTTGTGATCTTAACAGCTCAGTAAGCATTAAATATTACAACATATTCAATGACTTAGAAACAAGCAAATCCTGTAGTGTAAACTATGTGGCAAGTGCAGAAGCAAGGAATCACCAGTGTGGTAGCTCTGAAGTAGCGTTCGCACAATTGATTACCTTTTGCTGTACTCTGATGTACGCCTCTCAAAAAATGTAAATACATGTGCAGTGCACAAGATGTGTGATTGGTAGCAGTGACGGGTGTGGGCGGGGCTGAGAGCAGTGGGGCGGAGTGAGGACGGTGGCAGCAGTTGTTTAACAAGTCTCAAGTCCTACAGATTGATACTTGTTTCATGTTACATTTATGATTTATAGTTGTTCGCTGGTTCCGCCTCTTCTCTGAATGAGTGGGAGTAGCTACAGTAGCATCGCATGCATTTCCGCCATAATCTCAAAACACCGGCATAGGACCATAGAAACCCCACTGCCTACTAGCAGTTCAGAAAGGTTATTGCAGAGAAATATGGATAGGATAAAGAAGTATAAATGCTCACAACAGTGTCGGCTACATGCAAGGTATGCACCTCAGTGTACATGATCACTCTAGGTAGAAGTGTATTTCAGGCTTGGCTCCAACTGCAGTTGTTGAGATAGATTTGATTCTACTAAAATGACTTCAAAAACTATTAAGGTTTCCACTTGCAGAGCAGCACTGCTCAATCTCTGTGCACCAAAATAAAAGCTTTCTGATATTTATATTCATATATATTTTTAAAGCCCCTATTATGTATTTTAAAAAGTCAATTTTTGTTTTTGGGGTTTCCGACAACAGTCTAATATGCATGCAAGTTCAAAAAACACGTTCATTGCCTAATAATATTCATTTATTTTTACCTAATTATCCCAGCGACTCCTATATGACTCGTTCAGCGATTCATTTGTTTCCGAACCCCTCCTTTGGGCGATGCTAATCTGTGCCGATTGGTCCGATGACCCAGTCTGTTGTGATTGGTCGACTGCGTTTAATCGCACTTACACTTGTGAAATGGCGAAAGAAACTGATCCATGAACTGTATACTATATAGTTCCTGTCAAGCTCTGACAAAGTCCCATACATCAGTAGTCTTTTCTGATCCTTCTTTTAACAAACGGTCTATGAATCCCCTGTTGTAATCACGGATGTATAGTAACGAAGTAGAACTACTTCACTACTGTACTTAAGTACTAAAAGGCAGTATCTGTACTTTACTGGAGTATTATTTTTTTCTCCTACTTCCACTTTTACTTAAGTACATATTTTCCATGAGTTTAATACTTTTACTCCGATAGATTTTTTATGTGCTGCATCGTTACTCGTTACTAGGGGTGTCAAAATGATCGATATCAGTTCAGTAATAGGTCATAACCGGTGATTACGTGATGACGTCATTTATCTCCTATGCGCGATGTCGCAATACTATGGCGGAGGACGGAGGCGCGAGTGAAGGCGGCACACGAGCCGCTAATTTACTATTAGGGAGAAATGTTGTAAAACTTCACCTCTGCCTCTCTCTTTCTCACTTTGGACATTTGACCCGCTGGCCTGTTTGTAAGGTAACTTTCCCTCTTTTCTTAGCTGTTAAAGCTGTCGATCCATCCAGACACGAGCGTGCCTGATATTCAAGTTTTCTCCACTTTGTCTATTACCTGTGATCACCGCGTATTCTTCCCGCCATGGGTGAACAGCGCTTCATTTCCAAAGCCTTTTCTGTTGAGCAGATGAAGATAATAACCAATCATCATAAGACCTCGCCTGTCAGCGCTCAAAAAGCAGGCGGTATAATATTGACATGAGTTTATTAGCTGTAAATGCTCGTGCTGTCTTCTGTGCATGAGTTTTTTTTTGATACATTCAGAAAGAGTGCTTTCTTTAAGCAGGTCAAATTAAGAGTAGGGTTCATATATCTGACTGCTGTATTAAAGAACAAAATTGTATTAAAAATAACCCTACAACTGTCACACCAAGACAAAAGCAATAGATTTTTTTTATTGCATTTCTTAACTCATAATGTCGCTATTTAACACAGTCAATGAATTTTTTTCTCAACACATCCCATAATTTCTAAAATATCAGCCTCTACCAACTGGTTAAGAAGTTGGTTTATGGTAAAAGTACCAGAATTAATAAATATACTACAGAACATATGAAGTGCCAGACCAATTTAATTAAAACATAATCAAAATTTAAAAAATTAATACTAAACCATAGCCATAAAGTATTTTAGATTTTCTTTTAACACAGTACTATACACGCTTTCCTGTTTTTCTTTTCTTTTTTTACAATAAAATCAAAATCAAGTGAATTAGTGCAACAGGATTTAGTTTGCTTGTTTAGTTTAGTTTCACGACTGCTTCCAAAAGACAAAACTCCTGTTTATTTTGGTATTAACCAATCAAACTTCAAAACTACCAAAGTGTGAGTGAATAATGCATGTAAGAGAGAAACAGTGTGATTGTACCTGTGTGTGCGTCTGTGTGTGTGTGTAAGAGAGAGAGAGAGAGAGAGTGTATGAGAGTGTAAAAGAGTGTATTTTCGTGTTTGTGTGTGTGTGTGCCCATGTATATGTATAACAACATCGGTATTACACAGATGTTAGGAGGAGATTATGAATTATGAATGTGAATTATGTGGACATTATGTATAAAATTCAATCACACTAAATATTTTTTTTATTTTCAGAAAGTAAAACTACACATAATTTCCTGTAAGGGTTGGGTTTAGAGATTGGATTTGGGGTTAGAGCATTCAAAAGTATAGTTTGTAGAGTATAAAAACAATTGTAACCTATGTAATGTCCCCACAATTCACAAAAATGTGTGTGTGTGTGTGTGTGTGTGTGTGTGTGTGTGTGTGTGTGTGTGTGTGTGTGTGTGTTTGTGTGTGTGTGAGAGAGAGAGAGAGAGATAGAGAGAGAACTGTGTGTGAGAGTGTATGAATGTGTGAGAGGGTACATTTAGGTGTGTGTTTATGTGTGTGTAAAAGAGAGAGAGAGAGAGTATGAATGAACATGCTGAATTATCTCATCAGTGAAGTGATTTTCTGGTAAACGAGCCTGACGATGTGAGTTCTTGTACCATAGAAATTATTTACAGAGAAAAACAGTATCATAAGCCATGTTTCTTTTCATTCTGCTTAATCAAGTGCCCCAAAGATATTTAAAATAAACAAAACAATATGATGTCTTTTGACTGCCTTCTTTAATAACTACATTACACAATACTTGTACTTTTACTTTCAGTACTTGAGTAGTAAATTTTGAAATAAACTACTTGCAATACTTAAGTACTAAAAATGTTGAATACTTTAGTACTTCCACTTAAGTATGGTGATTAAAGAGCACTTCTACTTCTACTCAAGTCACTTTTTGATAGAGCACTTGTACTTTTACTTAAGTATGGGTCTCTAGTACTTTATACATCTCTGGTTGTAATTGTGTAAATTGCTAAAGCACTCGTCAGAAAAATGACAGGAACACAGCACAAGGCTGGGGCTATAATGCTGAGGTATTTTTGCAAAAATAAACTTCAACCACTGACTCTTCACAGCCTCATCTTCGAGTAGGGAAAATAACACTAACTTTCCCTCGTACAGCATCTTCGCGACATGATTAAACTGGAATCTGCTACAGTGTTTGTCTTGTTTTGCTTTCTACAGTGCTTGTGGGCGGGCCCGGGGGGTTCAAATTTCCTGGGTCTGCGCGCGCAACAAATAGCTGGGGCTTGAGTTCCATATCAACGTCACGCCAACACGGTTCAAGATTCGTTACCCCGATGATTCATTTAAACGACTCTGAGTCGGCTCTTTTATAGATGAATCAATAGTTTTAAACATGGTGCACTTTCAGATTTAGGCCTTAGCTGGATATTTCACTTCACTTAGAGCTGTTCCACTTAGAGCTTTATTTTACAATATAATACTGCATTATTATTGCAGTTGCAATAATTGTTGCTGTTTTATGTTTAGTTTTGGATGCAAACAAAATAAAGTGCAAACTTGGCTTGAGACTTCCGGTCTCATTCACTTCCATTCATTTTTTGACGTTAAACACTGCTCGCTACGCTGCTTGATGTTGCAATTTGATATTTTCTTATTATATTATTCTACTTGGTCTGTATAGTCATGCAAACATTTGTTTGTAGAGCAAGTAGTTTGACCGTTTTCTGCCGTTTATTATTCCTAGTCATTTCTCCCATAGGCGACTGAATCGGAAGTTCTAAGACAATCGCGAAAACAGGCGCACTTCCGCATTTCAGAATAAGGTCAATACCAAACACACAAATATATCTCAAATATTTATCCCATCCACAATTTTCAAAGCCGTAAAACAGAGTTAACAGAGTTAATTGTGCTTAACCATAGTTATTTCTTTGGGCCGGTTTATACGTCTGCATTGAGTCTATGTTGTAAATTAGGTCCAGAATATCCTTGTTTAGGGACCATGACATGCATCTCTCAAAACTGTAACTACGCATTGCAATGATGCAAGATCTGTTTGGCCAGCTTGGTAGTAATAATGAATGTGGATGGGGCAGAGAGCCATGACAGCGGAGGAAGTTTTTTTAATTATGATTAATGTTTTTGAACATTCGCCAATTCCTTCTCTTTATTCTCTATATGATTGTGTTTTTGCTACAGCTAAAGTAGCATCACACGCTTTTCCGCTATACAGAAATCACTCATGACTCAGGCTTTAGGCACATTTAAGCACTTCCTGTGGCATCTGTATTAAAAATCTGAGTATCACACTAGTGATATGTAAAGTAAATGAATTTGTAATCAAGAATAAGCCCTTGCTGCCCATTTTTGTTAATCTTTTTTCTTTTTTTGTTGTTTTTATTCCTTTAATGTTGTAGGTTTTCAGCACGAAGTATAATTCATAACACAACTGGAAGCTAATACTGTCATATTGGCATCCACTTGAAACAATTTCTCCATTATTTTAGATGTTTTCATGACAACAGATTATGGTAACAAAACGGCAGCTTGGTTATTTTTTTCTAGTCGTTTAGTGTTAAATTGACATTTTGTCGTGTTAACATCTTAGATGCAGTAAGTTTCATGTTGATGTATATGTGTGTTCAGGTCATGAGGGTTATCGGGATGGTCAGCGGCCAGACCACAACATGCATGACAGTCCTTCCCCTGCCAGTAGAGAGCGTTCGTCTTCTCTACAGGGCATGGATATGGCCTCACTGCCTCCACGCAAACGCCCATGGCATGATGGCCCAGGCACTGGCGACATGGACTCTCCTGGTTCAGGACCTGATGAAAGAGGAGCTGGTAAAATCATTTATTCTCTTAACATTTTTAAAATATTATGTGTGTATGTATATATATATATATATATCAATAAGGGAGATTGAAAGTAAGAATAATGTAGTGTTCATGCTTGCAAAAATAAAAACTTTGGACTTATGTATGTTGAAAAACACAATCCTGTAGAAATATTCAAAAATTATTTTACAAATAATGGATTTTTTTTAAAGGTGTGGTAAAAAAAGTAAAAAGATTTCTCTTGAATGGATTCTGAGTTTAGTTTTTAACAGTAGATGGCGCTGTATGCTTAAACAACGATACTCCACTTGCCTCCAGTTCCTCACAAATACCACTTAAACCTAGAACAATTGTTATTAAATTTTGGAATGCCGTAAGTGAATTACAAGAATGTTCCGAGTGAATTGTCTTTACATTAATCTTGCTATATAAAAGCCAACTTGCATGACTCGAATACACAAGCACTCTTCCTCGTAAACATTTGACACTAGCCTAGTGTCGTCTGCTGTAAAAACTAGCCTATAGAGTGTTGTCTGCTGTTGAAAACCGGCCTAGAGCACCATTTGCTGTTAAAAACTGGCCTAGAGCACCATCTGCTGTTAAAAACTGGCCTAGAGCCCCATCTGCTGTTAAAAACTGTCTTAGAGCACCATCTGCTGTTGAAAAACTGGCCTAGATCACCATCTGCTGTTAAAAACTAGCCTAGAGCACCGTCTGCTGTTAAAAACTAGTCTAGAGCGGCATCTGCTGTAAAAAAAAAAACTAGCCTAGAGCACCACCTGCTGTAAAAACTGGCCTAGATTCTGCTGTTGAAAGCTGGCCTAGAGCACCATCTGCTGTTAAAAACTGGCCTAGAGCACCATATGCTGTTAATAACTAGCCCAGAGCACCGTCTGTTGTTAAAAACTAGCCTAGAGCGGCACCTGCTGTAAAAAAAAAACTAGCCTAGAGCACCACTTGCTGTAAAAACTGGCCTAGATTGTCTTCTGCTGTTGAAAGCTGTCCTAGAGCACCATCTGCTGTTAAAAACTGGCCTAGAGCCCCATCTGCTGTTAAAAACTGGCCTAGAGCACCATACGCTGTTAAAAACTAGCCTAGAGCACCCTCTGCTGTTAAAAAATAGCCTAGAGCGGCATCTGCTGTAAAAAAAAAATAACTAGCCTAGAGCACCACCTGCTGTAAAAACTGGCCTAGAGCACCATCTGCTGTTAAAAACTGGCCTAGAGCACCATCTGCTGTTAAAAACTGGCCTAGAGCACCATACGCTGTTAAAAACTAGCCTAGAGCACCGTCTGCTGTTAAAAACTAGTCTAGAGCGGCATCTGCTGTAAAAAAAAACTAGCCTAGAGCACCACCTGCTGTAAAAACTGGCCTAGATTGTCTTCTGCTGTTGAAGGCTGGCCTAGAGCACCATCTGCTGTTAAAAACTGGCCTAGAGCACCATACGCTGTTAAAAACTAGCCTAGAGCACCGTCCGCTGTTAAAAACTGGCCTAGAGCACCATACGCTGTTAAAAACTAGCCTAGAGCACCGTCTGCTGTTAAAAACTAGCCTAGAGCGGCATCTGCTGTAAAAAAAAAAAAAACTAGCTTAGAGCACCACCTGCTGTAAAAACTGGCCTAGATTGTCTTCTGCTATTGAAAGCTGTCCTAGAGCACCATCTGCTGTTAAAAACTAGCCCAGAGCACCATCTGCTGTTAAAAACTGGCCTAGAGCGCTATCTGCTGTTAAAAACTGGCCCAGAGCATCGTCTGCTGTTAAAAACTAGCCTAAAGTGTCGTCTGCTGTTAAAAACTAGCCTAAAGTGTCGTCTGCTGTTAAAAAAAAACTAGCCTAGAGTGCCATCTGCTGTTAAAAACTACCCTGGAGCACCACCTGCTGTAAATACTTGTCTAGAGCACCACCTGCTGTTCATAACTAGCCTAGAGCACCATCTGCTGGTAAAAGCAAATGCCCCGAGCGCCATCTAGACAAGTTTTTAACAGCAGATGGTGATCTAGGCTTTTTTTTAACAGCAGATGGTGATATAATATTGTTATGTTATAGTTTAGTGGCAGGACAGCTTTATATGCAAATTAAGAGAGCCAATCAGTCTATAAATGGAGATCCACATACTATACTAATGTCTTCCAATTGATCATAGGTCGACCAACCCCAAGAGATGAAGGTGGGTACGGGCCTCCACAACGAGGCGGGGGAAGAGGTGGTTGGGGTCGTGGTGGGCTGCCTAACCCTGGTGGCCCCGGTTCCAATATGGGTCCTAATCTCAGACGAGGTGCTCCACGGGGTGCTATGAGGGGCGGTCGTGGGCGGTAGAAACAGTGATACCTGCTTTCCTGCTCACAAGAAGGTGAAACCGAGTACACTGAGGACAGAGCACAACAAAGAACCACACACGGCAAGAACACCAGCTTCCTTGAAGGTCTTAAATGGTGACTGGAAGCAGCACTTCAAAGGAAAATCAGCTTCTCAGACTGGTGGCTAAAGTTGAGCTTTTTCTCTACAATGTACTGGATGGAAGGTGAAGCGGTCATCCTAGGCCAGACGCTTTTGGCTCTGATGCTCCTTGGCACCTGCTTGGCCCATACATGGTGGTATACAGAACTTGATATCAACGATGAGAATAATAGCTGTAATGGTGCGATGAGAAACATCATCTCTTGAAATGGACTTGTGTTTGTGGTCCAGTAGACTTTGCGATGCATGCTTCAGTGTGGAAGCTGAAGAAACTGAGCAGCTTTATTAGACAACGAGAAACCGAGTTTGTACCAGCACCTGAGCCTCCGTTTTTTTGTTGTTGTGTACTTTAGATATTCTCATAAAACAAAACCATTGCGTATCATTGGATTCTGTCACCTAGAAAATGGAAGTCAAGCTAGAGCCAACGTTGAGCAGGCTTTATCTTGAGAACTCCCAGAGAAAAGTGAACTTTCGAATGTTTTGTTGCCCCAGCGCTGTTTATTTAATTTCATTTTTATGTAAAATAACGGAGATAATCTTTCTGTAACCTTACCAGGCTACTCTCGGTGACAAAGCTTCCGACTTTGTTTCTATTTGTACAGTTTGTCACAGAAGTTGTCATATTGTTTTGTCCTTTTTTTGTATGGAAACCATAATAGAATGTGCAAAATTTATGTAAAAAAAATCTCTTGCTTTTTGTCGTTACTTTGATTTCAACCGGGGATCCGTTCTTCGTAACTTGCTTAAATGATCTAAGATGATTTGGCAAGTCCTGGATCTGAACATCTGAATAACTGATCTCTGGCTAATTTGCTTCTTCAAACAAGTTCGAGAATCATTTAAATGTCTGGATGAACTGATCTGAGATCGGTGCGTGTCTGTGTTGTGAAGAACAGATCTATCAATCCTCGAAATCATGATCAGCAATGACATCATCTGATTAATATTCAATTATCCATGTGAGCTAAATTACATCAAATTCGTAGTAAACGGTTTGTGAAATATAACACGCAATAACTTTACACCTTATTGTGGGCTGCATGCTTTACACTTTGATGTGTCAAGAGCAATTTATTTAGTTTTACAGTTAGAGCGAATTTTCCTTATTATAGTAGCCATTTTTTAATCGGTGTAACGAATAACTGGATGTTTACGAAAGCATTTTGATATTGGTAAAGGCGTCTGCAACTTTTGTGAAGCATCAAATCACCAATATATTAACTGTCAAAACATGTTTATGACTGCATAAATATTTTATTGCTTTTAAAAAAGTAAAAAAAATTGTGCACGTCTATTATACACAAATTGTACTAAAGCGATCAAAAAAGTTCATATCAAGTTTTCTCTTTGCACCACCAGGTGGCAGTCTTTGTACTTTCATTTCGGAGGTGCAGATATATATATATATATATATATATATATATATATATATATATATATATATATATATATATATATATATATATATATATATATATATATGTGTGTATATATATATATATACAGAGAGAGATATAGATATATATATAGATATATAGATATATAGATATAGAGTTACAATTTTTTTTACTATTTTCCCAAGTGTATATAACTACTACTGTAAGAAAATATCAGAATTCGGTAAATACTTTTATTTTTGCTTGATATATTTATTTTATTTTTGCTTGAACTGACCCAATCTAATCCTGTTTATATAAATTGAGCCTGCTCCTGACCAGGTTTGAGCTACCAGAACTGTTGCTATGACAACAACACTCAGATCAGTTTTGAGGAACGAAACGATCCTGGATCGTGTCAAATCGTCAATAACCAAATCCAGCTAACTGAGTAATCCACGTACGAAGAACAGACCCCAGTCCTTTGATTATGGGACGGATAAAAACTCTGGATGGTTGGTGTGGCAGTTCTGCCTCTGGAGATTTGTCTTCTCTACTACTTCAACATTTGCATTACCACACATTTTATTAAGTATCCTCCAAAGAGAATTTGGAGCTAAACTGCAGGAATGCAGATTGCTAGAACATTTCAAAAGCCCTGCTTTTTCTTAACCAGACATGACATTTAATATGCTTATTTCACGCGTCCGCCATTTTAAATAAATATTGGTTGTACAAATGATAGCTAGATTTCTACATTTAGCGTTATCAGCAACAGTAGCAGCAACTGGGAATTTTTAACAGTACTGAATATTTTAGTTTATTTTTATTCAGCTTATTATTTCTTCATTTTACTTTTTAAAAAATTACAGGCTTTAACTTCTGTTAGTTAAAAACAAACGTTTCTTGCAGTGCTGTTTCTGATCCGTGACTAAACAAACCATAATGTGATCCGAACCGTGAGATTTGTAATCCTTCACACCACTATAATTGAACAAATGCTAACGAACACATCAAATTACAAAAGTAAGTCCTTTGGATAGCCTTTAACGCAAGATTGTTTCATGTGAGACGTCTAAAGCATTTCTGAAGCCCTCAAATTACTCAAAAGGGATCTGTTCTGTTTTTATACCAAGGGTCTTGAATGGTTGATTCTGATTGGCTGGTGATGAATGTTCTAAGGTGTACAATTATTTTAGGGAAAGCAGGTCTTGACTTTGTTATTCCATTAACACTTGGCTGTATAGCAGTTTAAATTTACTTTACAGCTAACAACAGCCAAAAACTAAATCTACAGTGTGTGGTTCAATGGCTAAATCCTCGGTAATATCAGCACTTTATTTCACTATTGGTTTATATGTTAATGGGAGATGCACAAACATGTCGTGAACACATACTCAATCTCTCTCATAAAAATATATGACCAAAATCTCTTTAAGATTTGTATTCTATAGTCGTTGACATTACTCATAACTGCATGAGCCTGCTATCACTGGCTCAATCCTTCATCACAATCTCCACACTGACATTTAGAATTAGCCATTGAAGTTTAGGATGAGATCCACAAGCAACAAGTCCTACGTACAAGAGTAGTTTGAGGACAAAAACCGGAGAAATGTGTTTAAAAATACAACATCTTTAGGTGTTTTACCGTTTTTGAATCCATTCAGCCGAACTCCTACATGGCACAAGCACTTTTATCTTAGCATAGATCATTGAATCAGATTAGACCATTAGCATCATTTTTTAATCAAAAACTTTCTTATTTAAACTTGAAGATAACTAGGGGAGTTATCTAAACTAGAAGATATCAGAAGATAACGCAAACTCTGTAATATAAAGGTCTATTATTCCAAATGGAGACCCAGTAGAATAACAGAGAACACATGAGATTGTTTATTTATAAAGTTACGTTTCAAAAAAAAGCAGTTCGGAAACATTAAAAGGGAAGTAGTAGTAGTAGTACTCTGTCTTGATTTGACATGGTCCTTGTCACTGTGCAAATTACAAAATTAGGATATCTCCATCCACAGAATGCTGTTCACACTATACTTCTCTGTATAGGCTACTGTGTTCACGTTCAATCGTGGCTGTACCAGACCAGTCGCTCAAAAAAGATAAAGAAACACTCATTTTTCTGCTCCCCTAGAGTTAAACTGACACATTTCACCATTTATAAATCCATTCAGCTGAACTCTGTGTCTGGTGGAAGCACTTTTAGCTTAGCTTAGCATAGATCATGGAATCAGATTAGACCATTAGCATCTTGCTTAATCAATCAATTTTAAAAATACCTACGTAGCGGCATCAATGATATCACGCTGAGCCTGAAAAGTCCCATGCTGGGTAACAGAGCTGCATAAAATCATTGCGCCTGCTTCTGTCCTGATACGGCAGCAAAGTTAATTGATTATTACACCAGTATGACAGTATAGTTTCTAGACAAATCAGCCTAGAAAATAGCAACTTTAGATTTTCCGACAATCTTATAACACAATGTAACTACAGAAGAGTACAATTTTAAATGAGAAAATTATCTCAATTATTTTTTGTGCGAAATGCTAATGGTCTAATCCGATTCAATGATTTATGCTAAGCTAATCTAAAAGTGCTCCCGCCACACAAGGAGATCGGCTGAATAGATTTTAACAATGGTAAAACGCCACTGTTTAACTCTATGGAAGTTGTAATAGAACTTATTTCCCCCCATAAAATTACGTATTCCTTTAAAACACAAGTTTCAAATGATAGTTTGTTAGTTGTTGTCCAGTCCGTGAAATCTGTCGTCAAATGGGCATGGTTTTACCAGTCACGGTCCTTTTAATAGCGGATGCTGCCATTCCGCCCACAAACCTCATCCCTGCACTCCCACCTGGCAACAAAGCCACGATGTATCCCACAATAGCGGCGATCTGGAGGCAGGCTCCGAGCGCGGTAAGCAGCGTGCTGTGGAGGCTCAGCGCTGCGTAAAGAGTGCCCGCCAGAGAGCACAGATACACGGCAGCGCCTGGAGTGGGAGTCGCTATGAGTTTGCTGGGTCCGCGGAGAATCGCCGCCCCAAGCAGAGCAAACACGGAGCCCAGAGACCAGAGCAACGCGAACTTCCGAGCCTTCAGCAGAAGTAACGGAGCGTACAGCGCCGACAGTCCGAAGCACAGAGCGGAGAAGAATATACACGTCCCGAAGGCGACCAGTCTCTGAGAGCGACTCAAACCCGGTAAACACGGGTCCGGTTCTGAAGACCACGGCCACGAGAAGCCGCCGCTGGAGCCCTGGCCTGATGTCGCTCCGCGGCTGCTGGATCCGGAGAACGGGCTCGACCACCTGCCGAACCAGCTGCCGGACACCGGAACGTCACCATCCACGTCTATGGTTGTGCTGGAGCTGGACTGGGAAATGGTCTTCGCTCCGCTTTTAGAGTGAGCCAGATATTCCTGGAGCTGTCGGTTTAATTCAGCCATTCTTCCACTCTGGAGTAACTTGTGGAACAAAAACAGGAAGTAGTGAGCGGCGCTAGGATGACGTCTCGTAGTGACGTTGATGTGCACGACGGAAGTACATTTATTTATTTATTTTTACTTATTTTCTGGTATTAATTTTACTGGGCACAGCTGTAATAATAAGACTTTAACAATGTCAGTGAATACACAGTTTTTCCCTTCTAAAGTTAAGAAGACACCCCTTGTTTTAGATTTTCCTGAAGACAGGGTGGTTCAAATTCAAACAAGATTTCTCTTTTTTCCACTTCTACCAAAGGCAAAAGAAGTTCAGTTTAAAACTATTAACGATATTTGTCCTTGTAATGAGTTCCTCAGGGTGGCGCAGTAGGTAGTGCTGTCGTCTCACACCAAGAAGGTCGCTGGTTCGAGCCTCAGCTGGGTCAGTTGGTGTTTCTGTGTGGAGTTTGCATGTTCTCTCTGCGTTCGCGTAGATTTCCTCCGGGTACTCTGGTTTCCCCTACAGTCCAAAGACATGCGGTACAGGTGAATTGGGTATAGCTAAAAATTCTCTGTTGTGTATGAGTGTGTGTGTGTGTGTGTGTGTGTGTGTGTGTGTGTGGATGTTTCCCAGAGATGGGTTGCGGCTGGAAGGGCATCAGCTGTGTAAAAACGTGCTGGATGAGCTGGCGGTTCATTCCGCTGTGGCCACCCCAGATTAATAAAGGGACTAAGCCAAAAAGAAAATGCATGAATGAATTCCTCAGACAGATTTAATATGGATTTGGACACAAAGGGTACAACGTTTGTACCTTTTGTGAAGCAGATATAGGAACATGTTTTATTTAAGCAAATCTTTAAAAAAGTTATGAAGTGACATTTTGGTTTGGTTGAGTTTAACATATGTAATACCTGATTTAGATTTAAAAACTATAAAATATTTTAATATTTAGAATTCTGATCTGGAGTTTTTGGGTAACAGTATTGTGACAGTGGCAAATTATTTCATTCATAAATGCAGATTTTTTTAATAACACCCCACCCTATATGTATATACAAATGTATATATATATATATATATATATAATGTATGTGTGTGTGTGTGTGTGTGTGTGTATAGGGTGTGTCGTGTGCATATGTACTGAGTGTGAGTGTTAATGTGCCTTCGGATTCATCAATTTCCAGTAGCTCAGTGAGAATCTTTTTTTCATCAAGTACCACCTCAGAAAAAATTGTCTCTCCAGGTACCACCATAAGCGGCTACAGCTTGGCACAATTCACAAACGTGGCAGATTAATTCTTATTATTATGAATATTTATTATTGTCAGCCACTTTAAACAATAAATAGTTTGAACAATAACACGCAGGTAAAAAAATATATAAATAAAACATCAATGTTAAAAAAATGGCAGTTCTTAAAAAATAAAAAATACTGCTGTACTTAAATTTAAAGTATTATCATAAATAATAATAATGGCCATCCCAGGTGGGGCCCACGCTGGCCAGCCCAGGCCAGGCCAGTAGGTAAGTGACACCTCTCACGCCAGAGACTCATGTTCTATCCCAGACCCTGACAGAAAGTGTATTGTGTGCATATGTGTGGGGTGTGTGTATATTCTAGTTACATCCCTCAAATTGGTCTATACTTGCATTCAAAAAGCTAGACAGCTCTCTATGGCTTAGCAGGAAACGTTTCATCAAGCGACAGGCTTCTGACATGAATGCAGGCAGAGTGAGTTTATAATTAATCTCTCCCCTCATTGGTCAGCTGTCTTCGAAGTCTTTTTATGGTCTGCTCATGCCAACAGGGGATCTCCGCTCACTGGAGTAGAGCTCAAAAGAGCAGATCACACCGAGGGACCAGGTCAGTGACTGAAAATATAACACTGGACATAATAAATGTAAATTCGAATCAGATATTACTTGAAATGTATGAGCATTAAGTGTGTTTTCATAGCTTTATGAATGTACCATTTTTCAATATGTCACTATAAAGTCAGAGCTCACACGTTTTTAGCTTTTGGCTACTCAGGCCTTCAGCTATTGGGCAAATATATAAGCTTTTGTCTTTTTTTCCTTCTGTAATTGACCTTTTTTGTTGTTGTCTGTGTCTTGTTTAACTCTTCCTTAACAGTACGCATGCTAACAGTACTATTATATTTGTTTATGTGGATATTCTAGCACATAATGACTTTAATACTGGATATGCTGATCATCTTTTACTGTACGCTGTTATATTTCTGCCTGGTGTTTTAGTTGAGATCTGAGAGATTATTTAAAGGGTTAATCCAAAAATTCTGATTATTAAATACTCTCATGTTGTTTCAATCCCCTGAGACCTTCGTTCATCTTCAGAACACAAACAAAGGTATTTAAGATTAAATCCAAGCCTATCCTTTATTTACAGAGGAATAGAGCTTTCAGATTTCTTCTAAAATATCATAATTTGGGGGCGGTATGGTGGCCTCACAGCAAGAAGGTGGCTGGTTCGATTCCCGGCTGGGCCAGTGTTGGCGTAGGTTTCTCCCACAGTACAGACATGCGGTACAGGTGAATTGAATAAACTAAATTGGCCATGTGTGTGAATGTGAGAGTGTATGGGTGTTTCCCAATACTGGGTTGCGGCTGGAAGGGCATCAGCTGCATGAAACATATGCTGGAATAGTTGGCGGTTCATTCCGCAGTGGCGTCCTTTAAAATAAAGACTACGCCGAAGGAAAATGAATAATTAATAATAATAATAATGATTAATTCCTTACATTTATATGGCGCAATGGGGGGGATCTCCTCATCCACCTGGATGACGCCACGGCAGCCATTTTGCACACACCAGCTGATTGGTGGAGAGGAGACAGTGATGAAGCCAATTGAATATGGGGATGGTTAGGAGGCCATGATGGATAGAGGCCAGTGGGCAGATTTGGCCAGGATGCCAGGGTTAAACCTCTACTCTTTTTCGAAGGAGTCAGTTTAACGTCTCATCCGAAAGAAGGCACTCACTGAGCAGTATAGCATCCCTGTCAATATACTGGGGCATTAGGACCCACACAGACCACAGGTTGGGCGCCCCCTGCTGGCCTCACTAACACCACTTCCGGCAGCAGCCTAGCTTTCCCATGTGGTCTCCCATCCAGGTACTGACCAGGCACAGCCCTGCTTAGCTTCAGTGGGCGACCATGTGAGAGTTGCAGAGAGCTAGCTGCCGGCTACTGTTAGATGAATGAATGAATGAATGAATGAATGAATGAATGAATGAATGAATGAATGAATGAATGAATGAATGAATGAATGAATGAATGAATGAATGAATGAATGAATGAATGAATGAATGAATGAATATCATTATTTTCTGTTTCGAAAACAAACAGATGTCTCGGAGGATTGGAATGACATGACGGTGAGTGGTTAATAACAACACTTATTTTTGGATGAACAAATCCTTTAAAATTGCACAATATGTACAAAACTAACTCAATCTTTTATGAATGCTAATTTATAAAAATCACATATTACGCAGTATTTTTACTTTCTTGTTGTCAATGACATGTCTTACCTGTTTATCTATGTATGCACTTTTAAAGGGGTGGTCCACAGTGTATTTTTAGGGCTTGGTTGTTTTTATAAAATGATTACTCATGATTCATTAGTAGAAAATCACGCTATTTTTTCCTATATCCTACTTTGATTTTATAACAGCTACTCAGCTAACAAGAAAACCACTGTCATATTTCTTAAGCCTGGTTTATACTTCTGCGTCAAGTGACCGGCGTAACCCATGGCGCATGCAACGCGCGTAGCTGTGCATTTTTACTTCTGCGCGCTGTCTCTGTTGGTCTGCATTAACACTTCCGAAACGCTAGTTGGCAGTGAGGTGCAAATGTTCCTCTGTGTCGAGTTTCTTCTCTGCTGTTTTGCTTTTCCTGAACACTTCCTGGATGTACATGTGGCTCAAACTCGCTCATTTTGAGGCAGGAACCGGCGGACGTGTAACAACTTTAACTATGATTTAAACACAAAACAAAACTTTCTATCCGGAGCTCCTTCACGGGACTCCACACTTGTAAACAATCGCTCCATCAGACTCGCACCATTCATGCGGCTCTCAGTCCCGCCCAGACTCGTCAGCGCTACCAAGCCGACCAATCACAGAGCTTGCGCTACGTGTCGTTGCGACGTGTAGTTACATTTTTTGAGAGGTGCACGTCAGTGACACTGACGACCACAGCGAAGGGCTATGCGTCAGCGCCGTAGCATACGCCAGCGTTTGACGCAGAAGTATAAATCAGCCTTTAGTTCCTCTGAAAGGCCCGGCCTCAAGTGGCTCTGATTGGTCATCTAACATAATGTGCTGTGATTCGCGGATTGGCTTTACATCTCCACGTTGGTTATTGCTAGATCAGATAAGGATGCGGCCGGAGGTTAACGAGAATTATTTATATTATTTATAAAATTTTCCATTTATTGTATTTTATTAACGACTTACCCAACCCTAAACCCAACCGTCACAGTAATGTGAAAATTGTAATTATTGTTATACAGTGTCATAAAAAAAAAATGCTGTTATATTAATTTGCATATCGCACTTCCGCCCGGCCGATTATCTGATCTAAACTTTACATGCCACACCCCTAAACTGTGTAAACAGTCCAGTCAGAGCAGCTGTTTGCAGCGTTAGCTGGTTGAATCACAGAAATGAAGAGCAAACAGCTGAACCTCACACCTGCCCTCTAATATAAAATCTGACAAGTGTCTTTTATATATATAGTCAGACTAAGCATGTGTAAGTAATATAAAACATTCTCATATCTTTTGCGAGTTTGTTATTTGAGATGTTGAATGCACGGAAACTGTCCGCATAGAGAGACACTGCAGCGCTGCCTAGGCTGGTTTTAGCTGGTCAACCAGGCTGGTTTTAGAGGGGTTTTGGCCATTTCCAGGCTGGTTTCCAGCCATTTCCAGCCTGGTCTTAGCTGGTCAGGCTGGGAGATGAACAGCTAAAACCAGCTTGACCACCCTAGCCAGGCTGGGAGCCCAGCCAAAACCAGCTATATCCAGCTTAAACCAGGCTGGTCAAGCTGGTTTTAGCTGGATTTAGCTGGTCATTTTCCAGCCTGGAAATGGCCAATACCCCTATGGCTGGTCAACCAGCTAAAACCAGCCAACCAGCTTAGGTTGGTTTAAGCTGAAATTTTCAGCAGGGAATCCAGCACTGAACTGGGAGAGATTCTGGAAGTTCTCCTTTGTCAAATGCTAACTGTATAAATTTTTAAAATTCTCTGCAACATAATTCAAATTAAACTGTAGGCACTTCTCTCTTTGTCCTTTGGAAGCCCAAATACAGAAACAGAAGAAGCTCTGTGGCAGCGTTTGGACGGCATTTTAGCTTTAACATTACAGCACCTCTGGCCACGCCCCTTCGCTGTGCAGGGTGTGTGCGCGTGGTAAATGCTTGTAGCAGGAAGCCCTTGTGATCTCACTAGCCTGGATGTACTTTTTTGTAGTCCACAAAGTCCGTTCGCTGTAGGCTTTGCTAAGCTAACTCTGTAAAAGCCAGCATCTCCCTTTGCATTGAACTTTTTATCGTATTACATTCAGAGATGTTGTTTATGTTCACACAGCAACATTACACATCAACTGAAGTTTAAAATCTGATATCGTAGTGGACCACCCCTTTAACAATTTCCTGTAAAATCTACAGTAACTTACTGGCAGCAGTTTGCCAGAAACTTACTGTGAATTAATTACAGCAAAAACACTATTTATATTTACAGCACCATTTATCTTGCTGTATATGTATCTACCAACCCAAGCTCATTCTGAAAACGTAGCCCCGCGGACATTTCCCCGCGTTTTACGTGGTCGGAGGTATGTATGGCCGCATTTCGTTTTTTTTTTTGAGCGAACGCTACGGGGCAGTGTGACGCCGCTACTCTTCTTCGCGCTTGCCGGCTGATGGCTCACCTCCGTGTGGAGGGCTTTCCCGCCGCAAACAGTTTGTCCGCTTAGCTCATAGTGTTACGTCAGCAGAGCGGAGGCCCAGAGGAGGAGGAGCCAACCACAGCGACGACCGGTTTTCTAGACGGATTTTGTAAATTGTCGCTTGGGTTTAGGGAAAGAGCCGCCCGCCCAGTCGATCGTTCAGTCATTTCGTCAGTCGGACAGACGGTCGCTCGACAGCGGCCTCCGGTGGCTTTTCACGCGAGAACAGCGTGGGCGCAATTGGCGTGCGCTCCGGAGAGGCACTCGAGACGCACAGCGGCCTCTCGTGTATTCGCAAAAACAAAAACTGCACAAATACGTACTTCCCTGGACGTATTTCGCGGTCTCCAGAAACGTCTGCGGGGTTACATTTCCACAATGAGCCTGGGTTGGTATCTACAGGATCGAATGTATCCAACCCAAGCTCATTCTGGAAACGTAGCCCCGCGGACGTTTCTGGAGACCGAGATTTACGTGGCCGGAGGTACGTAAAGGCCGCGTTTAGTTTTTTTCGAGGGAACGCTGCGGGCCGGTGTGGCGCCGCTCCGCCCCTCCTCTTCGCGCTCGCCGGCCGACGGCTCGCCTCCGAGTGGAGGGCTTTCCCGATGCAATCAGTTTGTCCGCTTAGCTCACAACGTTGCACTGGCGGAGCGGAGGCCCCGGAGGAGGAGGAGAAGCCGGCCATGGTGGACGACGACCGGGATCGATTCCGGGGAACAGCAGGTTCCGGAAAGCAGGTAAGACGAAAAACGGAATCCGAAAAATAAGGGCGAGAACGCGGTGGGATCCGAAAACGCGTTCGAAATCGAAGACTATTTTTAAAAAAATTTTCTGGACGGCTTTTGCGAACCGTCGCTCGGGTTTAGGGAAGGAGGAGGAAGAGGAGGGTGGTTGAGTCGGCCGATCCGGCGGCTTTTCGCGCGAGAACGGCGCGGGCACGAACGGCGCGCGCTCCCGAGAGGCGCCCGAGACGCGAAAAAGCGCGCACAGCGGCCTCTTGCGGATCCGTGAAAGCAAAAAACGCTCGAATACGTACCTCCCGGGACGTAAATCGCGGTCCGCAGAAATGTCCGCGGGGCTACGTTTCCACAATGAGCCCGGGTTGAATGTATCATTTGCACAATGCAACTTTAAAATACAGTAACATACGGCATTACTGTCCTACAGTAAAATACAGTTCATGTTACAGTTAAATAATTTCGTAAACAGTGTGCAATTACATATTAACACAGCATAGCAGCACAAATTTGGTATAGTAATGGAGTACAGCCTAGTTCAAGTTTATTCAGTTAAAAATGTAACCTTATTTCTATCCTATGTCTGTTTCCAGCGTAATGTCAATATCACAGATAACCCCGACCCTCTTCCTAAGTGGCGCCGATGCGTCAATGAATCAAGCCCTTATGACCCGAAAAGGCATTACACTCATCGTGAACGTGACCCTGTCCCACACCTGCCCTGTCTACCCAGGCGTGGAGTGTATACGTGTGGCAGTGTCCGACCTTCCAAATGCTCGTCTGGGGGACCACTTTGACCACGTCTCCGCTCGAATTCACAACAACAGACCTGGAGGAACCCTAGTGCACTGTGCTGCAGGAATGAGCCGCTCTCCTGCTGTTATAATGGCATATCTCATGAAGTACAAAGGAGTGACTCTGAGACAGGCGCACAAGTGGGTTAAAGACAGCAGACCATACATTCGCCTTAATGTAGGATTCTGGACCCAGCTTCTGGATTACGAGAGGAAACTCTACGGTAGGAATACTGTGAGAGTGGCTGAACCCGTGGATGCACAGCCAACGCCACAAACACCAAAACTACCCTCCAGGTATAAAATGAGACAGTGTCCTCCGTCTCCAAGAGCGAGCCAACTCAGAAGATTCACCTCCTTTTCATCCTAACCAATGTTTGCAAACTGAGGTCATGAAATATGTTGCATGTACATGGATAACTTCTTTCTACGCCATCACTTTGGATTGGAATCAGTAAGACTTATGAAGTGAAACGAACCAAATAGGCACGTTTTGTTTTACCCCTAGCTTTTATCTTGTGTGTGTGTGTGTGTGTGTATGTTTATTAATGTAATTCTCTTCGTTGGGTGGATAAAACGATGATAATTCATTTCATATTCTGATAACAATATCCACTCACTGGCCACTTTATTAGGTACACCTTATTAGTACCGGTTTGAACCCCCTTTTGCCTTCAGAACTGCCTTAATCCTTTGTGGCATAGATTCAACAGGGTGCTGGAAATATTCCTCAGAGATTTTGGTCCATATTGTCATGATAATATCACGCAGTTGCTGCAGATTTGTCGGCTGCACATCCATGATGTTAATCTCCAGTTCGACCACATCCCAAAGATGCTCTGTTTGATTGAGACCTGGTCACTGTGGAGGCCATTTGAGTACAGTGAAGTTATTGTCATGTTCAAAAAACCAGTCTGAGATGATTTGCGCTAGGAAGTAGCCGTCAGGAGATGGGTACACTATAGTCATAAAGGGATGGACATGGTCAGCAACTATTCTTAGGTAGGCTGTGGCGTTGCAACAATACTCAATTGGTACTAATGGGCCCAAACAGTGCCAAGACTATTACACCACCAGCCTGAAACATTAATACATGGCAGGATGGATCCATGCTTTCATGTTGTTGAGTTCAAATTCTGACCCTACCATCCAAATGTTGCAGCAGAAATCGAGACTCATCAGACCAGGCAAAGTTTTTCCAATCTTCTATTGTCCAATTTTGGTGAGCCTGTGCGAATTGTAGCCTCAGTTTCCAGGAGTGGTACCCGGTGTGGTCTTCTGCTGCTGTAGCTCATCCACCTCAAGGCTCATCATGTTGTGCGTTCAGAGAAGCTCATCAAGTGGTTATTTGAGTTACTCGAACCAGTCTGGCCATTCTCTTCTGACATCAACAAGGCATTTGCGCCCACAGAACTGCCGCTCACTGGATATTTTCTGTTTTTCGGACCATTCCCTGTAAACCCTATAGAAGGTTGTGCGTGAAAATCCCAGTAGGTCAGCAGTTTCTGAAATACTCAGACCAGCCCGTCTGGCACCAACAACCATGCCACGTTCAAAGTCACTTAAATCACCTTTCTTACCCATTCTGATGCTCGGTGTTTATCAGTGTACCTAATAAAGTGGCCGCAACTTTTCTGTCAATTCAATCAATTAATAGCTTACAAACATTGACCACATGAAAAGGACCATTTCTCTCTTTTATTTACATTATAAAGTATATACTCAAAAATCTTATATATATGAGATCATATTATTTTAGGTCAAATGTTTAATTAAACATGTAGAAATATAAAATAAATATGAATAAAATATCAAACTTTTTTGTAAACCCAGCATAAAACATCGCTAAATAAGATGCAAAATGTAAACATTGTCACAGCTTTTCTGTAATGCAATCAATTCATAATTTACATTGACCACATGGAAAGGACCGTTTATCTCTTTTTAATGCTATAAAGCAGTGGTTCTCAAACGTTTTTCATCAAGTACCACCTCAGAAAAAAGTTGTCTTTGCAAGTACCACCATAATGAGCAGTATTGAAATATAGTAGTGTATTAGGTCCAGTAAATCAGCTAAAGCTTTGTACAGTTCAAAAACGAGGCATATTAGTTCCCAATATTAAGAACATTTAAATTAAAATGTGCTTTTAAAAGTTAAAAATGAAAGGTTACTGTTCTTAAAAAGTAAAAAAAAAGAAAAAACTCCATGTTTATCAGTACCTGGAAATGTTGCCTGGACCTCATAAATATAGGCGTTATGTAATCATATTCATATATAAATCATTTTTGATAATTTATTTAAATATATGTAGCATATACATATGATACATTTGATTCATCCGCAAACCACTAGAAGGAAGCCCACGTACCACTAGTGGTACACGTACCACAGTTTGAGAACCACTGCTATAAAGTATATACTCAAAAATTTACTTAATTCGATCATATTTCTTACATTATTTAGAACTTCAGGTCAGATGTTTTATTAAAAATGTAAAAATATAAGATAAATAGGAATAATATATATATATATATATATATATATATATATATATATATATATATATATTTTTTTTTTTTTTTTAACTAGGGATTGCAGACCAAGCATAAAATATTGCTAAATAAAATGCTATATGTTTACATTGTACTTTTTTTATGTTGAATCTAGGAACATACAGTACATAACAGTATATAAGACATAAAATACAATATCAATCAATAGGTGACATTGACAAAAAAAAATACCGTACAATATGAAAAAATGGAAATAATATCATGAGAAATAAAAGAAATAGAAGGGGAAAAAAAGTATTGAAGATTTTTGCACTTACAAGGGTTAATTTAAGATTACTTACACGAAAATCTTAAAAGCAGAGCATATTGACAGTTTTAAAGCTTTCCTGAAACCAGCTTTTCATAGTTCTCCATATCTTTATTGAAGACCACAAAGGCAGGTTTACCATCTGAGAATTTACTGTTGTGAATGTACAGTTTGCTTAAGAAAGTAATAAAATGTATTTAAACATTATTTTCCTTTGTGGGGTTCGAGTAAAAAAAAAACAAATATAATAATTAACACTTGTTGTCAAGATCTTTTGCACAATTACTTAGAGTTTCTTTTTAAATACCAGATACCTGTAAACATTGTACTTTCAAGATTGCCTCTCACGATGATGTTATTCATGTTTCTGTCTGCATTACCGTAATGGCCTGTAATATTATTCATTCGTTCATTTATTTTGTTGTCGGCTTAGTCCCTTAATTAATGTGGGGTCGCCACAGCAGAATCAACCGCCAACTTATCCAGCATGTTTTACACAACCCATCACTGGGAAACATACACACACACACAGACAAACACGCACACACATAGTACCACATGTCTTTGGACTTGGAGAAACCGGCACCTAGAGGAAACCCATGAGAACATGCAAACTCCGCAACTGGCCAACAGGCGACCTTCTTGCTGTGAAGCAAACGTGCCACCCACTGCGCCACCATCCTGATACAAATTATTTTAAAAAGTGTTACCATAAACAATGTATTTTACGACACCAGGATATAAACAATAGGGAATAATACGATAGACTTCTTTATATATATATATATATATATATATGAGCACAAATTGAAATTATATATATAATTATGAAATTATATATATAATTATGAAATTATATATATATATATATATATATATATATATATATATATATATATATATATATATATATATATATATATATATATATAGTCATATTCTAGAGCCCAGCATTCAATAATCTTTATTTATAAAACTTTATTAGTTTTTGACAGCCTAGCTGACTGGCATTCCGTGAATAAATAAAAAGCTTAAATGTAGTATCTAGCATCATTTAACCAACAGAGGACACTGTTGTAGCATCAGACTCACACCATGCAAGAAACCAAAAGCCAATGAATGGTAGGCAGTTTTGGACCCATTTTTCAATATTTAGGTCACTTTTTCAAAGATGTTTGCCAACTTTCTGCTCAAAATGCACTAACACCAAAATCCTTCATACATGTCATGTCTAATATCAAATCAAGAAAAAATCTTGGGACCCTACAAACATGCTGTGTTGCCTATAAAACCATGACCTTACCAACTCTACTAACAGTTAGCATTACACAATGATTTATATTGTAAAAGGGCATCACTAGTTTCTCACAAGACATCACTAGTCTATAAATCAGACATAATTCAATTTCAATCCAATTCAGCTTTATTTGTATAGTGCTTTTACAATGTAGATTGTGTCAAAGCAGCTACACATAAATGGTCATAGTAACTGGATCAGGGTGGTTCAGTTTTTAGTGTTTAAGTTCAGTTCAGTTTAGCTTAATGACCAAGAATATTGACAATTTTCCTGTTTAAACGCTTCTGTTACATAGTGTCCTAAAAAAAATGAAAACGTACTTTTTGCTCTTTCTGCTATTTTATTTTATTTTATTTTTATTTTTTTGTTATTGCGTCTGCTGCAGCCATGGTTAGGCAGCAACATTATTTAATTATTACGACGGCATGAGAGTGTAGTTCCTAGCCATATCAGCCTAGAAAATAACAACTTTCATTTTACGCTGGTCTTACACAATGCAACTACAGAAGAGCACAATGCTAATGGTCTAATCCGATTCAATGATCTATGCTAAGCTAAGCTAAAAGCGCTCCCACCAGACCCGATGTTTTGTCGATTTGTCCTACCTTGTCAGATCGTCCTACCTCCCATTCAAAAAGTAGGTAGCATGTTTTGATGACGCAATATGCTACCCAACAGATTTTACTACCAATGTAAATTTGAATCTGGAGTAGTGTGATATAAGCTGTAATATCGCCCTACCTAAATCCCCAACCTCAACCCCAGAACCATTCAAACACAGTGTTGGTAGCATAATCTGATGGGGCAGGATAAAATGCCAGGACACTTGCGTTCATCTGAATGTATTGGCAAATGGTAAACTCCAACTCTTTAAATGAGTGTTTACTTAATAAATCTGAACTTGAGATTGAACTAACACTCTACAGCTGTTTATTAGCATTAACAAAGATAAATAAATGCTAAAATAAATGTTTAGCTTGTTGTTAATGTTAGATAAAGCAACTAACGAGTATAGTTATTATCAGGGGCGCAACTACACATTTACTGAGGGGTATGCGGGTTCAAATTTTGTGTGATCCCTCTTATTTTATATTAATCAATTAATAATAAATGAAGACAAATTTTCAGATTAATCTTATAACTTTTGACATTATGTATGATTTGACAGTTTATTTTGTTAAAAATAAATTCAAATCTAAACAGTACATCTACACGAACACTTTCGGCTGTGGGACTGCATGTTATTGTGTTAAATGATTTTGAATTAAACAATAACAATATTATATTCGTTTAAAATGCAAAATAATGGTTTTTAACAAAACATATTTATTTATTTTTATTATTTGAAACTTTTAATAAGGATAATTTAAAAAAATAGTTTTGGCTCAACGGCCCCCCCCCCACCCCCCCCCCCCCCCCCCCCCCATGTGTGGCGCACCTATGCGCCGCATATACTGCATGGCATAACCCCTTGTTGCGCCGAGATATATCCAGCTGCAGGCCCGCAGAACCCCACACGTTTGAGGCACACACAATCTAGGACACACAATCTAGACAAACCATAAATGGTAACTAACTCTTTAGCATTATCGCCACCTATTGAATTTCACAAATATGGTTTCCCATTTCAGTCAATTTTATTATTATATCGTAACGATCATTTTAAAGTCTCTGCAGTTTCTGAACTTAAATTATGTCAATAAAAATAATTGGTTAAAGACACTTATGACTTTATTCATGTGTCCATATACACAAAGAAAACATAATAGACCGTCTAATTGTTGGATTAAGTGTAATAAACTAATTCAAGCTCTTAATATTATCATACTTCGTTAAAATCACGTTGTTGTAAAATATAAAAAAGCAAACAATAATGTCACTTTAAAATAAATTAGCCTTCAATAGTTAACCATTTAAACAATATAGTTATAAACTGATTATCTTAACTGATTATAATTATAAGTTTATATATAAACTATCTTTTACTAAACTGTCACTGTTAAAGCTGTTATATATATATATATATATATATATATATATATATATATATATACATATATATATATATGTATGTATGTATGTATGTGTGTGTGTGTGTGTGTGTGTGTGTGTGTGTATACACTTATGATTTTTTTTATTAATAGTTAATATTTTATCAATAGTTTTATTAAGAGTATTAAATGTGGGAAATCATTAATTAAAAGGTTATTAGAAAATTAAGCTAATAAACACTGCTTGAGTAAAATTTTAATATAGTGTTATACATTTGTTACATGTAAAAATATTTTTATTACATATAATGTATTATTGCCTATATTAACTTGCTATTATTTCCTTCATCATAAATTAATCCATTATATAAATTAAACCTGTCCAAATAAGATCATTCAGCAAGGCCAGCAAACGTGTATCTGCCAAATTATTGTCAGGTAATAAAGACTGATCAGCTATAATGACTGATTAAAAACTGTTCACTCTATTATATTGAATGGCGATCGGAAACAATGCTCCCCATTCGGCCGTCTCAATCGCAATATTTGTGAAATAAAGTAAAGTAAACACTATTGTTTATTGTGTTCAATATTTATTAATCAAATATATCAAAATATATCGATGATGATGTCTAAAAAGACGTTATAACTTTAACATCCGTCATAACCATATATGGTTTGCCTAGATTGTGTGTCCTAGATTGTGTGTGCCTAAAACGTGTGGTTCTGCGGGTCTGCAGCTGGATATTATTGGTTGCGCCACTGGTTATTATTATTCATGTTGGAGTGAGCACGAGGCAAGGATTTCACAGAGAGAAAAACGTCTCAAGTTATCATTCATCGCCTTTATGATGCGGGTTTACTCCTCACAATCCCTCTTTTAATAATGTGTGTTTAGTGCTTTTGGCAATGTTTTGTTAGTGCTGAGTGAGGGCAGATGAGTTTTAGACACGCTTCTTTTGAGCAACTGAGTGAATGTGTTGAAAGCTGAGAGACAGAAAGAGAGATATGCCTTCCTTGCATAAAAAAGCCACGTCTTTAGCCACCTAAAAAGGTAAATATAATTTATTTCTGGCTGAAAACATGCCATCAATTAACAGGAAACAAGTCGAGCGACTGTGTGTTGGGATAAAGCGAAGCGTGTTTGTGTGTATGTAAGCTGTTTAATGAGATACTGCTTTCAGTAAGATCATCATGGGGTAAATAAGCATGGCATTACCATTCATCTTTCCGCATATTATTTGACAGCGAGCCGTCCTTGTAAGGTAATGCAGTCTGACAACAAATGCTACGTTTTCCTGGAAGGTATAGCAAAGCATTCATTTAGGTGTGTGTGTGTCTCTGTTTGTGTGTGTGTTTGGAGGGGGGAAAGGGGGCCAGGGCACAATGCCAAACACCAGGCGCCATTCTTCCAGCATGATGACCTCATCTCTATCCACTACTAAAACATCTCGTCTACATTCATCATCGCCGAATGTACTGTTTGTGTTTTCGCTTGTGCGCCCACAACGAAATGAACAGAAATATTATTCATTTTCGGTGGTGAATTCTGCCTTAAATTAATTAGTAAGGTTTTAACCATTGAAATTCCCAGAGATGGGTTGCAGCTGGAAGGGCATCCGCTGCGTAAAAACTTGCTGGATAAGTTGACGGTTCATTCCGCTGTGGTGACCCCGGATTAATAAAGGGACTAAGCCGACAAGAAAATGAATGAATGAATGAATTAACCATTGAACTGTCAGTCCACGTTTTTAACATAGATGTGAAAATGTACTTAATGTTCTGTCTAATTGACATGGACTCGACTTATTATGAAGTGAAATAGTTTAATAGATATTAAGATAATATATATATATATATATATATATATATATATATATATATATATATATATATATATATATATATATACATATACTATATTATTATATATTAGTACCTACAATTTTTAAGAGGAACTCTTTTGTACTTTTTAGGTACTAATATGCACCTTGGAGGTAGTACCCTACTGAAAAAAAACAGCTTAAACTAGCCTAGGCTGGTTGGCTGGTTTTAGCTGGTCGACCAGGCTGGTTTTGGCCATTTCCAGGCTGGTTTCCAGCCATTTCCAGCCTGGTCAGGCTGGGAGATGACCAGCTAAAACCAGCTTGACCAGCCTAGCCAGGCTGGGAGTCCAGCCAAAACCAACTATGTCCAGCTTAAACCAGGCTGATCAAGCTGGTTTTAGCTGGTCATTTTCTAGCCTGACCAGCTAAGACCAGGCTGGAAATGGCTGGTTTAAGCTGGTTTTTCCAGCAGGGATATGGACCTTTTTAGGCACAAATTTGTACCTTTTGAAAAGGTACCACCCAGCTTGCGTACCTTTATTTCTGAGAGTATAAGAGAAGAAATACCATACTACAGTACATTCATGTGGAAACTATTCACAGAGCTTCACTTTTTCCGAGTCTTGTTATGTTTTATTCTAAAATGTATGAAATTACGTATCCTCCTTAAAATTCTACAAACCCTACCCCATTGTCAACTTGAAATATGTTTGTTTGAAATGGTGAAGAAAAACCCAATGTCCACTGCTCATTCTTGAATCATCGACTGTATGTGAAATTGAATCAGACCCGCACAACAGCCAGGAGGACCAACTCTTTACAAAACGGTTTCAGTTCAGCAGCGTTCTTGGGACGCCTGGTGTGAATCGCTCGATTGAAGTCATGCCACAGCATCTCAATAGGGTTGAGATCAGGACTCTGACTGGGCCACTCCAGACACTTCGGTTGAAGCCTCTTTAATCTTCTCTTGTTGATTTACTTCTATGCTATGCTTCTGTTGCATCGCTCACCCTCTGTTGAGCTTAAGTTGGAAGACATATATGAATATGTATCATTAATTAACTGTCATTAATTGCAAAATGAAAAATGAAAATACACAAACAAGTACTCTTCAATTAATACAAATCACTCTATTTACTAAAATATATTCCCAGAGCATGTCTCAGCAGTTTTGGAAGCATTTTATTGCATATATATATATATATACACACACACACACATCAATATTTTTTTTTTCATAAAGCAAATGCAAATAAATAAAACTTCAACCCTGTTATGAAAGGATACATTAACATACCACATGAAAAAGTACATACATCTTTATGAACAGTTTAGATGTTATCTGCATTATTTTTGGAATAATAAAAATAAAAACAATCGCAGTGCAATCCTGCTGCTCTTTGTGAAACGTCACGTCATTACTATTGTAATAAGTCCTGAACTCAATCTCGTAATACAGATGAGTATTTCGTCAGTTTTGATTGGTTTCTGCTTTGTTACTGTCTTCATACTCCAATAAGGATGCCAGAAAACAGACTGTCTTGGAGAACTGTGAGGGCTGAACCTGTGCCGTTGTCAATGAGAATAGACACATACTCTCCAGCCTGTGAAAGAATGAAGAACACATTAATGATATGTTTTTTATAAGGCAATAATGTAAAGAGAGTCCATGATGCGTTCATATTTAACCTTATTCTGTGGTGTAACTGTCAAGTAAAAATTAGCCTTATGTAAAAAGGTAAAATCAGATATTTGGAATTAGATTGACACATAACGGCCATAAAGGTCTGCAGAAGTTTTCACTTGTATACATTACATATACGTGTGTGTGTGTGTGTGTGTGTGTGTGTGTGTGTGTGTGTGTGTGTGTGTGTGTGTATGTATGAAGGAAAAAATGAATGAGTTAGGGTTTGCATGAATGAGTAAGTGTGAATGAATGAGTAAGTAAGTGCGTGAAAGAATAAGTGCATGAGTGAGTGAGTGAGTGCATGAATCAATGAAAACTTGTTTGAATGAATGAGTGCGTGAATAAATGAGTGTGCATGAGTGAATGAGTGAGTGCATGAATGAATGAGTGAGTGCATGAATGAGTTTGTGAATGAGTGTACGAATGAGTGAATGAGTGCTTGAATGAGTGAGTGCCTTGATGAGTGGGTGAATGTGTGCATGAATAAGAGAGGGCATGCATGAGTGAGTGCCTTGATGAGTGGGTGAATGTGTGCATGAATAAGAGAGGGCATGCATGAGTAAGTGCCTTGATGAGTGGGTGAATGTGTGCATGAATAAGAGAGGGCATGCATGAGTGAGTGCCTTGATGAGTGGGTGAATGTGTGCATGAATAAGAGAGGGCATGCATGAGTGAGTGCCTTGATGAGTGGGTGAATGTGTGCATGAATAAGAGAGGGCATGCATGAGTGAGTGCCTTGATGAGTGGGTGAATGTGTGCAAGAATAAGAGAGGGCATGCATGAGTGAGTGGGTGAGTGTGAGAATGAGTGAGTGTGTGAATGAGAGTGCATGAATGAATGAGTGAGTGACTGAATGAGTGAGTGCATGAATGACTATGAGGATGAGTGTATGAATGAATGAGTGAGTGCCTGAATGAGTGAGTGCATGCATGGCTATGTGGATAAGTGTATGAATGAATGAGTGAGCATGTGAATGAGTGCTTGAATGAGTAAATGCCTTGATGAGGGAGTGAGTGTGTGCATAAATGAGTGCATGAATAAGTGAGTTTAAGTAAGTGAGTGAGTGAATGAGAGTGCATGAATGAATGAGTGAGTGCATGAATGAGTCAGTGAATGAGTTTATGAATGAGGGATTGAGCATGTAAATGAGTGCTTGAATAAGCGCCTTGAATAAACGTCTTAATGAGTGAGTGAGTGTGTGCATGAATGAGTGAGTGAATAAGTTTGAATGAGAGTACGTGAATAAATGAGTGAGTGCCTGAATGAGTGAGGGCATGGATGAGTCTGTGGATGAGTGTATGAATGAGTGAATGTGAAGTGAGTGAATGAATGAGTGTGTATGTGAGTGAGTGCGTGCATTATTAGGTGGGTGCGTGAATGAGTACGTGTATATGCGTGAGTGTCTGAATGGTTTAGTGAGTGCATAAGTGATAGTGTGAATGAATGAGTGCGTGAATGAATGTGTGCATAAATAAATGAGTGTGTGAATGGGTGAGTGCATGCATGAGTGTGTAAGTGAATGTGTGTGTGAGTGCATGAATGGGTGAGTGCATGCATGAGTGTGTAAGTGAGTGTGTGAATAAGTGAGTGTGTAAATGAGTGAGTGAGCAAATGATTGAATGTGTATGAGTTAGTGTTTGCATTAAAGAGTGAGTGCGTGAATGAATTAATGAGTGTGTAAATTAGTGAGTGCATGAATGAATGAGTGAGTGTGTACATGACTGAGTGAGGGAGTGCATTAGTGAGTGAGTGTCTGAATGATTTGGTGAGTGCATAATTGAATGATTGAGTGTGTGCATGAATAAATGAATGTGTGCGTGAATAAATGAGTTTGTGTGTGCATGAATAAATGAGTTTGTGAATGGGTGAGAGCGTGCATGAGTGTGTAAGTGAATGTGTGCATGACTGAGTGCATGAATGAATAAGTGCGTATGTGAGAGTGCATAATTGAGTGAGTGAATGAATGAGTGTGTATGTGAGGGAGTGCGTGATTGAGTCATGGAATGAACGAGTGAGTGTGTATGTGAGTGAGTGCGTGATTGATTGAGTGAATGAATGAGTGAGTGTTTGCGTGAGTGAGTGAATGAATGAGTGAGTGTGTGTGTATGTGAGTGAGTGCATGATTGAGTGAGTAATTGAATAAGTGAGAGTGTACGTGAGTAAGTACATGATTAGGTCAGTAAATGAATAAGTGAGTGTGTATGTGAGTAAGTGCGTGATTGAGTGAGTGTGTATGTGAGTGAGTGCATGATTGATTAAGTGAATGAATGAGTGTGTATCTAAGTGATTGCATGATTAAGTGAGTGCATGAATGAATAAGTGCATATGTGAGTGCGTGATTGAGTAAATGAATGAGTGAGTGTGTATGTGAGTGCGCGATTGAGTAAGTGAATGAATGAGTGAGTGTGTATTTGAGTGAGTGCGCAATTGAGTGAGTGAATGAATGAGTGTGTATGTGAGTGAGTGCGTGATTGAGTGAGTGAATGAGTGTGTACGTGAGTGAGTGCGTGATTAAGTGAGTGAATGAATAAGTGAGTGTGTATGTAAGTGAGTGCGTGATTGAGTGAGTGAATGAATGAGTGTGTTTGTGAGTGAGTGCGTGATTGATTGAGTGAATAAATGAGTGAGTGTGTATGTGAGTGAGTGCGTGATTAAGTGAGTGAATGAATGAGTGAGTGTGTATGTGAGTGAGTGCATGATTGAGTGAATGAATGAGTGAGTGCGTGATTGAGTGAATGAATGAGTGAGTGTGTACGTGAGTGAGTGCGTGATTGAGTGAATGAATGAGTGCGTGATTGAGTGAGTGAATGAATGAATGAGTGAGTGTGTATGTGAGTGAGTGCGTGATTGAGTGAATGAATAAGTGAGTGCGTGATTGAGTGAGTGAATGAATGACTGAATGTGTACGTGTACGTGAGTGAGTGCATGATTGAGTGAATGAATGAGTGAGTGCGTGATTGAGTGAGTGAATGAGTGAGTGTGTATGTGAGTGCGTGATTGAGTGAGTGAATGAATGAGTGAGTGGGTGATTGAGTAAATGAATGAGTGAGTGTGTATGTAACTGAGTGTGTGATTGAGTGAGTGAGTGAATGAATGAGTGAGTGTGTATGTAGGTGAGTGCGTGATTAAGTGAGTGAATGAGTGAGTGTGTACATGAGTGAGTGTGTGATAGAGTGAATAAATGAGTGTGTATGTGAGTGAGTGCGTGATTGAGTGAATGAATGAGTGAGTGAGTGCGTCATTAAGTGACTGCATGAATGGATAAGTGCATATGTGAGTGAGTGCGTGATTGAGTGAGTGAATGAATGAGTGAGTGTGTATGTGAGTGAGTGCGTGATTGATTGAGTGAATGAGTGAGTGTGTATGTGAGTGAGTGCGTGATTGATTGACTGAATGAATGAGTGTGTACGTGAGTGTATGCATGATTGAGTGAGTGAATGAATAAATGAATGAGTGAGTGTGTATGTGAGTGAGTGCGTGATTGACTGAATGAGTGAGTGTGTACGTGAGTGAATGCGTGATTGAGTGAGTGAATGAATGAATGAATGAATGAGTGAGTGTGTGTGAGTGAGTGAGTGCGTGATTGATTGAATGAATGAGTGTGAATGTGACTGAGTGCATTTGTGACTCAGTAAATACGTAATTAAGTGCATAAATGAATCTGAGTGCATGGATAAGTGTGTGAATGAGTGAGTGCATGCATGAGTAGGTGAGTGTGTGTGTGAATGAGGGAGTGACAACTGTGTACACCCTCAACCCAATTTAAATCACTCTAAATAAAAGCAGCTGCCACATCCATACATGTAAAGTAAAACTGATCTTGTGCCTTTGAGTAAATGTTTAGCCTGAAATTGAGCATCATGTTAATAAAAGAGGGTTATTATTTATGTGCTCAACACAATGGCTTTAACCATATTGTCAAGAAGCAAATATTTACATCTTTGTTCATGGACATGTTACAAGACGGTTCTGTTCTTGTTCAGTGAAACAGGCTTGTCATACCTGCAAGTAAAGCGTCCCGGACAGGAGAATACTGAATACTCCTCCTGTAGCGCTAACCCCAGTCACCGTCTCCAGAGACCTGCCGCATTATAAACACATTCATCATTCTGCTCCACTGACCGTGGCTTTATAATTACACTTCAAATCACGGATCTTTACCACTCACACATTGCTCTGACACAGAGACTCTATGCATATGGAGGCTCTGACACTGTCCCTCTGCCTGCCGTGGGCCTTTTTCTGAGACTCTGAGTTGGATTCTGAAAGCACACACAAACACAGATGCATGATGCAAAGCTGACCGTGAACCCCACCCCTGTTCCTCTGAGCTTTATCTACAGGACAGACTGTTTGTTAGGCAGAATTCACCACACTCTGAGAAATGAGATGATGAAATCAGGAATAGGGCATTGCGTGTGCTTTAGCATGGAGAATGATGCAATGAAGCCTGTCTTTTATGCTGCTGTTAAGTCTAAATGGAGGAATTCGAATGACCTGCAAGCAGCGCTGCATGGGTCTACATCAGTGGTTCTCAAATTGTTTTCATCAAGTACCACCTCAGAAAAAAATGTGTCTCTCCAAGTACCACCATAATGAGCAAAATTAAAATACAGTGGCGTAGTAAGCCCAGTAAAGCAGCTACAGCTCTGCACAGTTCGAAAACTTGGCAGATTAATTCCTATTATTAAGAATATTTATTATTGTCAGCCATTTTAAACATTATAAATAGTCTGAACATTAACACTGTAGTGTACTGTGCTTATATGTAAAAAAAACAAACAAACTAACTAAAAATGTCAACATTTAAAATTAAAATGTGCTTATAAAAAGTTAAAAATGGTTGGTTAATGTTCGTAAAAGTAAAAAGAAAAGTGCTATACTGAAATGTAAAGTATTAATATATAGTAGCCAATTCATGAACACCTGGAAATGTTGCCTGGACATCAGAAATATAGGCTACATGTTATATAATAAGTATTATTATATGTCATATTTATATATAAATCATTTTTGATAAATTTTGAAATATATGGAGCATAAAAATACTGTATGACACATTTGATATCACCACTAGAAGGAAGCCTGCGTACCACTATTGGTACACGTACCACAGTTTGAGAACCACTGGTCTACATCATTACAAAAAGCGACTAAATACCAGAGAAAGTATGTAAAAAAACACGAATGCCCCAAATATTACATACAGTTGAAGGTTTTTTTTTAACCTCAATTTCTGTTTAAAAGGAAAGAAGATACACATTTCTTAACATAATAATTTTAATAACTCATTTCTGATAACTGATTTCTTTGTTTTTTGCCATGATGACAGCATATAATGGTTTACTAGATATTTTTAAAGATATTATTTAGCTTAAAGGGACATTTGAGGGTTTAATTAGGTTAATTAGGCAGTAATTTGACAAATTATTATATTAAACTGTTTTGTTCTGTGGACAATCAAAAATACATATTGCTTAAAGGGGGGAATAATATTGACCTTAAAATTGTTTAAAAAATGTGAAACTGCTTTTATTCTAGCCGAAATAAAACAATTAAGACTTTATTCAGAAAAAAAATATATTATAGGAATTACTGTAAAAAAAATCCTTACTCTATTAAACATCATTAGGGAAATATTTAAAAAAACAAATCGAAGGCTAATTATTTTGACTTCCGCTGTGGGTTGAATGAGATGGACACCACATTGAATAAGTTATACAAAGCGATGTGCAGTATTCTATATCATTTATTAATGCTGCTGTGGGACAATGTGAGAGACACACATCAAATGTGATGTTTTACGGAAAATATCACTTTTATAGTGAACTTTTACTGTTCTTTATTGTTCTTACTTTAATAGGACGCTTTTATATTAGAAATTTTATATTTGTTACACAGACTGCAACTGGCCAAAAATCTAACAAACATTTGCCAACTGCAAATGTAACAAAACTTAATGGACGTATAGACGGACAGATGGATAGATGGATGGACGGACGGACAGACAGACAGGTAGATAGGTAGACAGTGATAGATAGATAGATAGATAGATAGATAGACAGACAGACAGACAGACAGATGTATGTATGTATGGATAGACAGATGGATAGATAGACGGACGGATGGACAGAACGGACAGATGGACAGATAGATAGACGGATGGATGGATGAATGGATGGATGGATTGATAAACGGACGGACGGACAGTCAGACTGGTAGATAGGTAGACAGTGATTGATAGATAGATAGATAGATAGATAGATAGATAGATAGATAGATAGATAGATAGATAGATAGATAGATAGATAGATAGATAGATAGATAGATAGATAGATAGATAGATAGATGATAGATAGATAGAAGGACGGATGGACGGTCGGACGGACAGGTGGGCGGTCAGACGGAGGGACTGTTGGACGGACAGATAGATGGATGGATGGATGGATGGATGGATGGATGGACGGACGGACGGACGGACGGACAGACAGACAGACAGACTGGTAGATAGTTAGACAGTGACAGATAGATAGATAGATGGATAGACAGAGAGACAGACAGACAGACAGACAGACAGACAGACAGATAGATAGATAGATAGATAGATAGATAGATAGATAGATAGATAGATAGATAGATAGATAGATAGATAGATAGATAGATAGATAGATAGATAGATAGATAGATGAATGGAAGGACGGATGCATGGTCGGATGGACAGGTGGGCAGTCAGACGTAGGGACTGTTGGACGGACAGATAGATGGATGGATGGGTGGATGGATGGATGGATGGACGGACAGACAGACAGACTGGTAGATAGGTAGACAGTGACAGATAGATAGATAGATGGATAGATAGATAGACAGACAGACAGACAGACAGACAGACTGATGGACAGATAGATAGACAAAGACAGGGAGACAGAAGGTAGGACGGACGGACGGACGGACGGACGGACGGACGGACGGACGGACAGACAGACAGACAGACAGACAGACAGACAGACAGACAGACAGACAGACAGACAGACAGACAGACAGATAGATAGATAGATAGATAGATAGATAGATAGATAGATAGATAGATAGATAGATAGATAGATAGATAGATAGATAGATAGATAGATAGATAGATAGAAACTCATATGTGAATGAAGTGAATTTGATACCCTACTGAAGGAATAGTATGGTTCATTCGTGCATGCCATGTCTGGTGTGAACACAGCATTAGAAAGTTGTTCAAAATCAGAAAAAAAAAGTAAGAATCTGCCGTCCAGAAAAACCCATACCTAGCAGCAGATTAGCTGAGAGCTGATAGAAGCCAGACACTGGAGCCGTATAGCGGCCGCTGCTGATGTTAAAGCCCTGTCCTCTCTGATGGAACTGCTCTGTGTTCGAAGGCTGTGGAAAACACAGACAAATGGAATTATTGAATATGCCGAACTCTTTCATTGCCAACCCTTCTTCACTGTGGTCAGCCGAAGCTAGCATTGCTGCTGAACCAACGTACAGTTGAAGTCAAAATCATTAGTCCTCCGGTGAATTTAACAGAGGAAACTTTCACAGTATTCCCTACAATATTTAATGGAGAAAGTCTTATTTGTTTTATTTCGGCTAGAATGAAAGTAGCTTTTAATTTAGTTCAATCATTTTAAGGTCAATATCACTAGCCCTCTTAAGCAGTATTTATTTTCGATTGTCTACAGAGCAAACCATCATTATACAATGATTAATTACCCTAACTAGCCGAGTTAAGCCTTTAAATGTCACTTTAAGCTGAATATCTAGTCAAATATTATCTACAGTCATCATGGCAAAGATAAAAGAAATCAGTTATTAGAAATTACTAATTAAAACTAAATTAAAATGATACAGGATGTCTAATAATTCAGGAGGGCTAATCATCCTGACATCAACTGTATCTAGAAACGAGGGCTATGCTTTAGGCCAGGGGTGCTCAATGCTGTTCCTGGAGATCTACCTTCCAGCAAAGTTCAGCTCCAACCCTGATCAAACACACCTGAGCCAATTAATTAGGACCTGTACTGCACTTGATAATTACAGGCAGGTGTGTTTGATATGGGTTGCAACTGAAATCTGCAGGAAGGTAGATCTCCAGGAACAGGGTTGGTCACCCCAAACTAAAGCTAAATTTGGAGTTTAAGTTAATTCAGATCTCTTGTGAGGTCGTGCTTCGTGAGTGGAGTAAATTGTTATTACTGTTTTGCACTCACAGTGTTGAAGGGCTGGAGCTCCTGCAGGCTGCGGCGGTGGACCAGCTGGTTGTGTTGAATTCGGCAGCGGAAAGCCGTGGCCACACGAGGAGGTTGATCACAATACACACAGTAAGTTCCGACCATCTCTGAGAGGAAAGATCATTGGTCAAAGGCATAGCAAATTCCCATCTGACTGCACTGTTTAAGGAAAAACCCATCCATAATTCTGATAGGTGGAAATATATGCAAATTGCAAAAGACATATTTGTTATGTGTCATGACATGTACAAAATTTAGTTATAAATATTGCAAAATGGATGCTTATATACAAATATATTTTCCAACCAATGAAATTAAAATATGTACACATTATATATTAATTATACACATTATATATATATATATACACACACTAACCGGCCACTTTATTAGGTACACCTGTCCAACTGCTCGTTAAGGCAAATTTCTAATCAGCCAATCACATGGCAGCAAATCAATGCATTTAGGCATGTAGACATGGTCAAGACGATCTGCTGCAGTTCAAACCGAGCATCAGAATGGGTACGCTTACGTCATCGCTGCTGGGCTGTTCAGTGAGAAGCGCTCTCTCACTCAGCAGCACAGTGGAGATTTCTGTAGTTATATCGTATTAGTCGTTTGATATGCCGTCAAATATTTCGCCAAACAGTCCTTTGGGATGCGGGGACACGCAGTCAGATATTTCGCCGAACAGATCCGCCACTTTTGGCGCTCATAAACAATCATAAAGCTCTCGTGCTGCAGGAATGAGGAGGTCTGCTGAAGGCGCGCAGCTGTCGTGAAGTGAGGAGTTTGCGTCTTTAATAAACTACGGCAGTTTGCGTTCACTGAACAGTAAGAATTATTATTAAATCCATATGAAACAGTCCCTTAAAAGTCACGTCTCGCTTTCAGTTTCGGGCTTTGGCGCGTTTTGCACTCACACACAAGCGTACCGCGCCAAAGCCCAAGTGATCCGTGCTCAGGCACACCTCTTCCAACCAGGCCAGGGCCGGCCGAGTGAACCGTGCTTGAGCCCGATTCAGCGCACTCACACTTCTCAAACGATCCGGGAAACGGGCCTGGGCACAGTACGGATGGCATAGTGTGAGTAGGCCCTAAGGCTACAATTCACACAGGCTCACCAAAATTGGACAACAGAAGATTGGAAAAACTTTGCCTGATCTGATGAGTCTCGATTTCTGCTGTGACATTCAGATGGTTGGGTCAGAATTTGGTGTCAACAATATGAAAGAATCCATGTATCCATTCTGCCTTGTAACAACGGTTTAGGCTTCTGGTGGTGGTGGTGTAATGGTGTGGGGGATATTTTCTTGGCACACTTTGGGCCCATTAGTTGCAATTGAGCATCATGTCAATGCCACCACAGCCTACCATGGATGCTGACCATGTCCATCCCTTTATGAAAACAGTGTACTCATCTTCTGATGGCTACTTCCAGAAGGACACACACCATATCATTAAGTGTGAATAATCTCAGACTGGTTTCTTGAACACGACAAAGAGTTCACTGTACTCAAATGGCCTTCACTGTCACCAGACCTCAATCCAATAGAGCACCTTTGGAATGTGGTGGAACGGGAGATTCATATCATGGATGTGCAGGCAACATATAATATATAACATATATATATATATATATATATATATATATATATATATATATATATATATATATATTAGGGATGTAACGTTATTGTAAATACCGTCATACCGCAATATAAATTTTTTTCGATATTACCGAAGTCGCATGACTCGGTAAAACTATAGATCTTCTGAGAAAATTTGCTCAGGCGAATGAAGCGAACGGGAGGTAGCGAAAACTACAATTCCCATCAGCCCAGGCTTGGCCATAATCCCTTGCGGTCTGTTGTCGCTACAGATCCAGTAATGCGGAAATGGAGTGTGCTGCTAGAAGCAGGGATGAAAAAGAGCTGGAAAACCCTAAAGCGGGTGTTGTCGCCGCGCGCGTACTGAATAGCGGTGTTGTCGCGCGAGTTCTTATCAGCTGTGTTGTCGCGGGCGTTCTGATCAGCTGTGTGGTTGCGCGAGTTCTTATCAGCTGTGTTGTCTCGCGCATACTGTAAAGCGGGACGGAGGGTATGTCGCATCGCGGGGGCACTTTCGATCATTTTGGAAGGGAACTTTCTATCAAAGACTAAAAAGGGCATGTGCACTGCACAGGTTGAGCCCTGTGTGTGCACGTGCCTGCAAGTTGGGGAATACGACTAATAATCAGTCATGGGGATTGCAGAAACACAGCACACTGTTCAGATTGATACAGACATGAGACCTCTATCTTACTCATGGCTTGTCCTCTCAAGTGGGGGAAAGACAATGCACAACGTTACCCACTGCTGTCAACCTGGGCCAAGTCATATCTCTCTTGTCCCAGAATCCTCAGTCCCAAATGAGAGGGGTTTTTCTGTTGCAGGGGACATTGTAAATGCCCAGAGATACCAGCTTTTACCAGATTATATTTATATGATAATTTTCCTTTAAACCCATCTCTATCTAAGTGAGTGAGTGATTAAATGTTGAATGTGATGAGTTTTCAACAATACTAAATTGAAACTTAATTTTTTTACATTGTTTAATATTTTTTTGTTATTAAAATTGAAGTTCCTGTTTCAAAGCTTACAGATAGATGGCTAATTTGTATGTCATTGACACTTTTGGCACTTTTTTGGAGTATTTTCATAAGTTTTGTTTTTTCCTGTAAATGATTCAATAAATACCGTACCGTGACATTCATACCGAGGTATTACCGTACCGTGAAATTCTGATACCGTTACATCCCTAATATATATATATATATATATATATATATATATATATATATATATATATATATATATATATATATATATTGCCATATATCAGATTCATACATGGAAAGGAAGATATAACCCAGTAGTCTAGGAACTTCAAACACACACACACATATTCACAAACACACAGAAATGAAGCCAGTGGAAAGTGTTGTGGATTTTCTTTGACTGACACTTGGCCGCATATAAAGTCATTAAACAATCTTACAGTGAATAGAAGATGTAAATATTTGGAGTGCTTGAGTGTGTATGTGCAGACGGAGTGGATGGAAGTGTGAGGGAATGAGAATCCTGGAGCGTACGAGCGTGTGGCGCCACTGAACTTTTCTGTGTGAATAAGAGCCTTTATGTTTTATATTGCTGTCAGAACAGCCTGCAGCTCACTGCACCAGAGCACAAACAAACCTGTGTCTGTCTTCCTGGCAACGCTCCAGCACTCATTCCACACACACACACACACACACACACACACACACACACACACGCACACACACACACACACACACACACACACACACACACACACACACACACACACACACACACACACACACACAAGCACACACAAGCACACACAAGCACACACACACACACACAAAATCTGGAATCTGTGGAATTCTTTAGCCAGGCCAAGTCAATTCCACGTACTGGAAAATTACACCTATTAAGAGATCAGCCCAGCCCACAATCAGACTAGCTGCCTCCCCAACAAATGAGCATGACAACATATATCCCAAACCTGTAGCATTGTTGAAAGCCAGCTGGCCCAGACAAAACAGTTCTTTTAGAGCAGAAATGCCCAAACTAGGCCTGTATGCCAAAGTTGGCCCATGGAATCTTTGATTTGGCCCGCCATCCCATCCGAGAAGAAATTTAGGGTTTTTCTCAGTCGCTTTGGTGCGTTTCTCACAACACCTGTGCATTTCTGCACAACAGTTAATGCATTTCTTAAAATAATTAGTACAAACTGCAAAACCTAGCTGATAACCTGCAAAAGCGCGTCACATGCTCAAAATGGATAGTTCATTCCTCAAAAGCAAGTATTCATGTCAATCAAAGTGTCAGTATCATCAAAATCAAAAGTCCTGACACCATTGTTTATGAACAAGATAGTCAAATGACTTTGTCATGTTTTCATTATGTCAGTTTACTCTGTACATTTTTTCAATACAAAAACGTCAGATTTTGGTAAAACTTTGTGAAAATGCTCAAGATTGTACTATATACTATTAGAACAGCCAATTGAAAACTACAGTAAAGTTAGACATCACTGCATTTAGTGAGGTATCTGAGTACAAGACACTGAATATGTATGTTTCACATTTTTTTCTGCATATGCTCTTTACAATTAGAATTTTTTACAGCGTTGTGCAGAAGAATAAATACACCCTTATTTACAACAAACATAAACTTTCTTTGGGTAGAGCTGTGCACAACTGTAAACAATATTGCAGTACATATTGGAACTGAGCCAACATACATACACAGTAGAGATGCGCGGATGGGCTATTATTTCATCCGCAACCGCATCATAAAACTCATCATCCGTCCGCCATCCATCCGCACTAACATTATTGACCAATTTTTAAAACCGCACCCGCCCGCCATCTGCTGACTGAGCTCTTTATTTGAATGGCTTATTCCTTTTTATTATTAAATGAATGTTTCTTTATTGATTATTAGAAAATAGAGAATGAGTTTAATGACATGCAGTTAATCCAAACGTGCAAGTCAAATCCAGCATTAATTGACGCTTTGAAGTGACGCTAAACAATACGAGGATGTGTCTTTTCACTCGATTTGATTCCTCGGTCCTTGAGTTTTTTTTTTTTTTGCGTCCTTCCCTCGCATCCTATAGGGGTGGAAAGACGAGGAAAGAAAGCAAGGGAAGGAAACGAGGATACACAAATAAGAAATGAGAAGCACCCTATAAAGCTCTCAGAATATCAGCAGTGAACTCCGTCTCCAATCGGTGCACAGGGACAAAAATGAATAAATAAATAGCCTAAATGAAACGCACTGTACTGTACAATTTTTTTTTATTATAGTAGCCTAATAGAAAACGCATTTTGACACATCATTTCAACATTCAGACGAGAGCGCCTGGCCTCAATGCGCTCGCTCGCAGCACTTGTTGCTGGAATGCATAGAATTCTCTTGGCAAGGTGCTGTAGACGTGGGAATGACTGGCATTGTTTCTCCCAAAAGGAAAGTAGATTTTCCTCTGCTGATCCGTCTATTCTTAATTTTGTAGAGGAAGACTTCTGTACTTCATCCAGAATTAGTGTATCCGATTCCTCCTCTCATTCTGTGAAGTCAGTCCTAGGCTTTTTCGTTGGTGCGCCAGCTATGTGTACAAAAACAGTACAACCGCCCACCACCCGCCCGAATTTATTTAAAATATTATTTTTCGTCACGTCATCCGCCCGATCAGCGGCTTATCCACGGATTCCGCGGCTGTAACCGCCATCCGCGCATCTCTAATACACAGGTCTGTAAATCATTCATAAAAACTGTTCAATTTAGAAGACATTTTCAGTAAAATAAAGATTTAAACACTTTTTTAAAAAAATAGAATTAGCTTGCAAGATTTTGACAACTAGTTCAACATTTTTGTATGTAATGACTCAAGTAATGAAATGAAGACTATTAGTTTTATTGGCAAAGACTATTCAGCATTTACAAGTTTAGTTAATTTTAACTGACATGACATAAGCAAATGATAATGTCATAAATAGCAGAGAGTTGTATGAAAGCAATTGATGCATGTCCGAAAGCATTTGCAATTTGCTGAAAGGAATGAGAAACAGCTACTTGGATGTGCACAAATGACTAATTGTTTTGAGAAATGCATGAACTGTTGTGCAAATGTAAATAGTGCTGTGAGAAATGCACCCAAGCGACTGAGAAAAACTGTAAAATAATGCAAATGCCTTCAACAGAGATCGTCGTTTCTAATTTATCGGTACCTTTTGTTTGTTTGTTGAGATACAAAAAAAGCAAACTCAAATGAAATGTTTCAATTAAATGTTGTGCATAAATCAGAGTTTTTAAAATGTAAATACTGTCACTCACAGTTCTTGCAACATGTTTAAATAAAAGTTGGAACAGTAAAGCATTTACCACTTTGTAATGTTGCCATTTCTTTTCACAACACGTAAAAGACATTTAGGGACTGATTTGAGTGATAAAGAGTTTTAGGTTGTCCTATGCTTCTTAAGGTGGGCAACAGTACGGGCTCTTTGTTGTCGCATTTTGAACTTAAAAATGTGTCACACATTCTCTATTGGAGACAGGTCGGGACTGCAAGCAGGCCAGTCAAGTACCTATTCTCTTCCTTCGCAGCCAGGACTTTACACTGTGTGCAGAATGTGGTTTTGCATTGTCTTGATGAAATATACATGGGCGTTCCTGGAAAAAAGTCAGCATATTGTGCTCCAAAATCTCTCTGTACTTTTCAGCATTAACGGAAGTGCAAGTTACCTTTGTCAAGGGCACTGACACAACCCCATACCATGACTGACCCTGGATTTTGGACTTGTTGCTGGTAACAGTCTGAATGATTATTTTTTCTTTGGTCCGGAGCACACAGCGTCCGTTTCTAAAAATAAATACCTGAAGTACTGATTCATCTGTCCACATTACACATTTTTAACTGTGTGATGGTCCATCCCAGATGCCTCTGAGGCCAGAGAAGTGGATAGCGCTTCTGGACACTGTTAACATAGGACTTCCTTTTAGCACAGTACAGTTTTAACTAGCATTTGTGGATGTAACTACATATTGTGTTACTTGAAAAGGTTTGTCAAAGTAGTCCTGAGCCCATGTGGTGATATCGCTTGTAGATGAATGAGGATTCCTGATGCGGTGCTGCCTGAGGGATCGGAGATCACGGTTGTTCAGCTTAGGCTTGTACCCTTGTCCTCTAGGTTCCTTGAATCTTTCAATTATATTATGCACTGTTGAAGGTGAAATATCCAAATGTCTTCCTGTCTTTCTTTGAGGAACATTGTTTTTAAACATTTCAATAACTTTCTCATGTATTTGTTGGCAAACTGGTGATCCTCGGCCCATCTTTGCTCCTAAAAGACTAGACCTTTCTTGGATGCTGCTTTTGTAACAAATCATAATTACAATCACCTGTTGATATCACCTGTTTCAAATCACATCACTAATTAACCAGTTTACCTGATTTCTAGCCCTAAACTGCTCCTGTCCCAATGTTTTAATGAAATCTGTCGCAAGAACCAAAATTGGAATACATGGAAAAAAATTGGAAAAAAAAAAACACAATAAAAATCATGAGGAAAACATTAAATAATGTTTGTTGTTTTGTCTGCAATGAGATACAAGTCAAACTAAACTCAGAAATAACCATTTTCTTTTTTTATTTGTGTTTTCCATACTGTCCCAACTTTTTCTGATTTGGGTTTGTATATTAAAAGAATACAAATGCACATTTTCTAAGATCTTATATATATATATATATATATATATATATATATATATATATATATATATATATATATATATATATATATATATATATATATATATATATATATATATATATCTGACTGAGTTTGCAAGGTTTGTGTAATCAAAAATTCCATTAGTCATTCAAATATTTATTTATTAATTTTCTTATCAGCTTTGTCCCTTTTTTTAATCCAGGGTTGCCACAGTGGAATGAACCGCCAACTTATCCAGCACGTTTTTATGCAGCGGATGCCCTTCCAGCCGCAACCCATTTCTGGGAAACATCCACACACACACACACACTCATTCTTACGGACAAGTTAGCCTACCCAATTCACCTGTACCGCATGTCTTCGGACTGTTGAGGAAACCGGAGCACCCGAGGAAACCCACTGACTGACCCAGCCGAGGCTCGAACCATCGACATTCTTGCTGTGAGGCGTCAGCACTACCTACTGCGCCACTTCATCACCCACAATATTAACATATATATTTTATATTAGATTTATATATATCTATGTATGAAGAGTTTAGATGCAAAAACCGTTATGTGCCGTCTGGAATTTCCATCAGAAATGAATATTGTTCTTAGCCTTCTTTGTTTATGTTGAGTTATTTCACTTTAAAGATGACAAAAAGGGCTTATTCTATGCCATAAAATTGATATTATCGAACCTACACACAGGAGCTGGATAAAAATGCTCATTTTATTAGAAAAATTTGGATGCCAAAAAACGCAGATTCAAATCTCCTGAATTGTTTAATTCAGTTATTCTTTACAACTGCCGAGTATTTGAGCCTTTTCTTCAAAAAAATTAACCTGACAGGACATCCGGCAAAAAAACTGTATAAGACTGACTACTATTCATCTATTGATCTATTCATTCATTCATTCATTCATTCATTCATTCATTCATTCATTTTCTTGTCGGCTTAGTCCCTTATTAATCCGGGGTTGCCACAGCGGAATGAACTGCCAACTTATCCAGGTTTTTATGCAGCAAATGCCCTTCCAGCCACAACCCATCTTTGGGAAACATCCACACACACATTCACACACACACTCATGCACTACGGACAATTTTAGCCTAGCCAATTAACCTGTACCGCATGTCTTTGGACTTTGGGGGAAACCGGAGCCCCTGGAGGAAACCCACGCGAAGGCAGGGAGAACATGCAAACTCCACACAGAAGCGCCAACTGAGCCGAGAATCGAACCAGCGACCTTCTTGCTGTCAGGCGACCGCACTGCCTACTGCGCCACTGCCTCGCCCTGATCTACTATTCATATCCATAAAAAGTAAACAAAGACATGTAAAACACAGTAAAAACACTCTACATCTGTGGAAACACACGGATCTGAAGGCAGTTGGGTTTGTAGCTAGACATTATTGGAGTTCGCTGACAGGAACAGTGACCAGCTGGTCACTACTGAAACACCACCAAGTCTCGCTAGATCAATCTGTACGGGCGCACGGCTGTTATAAAACACTCGCAGGTAATAAACAAAGCAGATATTTTAAAGTGTTCACACAAAGAGAGCACGCATAGTTTGTGAATCAACGAACTTGTGTGACTCTGATACAGTACGGGTCGCAGACACACGCGCAAGCTGGTTATCAAACTCTAATCATCGTTACCTTTACATTCGCATGACGGTTTCATTTATACAATCGAGAATGTAGTCCTAGTGGATGCATAGTGGTTGGAAATTTAAGCCACAGTTATGTCTGTATTTAACAGTGAGGCTGTTTTTGCCCGAAATTAATTAGTTTGAATTAGCCTGTTCAATCACAGAACATGGGAAATGCCATTACTTCAATCATTTTTAATATAACATATTTAATAATGAATTCAAATAATCAGTGTAATATTTAAGTTGATTTTAAGCTATCTCGCGGCCCACCTGCAGGATTGCTGAGGTTGAGAATCCCTGATGTAAATGACCCCTAGGGATAATGCTGCGTGTATAGACTGAAGTGCAGAACTCCAAGCATACCTTTTAATTTGAACTGGAAGTCCTTTATAAACTCTGCATGATAAGGCAGTAAGGGGCCCGGTGGACCTGGAGGCCCCTGAGGACCCGGAGGGCCTGGTGGACCGGGAAGACCATGCTGGATGTACAGAAAGATTTCAAGTTACATTACATGATAGGGAAAATCCAAACTTGAGACACTTTCTCAGAGTAGATATGATGTGACATAGGCCTCATAGGTAGGGCCACACGGAATCTGCCGGAGCAAAGATTTTTTGCCCATCATTAATTCTGTTTATTTACTTGAGTTAATGTGTGTAAATCTATATTTATTCAGTTTTTAAGTTAATTACATTAATATTATTGACTCGTTTGAAAATGTTCATCTGATTTGTGTACAATGCAGTTTGTAAAGTAATATTTTCTGTCTTTTAGTAAATCTCAGGCCCGGATTGGCTAATCGGGAGGACCGGGATAGTTCCCAGTGGGCTGGTCCGTTAATAATTATATTAATGAATATTACACACAATAAAAATCAGATGATCCACTACATCAAGAGCTCTGATTAAGCCGTTGTGGTCCAGTGGTCAGCACGTTGCGTTACGACTCCGTCGATCAGAGTTCGAATATTACCTAATTTATTTATTTATTATTTTCATTTTTAGCGTTAAGACATATAATACTGTTTGGGTTACTTATGTAGGTGTAAATATTTAATTTTTATTTTTTGTGTGACCACCGTTCCAAAGGACTGGATATCTTTTTGTCAAATAAGTTTTATTGATGAAGACACAGATTCAAGACAAAATTAATTCTGTTTACATATTTTGTCCACTTATAACATAGGCACAGCAAATAAGGAAAATTAAAAAGGAGAAAATTTTAAATTAAATAAATAAAATTAAAATTAAATCACCCACCCACATAACAAGCAAACTTGTTACAAAGACCTGTTTGAAAAATAGAGTATGATGACGAAGCATGTTAAAACATTACAGAAATGATGCATTATTATGAGTTTTTTTTTTCAAGGTAACAGATAAAGGGATTCCAAATTTTGTCAAATTGTTCCAGTTTTCTTTTCAAATAGTATCTAATTCGCTCCAAATGTAACATAGAAGCAATTTCTCCAAGCCACAGTTTACATGTAGGGGATTCCTTTTTTTCCAAAACAGTAGCAGTAGTTTTTTGGCAGTAGTTAAGCAGTATGAGAGCATTTTATGTTGTGTATTTGACAACAAATGTGTTTGTTCAGAGAATCCCAGAATTACAAGCATTGGATCTGGTTGTAATTGCAACTTCAACACTTCGGAAAGCACATCAAAAATTCCATTCCAATAATTCTGTATCTTAGAACAAAAAATAAAACTGTGGGATAAATCCGCATCTAATGAATTACATTTGTCACAAAGAGGTGAAATATTTAGGAAAATTCTATGTAATTTTTTCATTGAATAATGTAACCTATGAATTATTTTAAATTGAATAAGACAATGTCTAGAATTAATAGATTGTTTATTAATATCCTCCAAACCTGATTGCCACATTTCTTCTGAAATTTCCACTCCCAATTCTTTCTCCCACTCTTCCTTAAAACATTTTGTGGAGGGGGAAGTAACAGATAGTAGTTGTTCATAAATTATTGATAATAAAGGACTGGATATCTATAAAGAATTTTGCACAGAATATATATTCAGATAATGCAGACATTGTGATGTTTTAAAGCAGGGCTTCCCAAACTTTTCAGCCAGCGACCCCCAAAATAACAATGTCAGTGACTCGCGACCCCCATATTTCAAGGTGGTTATACTGTAAATATACAAACGTTGCACACACAACTATAGGCAAATATAAACATGAACATATTGACAACACAAAAATGCAACAGTATATTAACCATATAATGCTTTTCTATAGTCATTAATTAATTTAATTACATTTTAATATAAAAATTAAAGGCTGATGGCTTAATTTGTATGTTGTTGTTGTTGTTTCTTTAACGCAACAATTAACTATCTTCTGTGGGTTATGAATATAAATATAGTAATACAAATAACTTAATAAAATTTAATTGAGTTTTGGAAATCATCAAGCAACACCTTGTCATCGTCCCGCGACCCTCCAGGGGGTCCCGACCCCCACTTTGAGAACCACTGTTTTAAAGAATAGTGTTGGAGATTTAGCTTCCTTTTAATCAAAGAGCTTAGAATGACCAAGAGGCGACACTCTGGTGTAATTTGTGAAACAGCCACTAGAGGGCGCGGTGGCCATTTTGGAATGAAAACTTCAATAGAACAACAGCATATTATTAGTCTGTAAAATAAACTATTAAAAGTGCCGATGTTCGTGATAATACGTGTTGTATTGTCGTCTTTCAAGTTGTATCTCAACTTTAATGCGCTTTTTGAATAAATAAATAAAAAACAAAGCAGCTGCTTGCCATCGCGACAGTAATGAGATCCAATGGACGGCCGATCACTTTCACTCCATAATGGCGGAATCTAGAGGCTGTTGCTGGGCGCTGCTGTTGCAATGGAACGTTCTATTGAGTGTCGCCTCTTGGTCATTCTAAGCTCTTTGCTTTAATGCTCTCATATTTACAAAAAAAAAAAAACGTTTGAAGTTCTAAAGCAGCTGTTTTCTTGAAAAAGACATGATTGTGTCATTAGAAATTGATTTGGAAATGACGTTATAATAATAGTCGTGAATTGCAAAGGCTTGAAACTCCAGGGCTGAAAAGGAGTCCCACTCCGGCCCTGGTGGATCTATTATATGAGAGACTTGCTTTGTTTACCAAATAAAGTGGATCTAATTGGATTTGCTTTTAAACATCAAATATAGTTTATATAAAGATATAATTTTTTATTTCATATATTAAGGTTTTAGTTATAACACTCCCAAAATAATTCCGCAGAAATCCGCAGATCCGTCTGGCCCTTCTCATTGGGTTTATCTGCAGTGCTGTACAGTGGTTTGGGTACGTATAGTTTTACCTTGTTCAATATACAAATGCACTCATTCTACATATTTGACATTATTCGGGTATAGCTGAGATTACCTTGGAGAGTCTTTTATTTCCTCTTGGTTTCTTATTTCCACCCTTGTTGTAGTTGTCCCTGAAAGCTATCCATGTCATGTGGGGGCTCACAGGGGTTATGTCAGAGGAGACAGTATCCTGAAAAAGACGTATAATGCATATCGGTGATTGAAACTAGGTCGAATTTTAAGTTCCCATATGATGGTACACACATATCCTTATTTTAACGTGCATGTACAAACAAAAAATATTCAGACAACAGATATGTTTTTTGCTAGTGATAATATAATTTATGGGCGTTACAGTGGTGCAGTGGGTAGCACGACCGCCTCACAGCAAGAAGGTTGCTGGTTTGAGCTTCGGCTGGGTCAGTTGGCATTTCTGTGCGGAGTTTGGAGGTTCTCACCCTGTTAACGTGGGTTTCCTCCGGGTGCTCCAAGTCCAAAGACATGCGCTATAGGGGAATTGGGTAAGCTTAATTGTCTGTAGTGTATGTGTGTGAATGAGAGTGTATGGATGTTTCCCAGTGATGGGTCACATCTGGAAGGTCATCCGCTGCTTAAAATATATGCTGGATAAGTTGGTGGTTCACTCCACCGTGGCGACCCCAGATTAATAAAGGGACTAAACCGAAAAGGAAATGAATAAATCAGGGCAAGGCAATAAAGTAGGCCCAAAAATATTCAAAAGCTTAAAAAATAAGTGAAGAATCTCCAGCAGGGAGTCTGGGGAAATACTGAAGTTCAGGTTTGATGAATCTACAGCTGAGACTACATGCGGACACCAGGGCTTTTAGTAGTGTACATTTTCTCATGGCCTCACTATAACACACACCATGGTAAAGTCAGTTTGGTTTCAAACCAATTAAATTCTTTGCTCGTGTTATAGTTTGAGCCAAAACTACTACGATAGACATGTGCCCTTTATGTTGCACAATGCTTAATTTCTCTATTAAAACGGTGACGCAACATGATTACAGAGGCGAGGCAGTGGCGCAGTAGGTAGTGCTGTCGCCTCACAGCAAGAGGGTTGCTGGGTCGCTGGTTCGAAACTTGGCTCAGTTGGCGTTTCTGTGTGGAGTTTGTATGTTCTCCCTGCCTTCGCGTGGGTGCTCCGGTTTCCCCCACAGTCCAAAGACATGCGGTACAGGTGAATTGGGTAGGCTAAATTGTCCGTAGTGTATGAGTGTGTGTGTGAATGTGTGTGTGGATGTTTCCCAGAGATGGGTTGCGGCTGGAAGGGCATCCGCTGCATAAAAAAACTTGCTGGATAAGTTGGCGGTTCATTCTGCTGTGGCGGCCCCGGATTAATAAAGGGACTAAGCCGACAAGAAAATGAATGAATGAATGGCATGATTACAAATAAACAAGCAAACGCTATGCGACGTGACACGACAGAAGCATCAGCCAATGCACTCCCAACGAAATGGTAAAGATTTTAATCTAAATAATACACCGTTCAACCATTATTAATAGACTACTGACTGACAGGGACTGATGTAGTTTGGTTTGCACTGCATCAAGATGCTGACTTTCATTTTCAAAGCATTTCTAGTTGTTGTCTGAGGTAAAGGTCTGAGGTGAACCAACAGCTGCTGTTTTCAGTATTTTGGTAATAAATGTCACGTAAAATGCTACTTAAACTTACTTTGGTCGTATTTAACACTGACATAATCTGTATCTGAGGTGAGGTCATACACGCTTATGCTGTTTTTCTGCCGCAAGTTGATGTAATAAAGCATATCTAAAATATACATTTTTGCGCTTCGCCGTCGTACAGTATATGGGTAGGGCCGGATTTACCAATAGTCATTATGGGAAAAAATGCTGATTTTGGAGTGTCTATCTAGGCTAGGTGCAAATAGCGCACATCCTTGGGTCACTGATTGACAGAGACAACATAACTAAACAGCTTGAAGGCCGGCAGCGTGAGTGGTGCAGCTCTTAAAGCGCATGGCAACTTGTTTTGACACGATCGATCATCAACCTTCGAATCCAGCGTTTGATGAACTCATCCTTCTTTTTTTCCCCATTAGTTACATAACAGATTGGAAATACATTTATTTTTAATAGAAAGGAAATATTTTAGTTTAATAATGAAAATGTGATATGAAGTCACAGGTGGCTGGGGGGATTTAAGGATTAGCTTATTTCATATGTGTATAAAAAGGATCTAAATAGTTATTTTAAACATTCAATAAACAGTTATTTTCCACTTTTCCACCTGGTGTTAAATGTTAGCGACATCTTAATAGAGCTAATTTGTATTTACAATGAATACCCTTTAAATATATATATATATATATATATATATATATATAGTACTGCTTCAGTGAACTTGAACAAGTATACTAAAACCATTAATTTTCAGTAGTTTTATTAGTGTTTTTTTTTTTTTATTAAAGTGTGCTTTAAATGTCTTAAAAATAACTTTATTTTTTTTTAAATAAGTCTGTTTAGACTTTAAATATTTGAACTATATATCATTTATTCATTCATTCATTTTCTTTTTGGCTTAGTCCCTTTATTAATCCGGGGTCGCAGCGGAATGAACCGGCAACTTATCCAGCACGTTTTTACGCAGCCCTTCCAGCCGTCTCTGGGAAACATCCACACACACTCATTCACACACACATTAATACATTACGGACAATTTAGCCTAACCAATTCACCTGTACCGCTGTGATGCAATTTAACTATTGGGGTGCGTCCGGGTAGGAGACCCTACAAGACAATGTGCCCAGGAGCTTCTGAATTCTCAATCTGGCCCTGTATTTGGGGCAAAAACCTCATAGGGAAAGAAACCTTTTATCGCGTGTTGTGGCGTCTCGTTGCATGTAGTCAGTTATAAACTATTTTTGGTTGATTGTTATCCTTTCTATCAAAAGTATCTGACACTTTGAAGAAATGGACTGCTTGTTATTTTATCATAATTTTCTAAAATGCTGTTAATAATGTTGAAGGCGTGATTATTTTTTGGTTTGACAATACTCAAATATTTGGGCTGTTGAATGATTACATACATTCATTTTCTTTTCGGCTTAGTCCTTTTATTTATCAGGGGTCACCACAGCGGAATGAACCACCAACTTATCCAGCATTTATTTTACACAGGGGAAGCCCTTTCAGCTGCAACCCATCACTGGGAAACACCCGTACACTACTGACAATTTTATCTTGCAAAATTCACCTATACCACATGTTTTTGGACTTGTGGGAGCACCCGGAGGAAACCCACGGGAGAACATGCAAACTCCACAAAAATGCCAACTGACCCAGTCGGCGCTCAAACTAGCGACCTTCTTGCTGTGAGGCGATTGTGTTACCCACTGCGCCACTGTGCTGCCTTGAATAATCCTATATTTCAATCTATTTAATTATACTCAATGTGCCAGTAAATCCAAGACCTAATTATTTGCTAATGAAATTTTAAATTTGTACAAATATTATGGTCATTTACGTGGTAAATATATATATATATATATATATATATATATATATATATATATATATATATATATATATATATATATATATATATATAAATAAATATATATATATATATATATATATATATATATATATATATATATATATATATATATAAACAAATATTTCCTCAATTCAAATGATTAGCGGCTTGGACCCTGAAACAGGATTCCGTCTATATAATATAATATATAATATAATATATATGATATATAATATAATATATGTCACCGAAACATCACGACTTAACTAGCGGAAAACAATGATTTATGACATAAGAATGAAGTCATAAAACTGTCTTATTGTCTTCATTCGTTCATCCATTAAATTTGTTCAAACTGCTGATTTATTTCTGAATGATAACACACATCAGCTGTGGCTTTACAGATGATATTGTTTTGTTCGCAAAACTGAGCAAAGCAGACAAAATTGTTTCTTAAATATACCAGAATATAAATTTCCTATTTACTGAACTTGCCTTCCTTGCTTGTGTGAAATGTCTGTACTATATCATACGGTACTAATATAAGACTTTGTTGTCTCGTCATGTAAATCATTGCCCTGCATCATGTTTGTTGCCAGTCAATTGCATGACATTTGCAAACGTCATATTCGGTCTGGAGACAGGGCACATACATTCATAATGATATTAACATGTAATTTTGTTCATAAATGTGATGAAATAACAGGCCTTATGTATGCGTGTGTAAAGGGTTGGTACTTAAAATCTAAATATAAAAAGAATAAAGGCTGTATGTTTAACAGCCGGTTTAAATTCATTTGAATTCTCTTTCAAAAATTTCCCAAGCGAGATTTTTTTAACAAATTCTCAAACTGTAGTTTCATTTTCCTTTGGTTTAGTCCCTTTATTCATCTGAGGTCGCCACAGCAGAATAAACCGCCTTTTCAGCTGCAACCCATCACTGGGAATCACCAATACACTCTTGCATTCACATACATAAACTACAACCAATTTAGCTTACCCATTTCACCTATAGCACATGTCTTTGGACTGTGGGGGAAACCGGAGCAAAATTAATAAATTATTAAGACGGATAATAATATTGACCTTAGCCGTTTTTTAATTATTCTTTTAATTCCAGCTAAATTAAAAAATAAGGCTTTTCCAGAAGAATATAATAGGGATTACTGTGAAAAAAATGTCATTGCTCACTTAAACATCACTTGGGAAATATTTGACAAAGAACTTCACCGGGGGGCTTATCATTTTGTTTTCAGCTGAATGTGTTTGTGTGTGTGTGAGTTTCTTGACTTTCTTGAGTGTGTGTATGTTTATATATACACACACCCACATACACAATATATATATATATATATATATATATATATATATATATATATATATATATTGCGGTACAGGTAAATGTGTTTGGATGTTTCCCAGAGATGGGTTGCAGCTGGAAGGGCATCTGCTGCGTAAAACTTGCTGGATAAGTTGGCGGTTCATTCCGCTGTGTTGACCCCAGATTAATAAAGGGACAGAGCCGAAAAAAATGAATGAATGAATGAATGAAAATAAAGAATACATGAAGAAAGGGTGATGTAGAAAGGGAAACTCTCAAATACTTCCAGAGAAAGAAAATCAAGCTGTAGAATGGCCCAGCCAATCACCTGACCCGAATCCAATAGAAAATACAAAATAAAGCTCAGATTTGATAGACGAGACCCCCAGAATCATCAAGATTTTTACACACTGTTAAGGTCTGTGAAAAACACTCACTTTTTAAAATATTTCCCAAATGATGTTTAACAGAGCAAGGAAATTTTCACAGTATGTCTGATAATATTTCTTTTTCTAGAAAAAGTCTTATTTGTTTTATTTCGGCTAGAATAAAAGCAGTTTTAATTTTTTAAATAGTATTTTTAGGTCAAATTATTAGCCCCTTTAAGCTTTATTTATTTTCGATAGTCTACAGAACATACCATCGTTATACAATAACCTGCCTAGTTAACCTAATTAACCTAGTTAAGCCTTTAAATGTCACTTTAAGCTGTATAGTGTCTTGAAAAATATTTAGTAAAATAATATTTACTGTCATCATGGCAAAGATATAATAAATTAGTTATTAGAAATGAGTTATTAAAACTATTATGTTTAGAAATGTTTTTTTTAAAAATCTCTCCGTTAAACAGAATTTGGGGTGAAAAAATAAATAGGGGGGCGAATAATTCAGGGTGGCTAATAATTCTGACTTTAACTGTATATTATCCTATATATTACCCTGGATAAAGCCTGATTGACCAATAACAGAAATTACAAATATTTTTTATTTTGACCAACTCTCATTTTCTGAAGTAAAAAAAAGTACAAAAAATTAAAAACTAATATTAACATATTCTTCAATTCTAATAAAGTCGTTGTGACTGCAGGTGTGTTTGTGTGTGTGGCACTTACAGGGCTCTCAGTGCTGACGGTGCTGTTCTCCTCCTGACGCTCCATAGTGAACTCCTCACTGTCTTGTGTGCTGCAGGTGGTCAACAGTAAACACAACAGCAAGGCTGGCAGTGCCCAAAATGCCCCATATCTGAGCTTCATGCTGCTGCAGTGTCCGTCAGTGAACGTCTAACTCATTCAACATGCAAAACTTCCATTGCAGATCACTCCGAAAGATATCTTTTTTTTCCCTCAAGCTCTTGATGGAGAAGACCCGGACTCAGATCAGTTCATCTTTGGTCGTCCCTCAGCATGATGTGTTCAGAAAATCGTCCATCGTTCTTCAGTCTGTCAGCCAAAATCCGCTACGCCTCCTGACTGCAGTCTAAACTCTGCGAGCTCGAGTTATGGATGTTCAGCCTGTGTGTTGCCGTCACCTGCTGTGTGTAGGTGTGTATTCCATAAATACATGAGTGAGTGTGTTTATTGATTGTTAGTGTGTGTTGCTCAGTTGCGGTCTGATTACCTGTCATAAACCCTGTGTGTGGTATAATTCAGTCTCTCTGTGGGTGGTATCTCCACTTCTTCTTCTGTTTATATTTTGGGTAGTTCCTTGAGTGCTGATAATGTATGTTGCCAGTTGAAGTCTCCCAGTGTGTTCCCCATCTATGTCACTGGCTCACTTTCTGTTTTGGAGGGCTGCTTCTCTCTTTTTTAGACCAGACTCCTCCTCCTCCTCCTCCTCCTCCGGTTTGTTCACTCCTTCTGATATCTGTCGCTGGATCTTGACCTGTCACTTTGTCTCTCTTCAGCCTCCTGGCCACTTATTAGACCTCTCCATTTATCTGATCTCTCTGTCTCTCTCCTACAGCAAGCTCCCTTTTGTTTGTCGTATGCTTGTTCGTCTGTATCTGCCTGACTTTACTCCGCTCTGTCATCCTCAGCTGCATGGTCCTAGTGCCCAGTTTGTGTGAAATGTCATTAATTCATTCATTTTCTTGTCGGCTTAGTCCCTTTTTTAATCTGGGGTCGCCACAGCAGAATGAACCGCCAACTTATCCAGCAAGTTTTTTACGCAGCGGATGCCCTTCCAGCCGCAACCCATCTCTGGGAAACATCCACACACATACTCCGGACAATTTAGCCAACCCAATTTACCTGTACCGCATGTCTTTGGACTGTGGGGGAAACCGGAGCACCCGGAGGAAACCAACGCAAAGGCAGGGAGAACATGCAAACTCCAAACAGAAACGCCAACTGAGCCGAGGTTCGAACCAGCGACCCAGCGACCTTCTTGCTGTGAGGCGACAGCACTAACTACTGCGCCGTGAAATATCATGTTCATTCATTTTCTTTTTTAGTCCCTTTATTAATCTGAGGTCGCCACAGCGGAATGAACCGCCAACTTATCCAGCATATTATGAAAATGAATGAATGACAGATTGAGCTATACCAGTAGCACAGATCATCAGCGGTCCCTTACTGTTGACTCCAACTTAGACTATATATAACGCTTTAAACGATTACTATAAATGTAAATAAAATTATACACTTCTTCAAACTTTTTTAAAATCAAAATATTTTGGAGGTTTAATTCAAAAGCATAAATAAACAAAGAAATATACCTAAATGGTCCACATTGGTAGCTTAAAGGTGCATACTAGCATTACAGGTAACATGAGTTACGTAATAATATTAAGGTTGCAACATAGCCTCATTCTGAAAATGTAGCCCTATATATGTAACCCCACCGGTTCTACACCACCCAACTCACTTCGAGCTGGGATCGAACTAGCGACCTTCCGCATGGGAGTCAGTTGCTCTACCAGGGAGGCTAAAGACCATGGCCTCTGGCGTTTGTCGCTAGAGCACCATTAGAGGTCAAAGGAGTGAGGTTTACCTGCACAGCACACACTAGCTGGCCTCCGTTACACTCACCCCCCTAAACCTCACTCCCATCCGGGTCATGGCACCAATGTAACCCCACCAGTCCTACACCACCCAACTCGCTCCGAGCTGGGATCAAACTGGCGACCTTCCGCATGGGAGTCGGTTGCTCTAACAAGGAGGCTAAAGACCATGGCCTCTAGCGTCTGCTGTTGCATATACATTCCTGGAGAGCATGAATTATGTAGCCAGAGGAACGTATGGCTGCATTTAGTTTTTAAAACCAATGCTATGGACGGCTTTTTCCACAGTTACCAGTTTGTCTAGTAGCTTGCCGCATATACCTCGGAGGATACGAAACAGTTGACCGGGACGATGGGGTTTGAGTCTGATGAAGTACGGTTCCAGAAAGCTTGTAAGACAAAAAACAAAAGCCAAACAATAAAAAAAACAAGTAAATAACAGGGTGAGAATGTGGTAAAATCTGTGGCAAGAATCAGGCGAGGGCTTTTTGTTCTGGATCGGTTTAAAAACACTGCGGTTGGGTTTAGGGAAGACGGTGAGCGCTGGTCAATCGGCAGGGCCAGACGGAATCTGCGGACGTTTTTTGCTATTTCTACGAAGAATTTTGATAAAAATCTGCGGATTTCTGCGGAATTATGCGGGAGTATCCAGCGGAATATCATAACTAAAACCTGAATACATTAAATAAAAAAGCAATAAATTAATGAATAAAAACTGAATAAATTACACATTTACACATTTACTCAAGTAAATAAACAGAATTGATGATGGGCTAAAAGTCTGCAGAAATGTGCGTAATTCTGCGGAAAATCTGCAGAATTCTGCGCGCGCAGATTCTGTGTGGACCTATCAATTGGTGCTTTTAAAACACTATTGGTTAGGTTTAGAAAAGGGGATGGGTGGGGGGATCGGTCGGTCAATCTGTTGACAATGGTCTCTGGTGGATTTACACGAGAAGAGCAGGCGAATGGCACTCGCGAGAGAACTTTATACACAGTGGCCTCTGGTGGATTCGCTCCTAGGATGATTTGGCTCTTTCCAGAAATGTATTTAGGGGTATGTATTCAGAATGAGGGCGAGGCAGTGGCGCAGTAGTGCTGTTGCCTCACAGCAAGAAGGTCGCTGGGTCGCTGGCTCAGTTGGCATTTCTGTGTGGAGTTTGTATGTTCTCCCTGCGTTCGTGTGGGTTTCCTCCGGGTGCTCCGGTTTCCCCCACAATCCAAAGACATGCGGTACAGGTGAATTGGGTAGGCTAAATTGTCCGTAGTGTATGAGTGTGTGTGTGAATGTGTGTGTGGATGTTTCCCAGGGATGGGTTGCAGCTGGAAGGGCATCCGCTGCGTAAAAACTTGCTGGATAAGTTGGCGTTTCATTCCGCTGTGGCGACCCCGGATTAATAAAGGGACTAATCTATGAAAATAATCAGAATGAGCCTGGGTTGCACTTTTCTAAGTAACAAGTATAGTAACGCATTACTTTTAAAAAAGCATGTAATATTTAAGTTACTTTTTAAAAAATAAAATGTGAATTACTTTTTAGTTTAATTAATAAGCTTTTAAAAATAGAAATTGCTGAATTAAAATGAATGCATTAGAAATTAAATAAGCAGTGCAGAGTTAATTGAAGAGCTCCTCTATTAAAAAATAATTAAAACTGCAAGAGATCAAGTCTCAGTCAGGGTAAGAAAAAGTAACTGCAAAAAAGCGTAATACATTACTTTTTTGGAAAGTAACTTAATATTGAAATACATTACTTTCAAACGTTCCACAACACCACATACTAGTACTTCAAAAATATATTAGTCTGCCTCTTGGTGTTTTTAGGAACTAACAACTACCCTTGAGGTACCAATATAGACCCTTTATGTATAAATGTGCACTTTTGAATACTGCCCCAGTGACAGCTCTCACACCTTTATTTCTGAGAGTCATTCAGACTTAACTTGGCTGCCAGGGAAAGTCATTTGGGTGGGGCAGAAATGTGCATGTCAGATATGCAGGATTGTACTGGTTAAAAAAGATGATGACAGTTAGGAGGAAAGTTGCACACTTTGATGCAAGAAACCAGCCCGCCTCTCTATTTATCAGTTGTCTGCTCTTGCTATTTCCTGGCTGAGAGAAAGGCATCTGTGTGGTCTTTAAAAGTAGGCCACTACTGTGCACAAAGCTAAATGGCTGTGAGGCCTAATTAATTGTCATTGTTTACTAAACTCAAACAATGGAACATTGGCACCATCCCTTTGCCAAATTCTTTTAAAATGATTGGACAATTAAAATGAGAAAGGGTTGCCAGATTAACCTCACATGGGGTTAGTGAAAGAAAACATTTGTAACTTGGATCATTTTGAGTAACCTAGAAAAACCTAGAAAAAAATAGTAATTTATAGTTACTATATACTACTTTTTAAAGTTACTATAGCAGCTAATAGTTACTAGTTCTATTCAATTGTGATCGCTGGGGTAATTACATTATATTAAAGACACAACATAGCTTGTGCTTATGCTTTCTGGGCCATTTACAGCACTAACATACATAAAAAAAAAATCTACGAATAGACTTTGGTCTATTGGTGTGTGTGCACCATTGCATGCAAAGTTTTTATATTTATAACCACCTCAGAGGATATTGGGGGTCGCGAGCCACTGGCATTGTTATTCTGGGAGTCGCGAGCTGAAAAGTTTGAGAACCCTTGCTCTAGACCATTTTTAAATGATTAAATTACTGCTGCACATTTTTAAAACATTTTAATGGGACAAAATTATAGATTTTTTATGCCCAAAATATTTAGAATATTAAGTAGATAATGTTCTATCAAGATATGTTGTACATTAAATGTATAATATATAGAGGTTATTTTCTCAAAGAACCAAAGAATTCCTGTTTTTTAAATAATGGTATCTCGACCAAATATTATCCTATCCTCACAAACCATACACCAATGGAAAGTGTATTTATTCAGCTTGACCTGGTTTTGTGGTCTCAGGTCACAAATAAGTTACTCTGCAAAAACAATTTCAAAATCTCAATAATATTTAGGTCTGGACACTGTGCAGACCATGAAACATGTTCATCTTCACTTTCATGTTCATCAAACCACTCTGTCACCAGTCTTGCTTTGTGTAATGGTGCAATATCATCCTGATGCACGGCACCACCTTCAGGATACAATGTTTGCACCATTAGTCCTCCAGAATGCTTCAGATGACACTTTTGACTGGTTTTGTGGTCCGAGGTCACAAATAACTTACAGTGTTGGTAAGTTACTTCAAAAAAGTAATGAATTACACATTAAAATTGAATTGAATTGCTTCTTTAATAATGTTTTTGGGAAGTAATTTAATTATTCATTGTGCAATTTAATTATTTGACTCAACACTATTTAACATCCCTATCAGTTTTAATTAATAGGCCACAGGTGTCAAACTCAGTTCCAAAAGGGCCGCAGCTCTGCACAGTTTAGTTCCAACCCTAATTAAACACACCTGATCAAACTAATTGAGTCCTTCAGGCTTGTTTGAAACCTACAGGTAAGTGTGTTGGAGCAGGGTTGGAACTAAACTGTGCAGGGCTTCGGCCCTCCAGGAATTGAGTTTGACACCCCTGTAATAGGCAATAGAAAGTAAAATCTTTTAACTCTTTAAAGTTAAGTCAAACGTTAAGCCTTTTAGCTTCATTTTATGAAGCATTATTTTCGTTTTAATAAATGTCACCTTTTTAGATCACATTTCTGCCACAAATATGCCAAATTACGTCACACAACCAGACAACACTATATCAAACTGTAAATAGCAGAGAACGATGATTGGAAGTTGCCTGCTTAAGTCCTGGATAAGAGGATTTGAGGCCACTATAGAGCTGCTCGGTTAAAGACTGGCAGTGTTGCCAAATCTCATCAGACAATCTAAATATTCCCGTACACTGACATACTTCTCTAATGGTTACAGAAATTCCAGAAAAGCCTTCATGAACCTGTAATGAAGATGATCTTTGATACAAAGCGGCGCCACTTGAGTTTCTACAGCTGTATTTTTGTTTGGAGAATACAAAGTGAGCAGATGGGCTACCTGACAACTTGGTTTTTGGTCATCTGAACTGTGTGCTCTGCGTTAAAACATGGAGCAGGATGGTGTTTCACCATTACAGCACTTTGTTGTGGCGAAGAAGACAATCAGTGCTTTGTTTCACCAGCTGCTGGAGTTTGTTAAAGAGGGATCCGATTTTGTGGAAGGTAAGGTAGACTGTTTACATGTGATTTGTTTATTGTTGATACATATACTGCTCTTTAGTTGGTTAGATAAATACATTATCAGCAGAGGTGTATGCAGACTTTTAAAGTCCATATGGAATCAAAATCTACAATGTTTATTTTGCTTACGCATATAATTATCATGAAAAGCGTTATACAAATAAACTTGACTTGAATTAGATTGAATATTGGGTAATACCTGCAAAGTTAATCCGCTGTTTGTTTTGGTAATCTTTAATTAAAATCTAAAATTAGCTCCCTCCAACCGTTAGTTTGCTGCAAGTGAAAAAAGACAGGAGAAGCACCAAAATAAAACCCCTGCTCTCTACTAAATATTCAGTTTGAGTTGGAAATACATCATCATACTGAAATAAATCATGAAACATCCGGTTCATGCCAGAGTGAATTTTGTTGACGAAAAATTTTCACGATGAACTAAATTCTAACAACGAAAACTAGACAAAAAACTAAATAAAAATTAAGTGATCATGATGACAACTGTAATAAAATATACTCACATTTTCGTTGACTAATAAAAAGGAGATGAGTGCAATCGATGGATGTATTTTGGTAAATATTTAATCAGAATTATTTATTATTTATTTAATTATATTTAATCAGAATCTTGGTGTGTCATGCGAATTTTAAATATGTCTTATTTTATGTGATAATAGTCCTTTTTATTATTTTCCTTTCTAATGCAACTTTAATGAGTAATAATGAGTTTATTGTTAATAATGATACATTAAAAACACACATTTGTAAAAACTTTATAAATGTAACACAAGAAAAGAACAGAAGTTCTTCACAGCAGTGTCGGGTAATTTACTTCAAAAGTCTAATAGATTTTAATAAATTGTTTTGAAAAGTAATTTAATTATTCAATAAATAATTTAATTACTTGACTCAATTCTACTTAACATCCCTATCTTAATTAATAGACAATAGAAAGTAACATCTTTTATTCTATAAATTTAAGTCAAACATGGCCTTTTAGTTTAATTAAAAAAAATGTAATAAGTAAAACATTAATGACCCGTTTCTACTGAGTGGTACGGTACGGTACGGGTCATCTTTATCAGGCTTGCATTTCATTGCCAATCTTAAGCCAATTTTAATCGTTTGTTTTGGTTCAATTTGGAATTTTCCCAACCAATGCAGAGCCCAGGGGACCAGAGTGAGTGCTCTGACTTGCCCTGCGTGATTAGGGGGCCCCGCGTTGTCGCGATTTTCAATGATTGAAAATCCGGCAACCGCAATAATCAAACTCTTGGGAACAACTGTGGTCAGAACCAAAGTTCACAGGTCTGTGTTCTCTGAACACCTCTCAAGCGGTGGACTACTTCATTATGATTGCTTGCCGCCGAACCGCTACATAGCTCATACTATAAAGTTAACTTGATTTCAGCTCACCTCGACGCTCACACCGGAGAAGACGTGCCCCGCTGTTTCTCACCGACGGTTCTCATTGAAAATGAATGACTTCTGGCTACTTTGACGCTCTCGCCGCTTTCGGTTTGTGATCACTCCTCAGTTCAAGAGTTCACACTTAGCTGATAATCAATAAAGCGTATTTGGCATGCTGTCCCGGGAGAGAGCCCTGAGTTCGTAATATCCTCGAGCCCGGGGCTCCCTCCCGTTAGAAGGGCGAGAGGGGAATTCGAGGTCAGGTAGGTCTCGAGAACTCCCCTGCTTGTCACCGTGAGAAGTGTAAACTCAGGTTGTATTGGGTGATAATTTGTTTTAGTCGATTGGCTATGGTTTATGTTTTTGGACGGTGGGAGGAAACCGGGGAACCCGGGGAAAACCCAAGTGAACACGGGGAGAACATGCAAACTCCACACAGAAACACCAACCAGCCCGATGGGTTGGACTAGCGGTGTCCTTGCTGTGAGGCAACAGTGCTAGCCACTGGGCCACCGTGTCGCCCGATCAGAAAAAGTGGGAGGATGTAGGGGTGGAAAGGGGGGGAGCTTCAAGACGAAGATAACTGGAGTGGAAAACTCAGGTTATTTATAATGCTTCCGTAATCATCTAATAGGGCTGATTACGGAGCTAACAAGGAGCCAGCCATGTTGATTATAAGCTCGTGATCCTCTCGAAATTAGTTTATGAATAAACCACACTTTGTGAAGGCTTCCCCGCGTTGTCGCTCCACCCCGCCTCCCTTCCCCGCTCCTCAATTTGTGATCGCTTCCCCGTGTTGTCTCTCACCCCCCCCCCCCTTCTTTAGGGGGCCTCGTCAATGATCCCTGCAGGGGGGCCTCCGCATTTTGCGCTACGCCACTGGTGCTAGGTACCCTTCTGAAAGGTGACCCAAAAAGTGGTAAGGTACGGTTCACTTTTTGGTACCTTTGCAAGTGGAAACAGCCATAAAAGCATATCAAACCGTACTGTACCACTCAGTGGAAACAGGCCATAAATGTATAAAAATGTGAAATATTTCAAAAAAATTACACCATAGTTCATACATACCACATATTGCTATTCATTTCTTGCTCAGTTAATTTTTAAGCATGTCCAATTGTTTTAATAAATGTAACCTTTTAAAATAAAATAAAAAAAAAACATACAATGGAACAGCCTGGTTTTAGACAACAATAATTCATTATTATGGTGTAGAGCTTCATTTTGCAGCCAATACAGCATCAGTTTGTCGTAGGAATGACAGATAAAAGTCCTGCACAGAGGCCAGAGAGCTTTTGAGCCATTCTTCTTGCAGAATAGTGGCCAGGTAATGTTTCCTGACTCGCTCCAAAACACCCCAAAAGTGGCTCAATAATATTTAGGTCTGGGCACTGTGCAGGCCATGGGAGATGTTCAACTTCACTTTCATGTTCATCAAACCACTCTGACACCAGTCTTACTGTGTCTATTAGTGCATCATCATCCTGATACATGGCACTACTTTCAGGTTACAATGTTTGCACAATTGTGTGCACATGGTCTTTCAGAAAGGTTCGGTAGTCCTTGGCAGTGATGTGTCCACAAGTGTTGGGCCTAGGGAATGCCATGATATTGCAGCCCAAACCATCGCTGATCCACCCCCATGCTTCACTTTAGGCGTGCAACAGTCTGAGTGGTACGCTTATTTGGGGCTTTTCCACACCGTAACTCTCCCGGATGTAGAAAAGACAGTAAAGGTGGACTCATCAGAGAATAATACGTGTTTCACATTGTCCACAGTCCAAGATTTTCACTACTGGCACCATTGTATCGACATTTGGCATTGACAAGGGTAGCCAAAGGATTGGCTATATATATGTACAATTACTCTGGTTACTTGAATTGATTTATACTGAACCGTTGAATTTATTTACAGTTTTTAAGGCAAGAGAAAGTAGCTGTGTAGAAGCCTCTCGGTATTTTGCCCAAAATGAAAAAGAAAATAATTTGAGGAATGTTGGTTCCTCTTGGAGATATTGAATGTTGGAGATATTTATCAAAATTCCTGCTATTATGTTCCAACCTGACAGAAAGTCATAATACCTTAGTAGAACCACAGGATGAGTGAAAGATGACAGAACTTGTGTGAATTATCCCTTTAATAAAAAGACCTCATCCAGAGAGAGCATTACTTCAGAGTGAGCCAAAAGTTCACCAGAATGATGATCCTGAACTCAAAGCCAAGGCAATGCAGGGTTGCTCATCTTTGGAGAAACTGAAAACGTCTGTCCACCGAGAGTCCCTGTCCAACCTGACAGAGCATGTTAAGATCTGCAGAGGAGAATGTCAGAAAACCCCCAGATTCCCAACTGCAAAACCCACTGGATCGTACACACACTTGTACAGCTATAATCTTTATGGGGACTTCTTTCAGACTATATTCTTTCCCCCTATCCAAACCCTACCCCTAAACCCAACACTCTTTGTAAACAATTAGCATTTTTACATTTTCAAAAGAGTTCATTTTGTGTAAATAATAAGTTGTTTTCCTCATGGGTACCAAAACAATGTCCTTATGAGGTCAGAATTGACTAGTTTTGCTATACTTCTGGGAACATTTGGTCCCCAAAACATAAGAAATACAAGGTACATACACACACACACTCATTCATACATTTAATACTTGAATTAGGTGCTTGACTTACAGACACAGGCAGTGTTTAAATTTTGTTTAATTAGCTTTAGTTTTGGCTCGGGAATAGGTCTCTCACTGTAGTTTATGCCTATGAGCCAAAGACCAGTGCAGAGTACCCAACCTTTTTGGAGTCCTTGGGATGGGTGCAGGAAGGTGCTCCGACTGGGGACTCCTTTGTTCTACTGGGGCACTTTAACGCCCATGTGATTCGGAGGAACGTCCTCTCTGATCTGAATCCAAGTGGTATCTGTTGTTGGACATCTGTGCTAGTCACAGTTTATCCATAACAAACAGCATGTTTTGAGCATTAGGGTGTCAATCAGTGCACATGACACAAGGACACCCTAGACTAGAGTTTGATGATTGACTTTGTGGTATTTTTGTCTTTGACTGTATGTCTTGGAAACTCGGGTAAAGAGAGGGGCAGAGCTGCTAACCAATCATCACCTGATGATTAGTTGGATCCACTGGCAGAGTCCGGAGAGACCTGGCAGGTCCAAACATATTGTGAGGGTCCTCTGGAAACGTCTGACTGAACCATGTCAGAGGGGTTTTCAACTCTCACCTCCAGAAGAACTTTGACTAGATCCTGAGGGAGGCTCAAGACATTGAGACCAAGTGGACTTCAATGTTGACACAACCGTGAGGAGCTGTGGCTGTAAGATTAGTGTGATTTCACCAAGAAGGACATGATCCTGGATCAACAACTAATGTGATCCTGGAACAACATTCTAGTCAGTCAGTCTAGTCATATCAGTAAGAGATAAGTTAACAGTTTAAGCTTACAGTTAGGGTTATGCAGTTCTACGTGATTATTGTCAAATTATTATTACTCTCTGGCTTGGGGAATAATTTACATTAGGGTTGGTTTCAGGGGTAGGGATTAGGTATGGATGACCTGGCAGAACAAAGTCTCCAATGTCGAAGTTCTGACTCAAGCCAGCCTACCTAGGATGTACACTATAATCCGACAACGTCGCCTGTGCTGGCTTGGCCATGTACGCTGCATGGAGAATGAGAGTATCCCAAAGGAAATCCTCTATGGAGAACTCTCAACCGGGAAGAGAATCACAGGGCGCTGTGAAGAGAGACATGAAAGCCCTCAACATAAACACACAGTTCTGGGAAGACCTCACAGCAGACTGCCCAAAGTGGAGGTGCATCCTGACCAAACAGCTCAAGTCAGGTGAAAAGAACTTGATGTGTGAATCAAAGGACAAGTGAGTTTGTATATCGCTGTGACTTCTGCGGCAAAGAATGCCTCTCCTGTATTTACCTCTTCACCAACAATGTTGTCTCCCTGCCTCAAGAATTAGGATACATCATCCATGGTCAACACTGACCGACAGAAGCCTACAAGTTACAGCTTCCAACAAAAATTATGGTGCAGGATCAACATAGATCTCAAACCAGGATCGCATTGTACTTGGTAAAATCACACCCACCATGGCTGTAAGGCCTGTGGTGCCTGTCGTGGCGGCAATCCAGTAACCCGGTGGTGGACACAGGAAGTAATGAATTCCATCAAGCAGAGGAAGGAGTGCTACCAGGCTAGGTTGGCTTTTAGGACTCCCGAGGCAGCTGATGGGTACTGACAGGCCAAGTGTGCTGCAGTTTGGGTGGTTGCAGAATCAAAAACTCAGGCTTGGGAAGAATTCGGGAAAACCATGGAGGAAGACTACTGGTCTGCCTCAAAGAGATTCTGGCACGGAATTTTCCAGCACACAGGAGGGGGAAGCAGTTCCACATTGACACCGTTAACAGCAGAAGTGAGGAGCTGTTAACCTTGACTGGGGATGATCCCGGTCGGTGGAAGAATATTTTGAGGATCTCCTCAACCACCCTGATATGTCTTCCATTAAAGAAGCAAAGACCGGGGATGCAGGGATGGATTAACTTATCACCTTAGCTGAGGTCAGTAAGGTAGTTTGCAAGCTCTGTAGTGGCAAAGCAGCGGCGATGGTTGAGGAACACCCTGTGTACCTCAGGTCTCTGGATGTTGTGTGGCTGTCCTGGCTGACACGTCTCTCCAATCTCGCATGGAGATCACATCGTGTGTGGTGTTGTATCTTTACATCCTTAAGCGTGTGTGTGCTTTTGCTCTTTAGCCTGTGATGATGTTTTATATGCTGTACCGTAGGTTATGTGTGTTTTTACAGACACGTGGAGGAGTGAAGACCTGGATAATGTTGCTGAGGAGGATCAGTGTCTGCAGATCCAGACCTGCTTCAGGAAACTCACCGTCATCAAAGACGTGCTGGACCGCAGACATATGAAGGTGGCTTTTTTTGGCAGGTAAAACTACACTGAAGACTGACCTACATTTGCTGGTATGTCTCTCTTTCTGTCTGTCTACACCCAGCGGGCACATTGAGTTAAGAAGAAAACCAACTAACACATCAAAAATGCTATTCGTTTGTTGACTACCTTAATGTCAAGATGATCTATCTATCTATCTATCTATCTATCTATCTATCTGTCTGTCTGTCTGTCTGTCTGTCTGTCTGTCTGTCTGTCTGTCTGTCTGTCTGTCTGTCTGTCCGTCCGTCCGTCCGTCCGTCCGTCCGTCCGTCCGTCCGTCCGTCCGTCCGTCCGTCCGTCCGTCCGTCCGTCCGTCCGTCCGTCCGTCCGTCTGTCCGTCTATCTATCTATCTGTCTGTCTGTCTATCTGTATGTCTGTCTGTCTATCATCTATCTATCTATCTATCTATCTATCTATCTATCTATCTATCTATCTATCTATCTGTCTGTCTGTCTGTCTGTCTGTCTGTCTGTCTATCATCTATCTATCTATCTATCTATCTATCTATCTATCTATCTATCTGTCTGTCTGTCTGTCTGTCTGTCTGTCTGTCTGTCTGTCTGTCTGTCCACCCATCTATCTATCTATCTATCTATCTATCTATCTATCTATCTATCTATCTATCTATCTATCTGTCTGTCTGTCTGTCTGTCTGTCTGTCTGTCTGTCTGTCCACCTATCTATCTATCTATCTATCTATCTATCTATCTATCTATCTATCTATCTATCTATCTATCTATCTATCTGTCTGTCTGTCTGTCTGTCTGTCTGTCTGTCTGTCTATCATCTATCTATCTATCTATCTATCTATCTATCTATCTATCTATCTATCTATCTATCTATCTATCTATCTATCTGTCTGTCTGTCTGTCTGTCTGTCTGTCTGTCTGTCTGTCCACCCATCTATCTATCTATCTATCTATCTATCTATCTATCTATCTATCTATCTATCTATCTATCTATCTATCTATCTATCTATCTATCTATCTATCTATCTGTCTGTCTGTCTGTCTGTCTGTCTGTCTGTCTGTCTGTCTGTCTGTCTGTCTGTCTGTCTGTCTGTCTGTCTGTCCACCTATCTATCTATCTATCTATCTATCTATCTATCTATCTATCTATCTATCTATCTATCTATCTATCTATCTGTCTGTCTGTCTGTCTGTCTGTCTGTCTGTCTGTCTGTCCACCCATCTATCTATCTATCTATCTATCTATCTATCTATCTATCTATCTATCTATCTATCTATCTATCTATCTATCTATCTATCTG